ATTAAGCTACATTGATGTATTGACTTGAAGTTGACCCAAATTGAAGCATATGCTTGCTTTAAACAAATATCTTTGAATAGTGATAGAAATGAAACAAATTAGCATGTAACATTCTTCAGTTTACGAAGTATATATATATGGTTATGTACGTGATTAGGAGTTGCAAGATCAAAACTTTACCAAACATTGTTCCCAAAGCCAATTTCCAGATGAACCCATATCATCTTGCCCTGTATATAGGGAGGAATAGGATACAGTTTAGGAAGAATGTCCATTATATAGTTGCAAAATTACTATGATGATTATTAATATACAAATATCAATTTCATGCATTGAATACATACTTCTGTAAGTATAGCATAACACAGGATCACGTTGGTAGGAGTAACATTCGTTATATAGTCAGTACCAACTTCAAAAGCCACTTTGTATTTCGTATCCTCAAAGGTAAGAATAGCTTAGTTATTCCATCCTAACATCAACTTTTCTTAGAAACCTCATTCCTGCCATCCCCCCCCTTCCCCCAACCTCAGAACAAATATGTTTCTACGACAAGGGATGGATGAACCTAAGTGGCATCACTGTGAATTAATATTGAATTGCTTCTGACTAGCAATAACTTCAGATTGTAGTCTCCAATAGTGCAGTTTGTTGCGGTTTTTCTTGCATGTTGGGTTTATGATTACTAATTAATTCAATTCGTTTCAATTCGTTTGGCTAAGAAAAAGTGGAAAATGTACCGTTGGAAATGAATTTGTCAGAACACATGTTTAATAAGCAATCAATCTATGAGATTACATTTTGCTAATTTTTTGTTCAAGATGGTTGACGTTAACTCGGTATGGAATGTTTGAAACTTCGAGAAGTTACTTTAACTTATTTTTACTTTGCCTTACTCCATTGCATTAAGTTTCGAACTTTTATGCATGAACTAAAAAGAAATGATATTGGTACGGCAGTTTGTGAGCAGTGTTGGGTATAGATATAATGTATTATAAACTCTAAGATATGTATTCGACATATCTTGGTAAGACAAATAGAAGAAACGTTGGCAATGGATTAACCATGGATTCCATATCCATATAAAAAGGAGAAGTTTTCTCAGATTTCAAAATGAATAGTTTTGTAACCTTGATTAAACTTTGGTAATACTGTATCAGTAAGGGAAAATTTTATAGTTAATTGAATCCAATATCAATACCAATAACAGAATAATAAAATTCAAAATGGCTCAAAAGAAAGTATTACTTGCATTGACTTCATTCAATGGCGTTTTTTATGCTGATGGTACCAAAACTGGTGTTTTCGTTGTCGAAGCTATGCATCCATTCAATGCTTTTAAATCTAAGGGTTTCGAAGTAGATTTCGTTTCTGAAACCGGTACTTATGGTTGGGATGACCATTCTTTAGCTCCAGATTTCTTAACTGGTCAAGATAAATTGGATTTCGATGACAAAGGTTCAGACTTTAACAAGGGTTTGAAAAACGTTAAGAAAGCTAGTGATGTTAACCCAGATGACTATTGTATCTTCTTTGCCTCTGCTGGTCACGGTACTCTTTTTGATTACCCAAAGGCTAAAAGTTTACAATCGTTAGCGTCAGAAATCTATGACAAGAATGGTGTTGTTGCAGCAGTTTGTCATGGTCCTGCAATCTTTGATGGATTGATTGAAAAGAAGTCAGGTAAACCATTGATTGAGGGTAAAGTCATCACTGGTTTCACTGATATTGGTGAAGTCATCTTACAGGTTGACGGTATTATGAAGGAAAAGAGCTTGTTATCTGTGGAAGATATTGCCAAGAAATATAATGCTAAATATGTTCCACCAATTGGTCCATGGGATGATTATTCTGTCACTGATGGTAGATTGATCACTGGTGTAAACCCAGCTTCGGCCCATTCTACTGCTGTTAGGGCAATGGATGCTGCTAAGCAATAATTAAATTTATGTTAATGAATATTACATATTTATTTATTTTTTTATATTTGTTTAGTTCTGATTATAACCTGCTTCTGTTTGTTTTATCCTGTATTTATCTTGAGATAACCTGTTTTATTGGATGATGTGCAATTTTAACGTTGAGGGTTTTTGCAGTTCCCTAATTAGGGTTTGCTTTTGAAGGCCTATTGCTAAATTTGTATTTGTGGTGAAGGCATTTCAAAACAAAGTACGGGTAGATATTGGCGGCACTTCAATATTGAATGTTGCAGTATTGGACTTCCAGAACACATGATAAGGTAAGTCAGATATAACGGTATTGCAGCTTTTAACTTATTATATAACAAACCTTGCAGACTTGTGTTATAGTATAAAACATATGTGTTTATTAAATATATGTTAGTAATTTGTAAGTCCTATAAAAGTAATTAGTGTTGTAGTATACGAGAAATCCATCTTTACTCTTTGAATAAGAACCATCTAGAAATTTTACACCGTAATAAATAGTTAAGAATATTAATCACAACTCTATTATGACAGGAATCAAGATTAAATAAAGGAATTTGTCATGGCCCTTTCATAGATCTCCTGGGAAATGGGGGATAGACATGTTGTTGATAGCAGTATCATTAAGTGCATCAGTATGACTATAGTCATGCGTGTGGCTGTAATTTATACTTGCACACCGTCACTCTCTTAATGTTTGAATGTAGTGATATGTTAGTAGTAAGATATTTCACTCGGATTGAGGTAAGGTAAACTGGTAAAAATACCAACAAAACTACCAAAGGAACTAACAGTGAAAGCGGTTATGAAGAGGATTTGCAAAAACGATAATGGAATATGCTAGTTAAAATGAACCGGCAACATATATAAAAGTAAGGAATAATGCCTATCAGGGATATTTCTTAAGGTTCACTTTTATTATTATGGCTATTATATTTGGGTCTTAATTCTATCTTAAAAAGAAGAATAATGCAATACTTCAATAGAGCAAGTATAACTATCTATGTACATCAATTCGAATACATCTGGGTTAAATAATAATAAAATAGTCAATAACAATATTATTATCTAACTGAATAGCGTATATATATCCTATATTGCCTGTTATTTTATGCAAGTGATTCAGCTAATTAAAATTGTTATAATTATTTACATTGAATGAAATTATAAATTGACAAATTAAGATTCCCAACTAGTTGACAATACTTAATCAGTCTATAATATTTTCCATTCAAACTTTTAATAATCTACTGTATTAAGAGAGAAGGACATTCTTCTTCTGTGACACAGTAGTATTTTACACACAATTACTTTTATAGAAGATTCATGTAATCATTAAATTTACCTCTCCGTTAGTTATATTAGTTAAAATATGTAAAAGACTCTTTATAAATAAATTTGGTCTCATTCCATGTCCTGATTGTTTTTGAATATCAAATATTTCATGTAAATTACCTCATCATATTTTATTTGGTTGCTCACATTTTATCATATTCAATGTGAAGATAACATTGAATTTGCTCACTAATCTTGTCTGTTGTGTAACAAATTAAGAAATACTATATCAATGTTAGTTTGAATTATTATCCTGAATGATGTCATGTTCAATACCAAGGAAAGACGATTCATAAGATACTCAAAAATGTAACAGGAGTACGAATCAATTTATTTTGGAATCAAAAGTACACTTACTGATATTGATAATTCTGGTTCCCAGAATTCCATGTTTCTAGTGATTTACTTAATTGATCTCATCTAATGATTCTGGATAGAACTAAAAAAATTCTGTATATGTGTTCGTGTATAATGATCATTTACCTCATGGCTTTGGAAGGTTTAGAGATTACAATGATTTGGGCCAGAAGACACTCTCTGACTATGAAAATTGGTATGCATGGAGAATTTAGTTACTAGAACAAGATACATCCTTAAAAAATGCTGATGTGACTAGTTATACAAAAAAAATAACGTTTTCCTTATTTGACAAAAATTTTGGAATTGTCAAGTATGAAATTCTAACATTGACGCCCAAAACCTAAAATTATTTTGTTAGCTTTGGCTCAATAAGTGCCAACAACTTAATGTAATAGTAATATAAAAAGTTTATACTAGATAAAACTAACAGTTCTTGCTACTCATGCCACTATTAGCTAGGCGCTCGTATCAAATGACCCTTTACCTCCCCTGTTTTGGACCCTTCAAGAAGATAGAGATCTCCAGAAATAAGAAAGCTACCGATCTGTAATTTGGGTCAGGAAATGTTTTCATCACATATATCCCAAATTCCTATTATCAAAATCCTAACACATCTCTGCCCTCAGATATCATGAAAAGAACGAAAAATTATGGATTTAAGAACGGCTGAGAGATGATTGACCAGAATTGTGACTGAAATGAAAATAAAAACCCAAGAAAATATCCAACATGGCCGTGCTAATTAGGAATAACAATACCTCTAGAACTTACATATTACGCCATTGGGACATGTAAAACCAAAATAAAGCTATATGTCAAGACCACTCGCCCTCTTACTCTGTCGTATTCTGCTTATTCCACCCAAGCCTATCTGACGAAAAAAAATATCTGACACATATAAGCATATCGGTAGCGGTACCAAAATATTCCATTCTGTCGCCTCCATCCTTCCCCATCATTTGCCAGAACCGGGTGTCAGCGCCGGCCATACCCAGCAGATCCCAGGTGTCAGCAGAACAACACAACCCTTCGCTGTCGCCAACCCCGCCAACTCCGCCACCGCCGCCACCACACGAATATGACTGAAGAAGACATTGAATTCTTGGAACTTACTTTAGAATCATTACAGAATGCTTGCAAAGATATACTCTCATTGAATGTATGTGTTGTGTTTTAATTCTTTTTTGTATATTTACTAACAAGAATAACAACAGATTTATAACGAATCCTCGAGTGACCATCGAAAAAAGTTTTTACCAAAGGAAGCACGTTTGTTTTTGGAACGAGTGTTTGAGAAGAAGCAGTCTTTAAATTCAAAAGAACGGGATGCTATAGCCAAAAAGTGTGGTCTAACTCCTCTACAAGTCAGAGTTTGGGTATGTATTGATCTTGTTTACAAACTAAAAAAACTATACTAACCTCCCCATAGTTCATCAACAAACGAATGCGTTCCAAATAGACACATCATTGGAAGAGTTTAATTTTGTCAAGCCCAAGTGTGGGTTTGTGGAGTGGGTAGGGCAAACATATGAGCGGGAGATGATGTGGTGTAATTAGATACGTGCGTGCTTTTTCAAAAAATGTTGCATTTCGTCAGTATCGACATCTTGTGGATCCTCGGAGGAAATGGCCTGCAACAATCCATCAAGCATAGCATCAACTTTATGCTCGTCAATTTTTAAACACAGAGACAAGACTCTTCTAAACTTGCTTTCTAAATCTGTCTGTTTTCGCTTTAAGCTTTGGGATGAAAAGCGAGACGAGAGGTGACGAGCGCGAGCAGTTGGGATGGCTGGAAAATAAGAGCAGATGCCAGTGTCAGCGGGTGGATGTGTGGTGGAGCCAAGTGTAGATCAATTCTTTTTTCTTTTGACTGTGACGTGAGTTGCGACAGAGTGCTGGCGGCTGAACTGGGTGATAGCTGTTTTACCTGGATTGATACGGCGTGAGTGGTGAATATTTAGTTTATTGAATAGATATGTTAATGGTAGTCCATTCTGTGTGAGTTTCTTGTTGTATTGGATATTGATTTAGGAAATATTGTTGGGTGTCACAGCTGCTGGTTGCTTGTTTCGAGATATTTGAATTTTACAATTAGGTTTCTGGGAATTAGTATGGGTATTGGTGTCACGTTTTTTAGTTGCCTGCTTCTATTCTTGAATGTTTGATGGTAATGGAAGGTATATTCGTTGGATTATACGTATCAACAGTATCATATATATATGTCATGTTTAATAAATAAAGGAAAGCATTCACTGTCTTTATGTGGTGGGCCATAATACACTGGGTTGGTACCACAGGCATGGGGAATGAAATAGATGTTAATGATAAGGGAAACTGCAGGTACACGGAGATACAGAGAGTATGGAAAAGAAAATGCTAGTACTAAAGGGTGTATTCGATGTTGATATAGATGCATAAACCTACTATACATCATATCATTTATAAGAGCGATGTTTGGTGTAAGGTACTTCGGTTTCGTCTTTGGAGGACCCAAATGTTAAACTAACTGTTACGTATGGAAAAAACACACATCTTTCAGCAACACCATTATCTACAAAATGGTTCTTGCTAATAGTAATGAATTGCTTTTCAAGGCTTCTTTTTGTTTTGTTTTGTTTTGTTTCGTAATATTATATATATATTTCTACCCAGTAAGATTTTTCATACTAAGCACTTAAGAACAAGTTTAGTTGTTACGGGTTTATAAGTCGGTTTCTAAATCAAATAAAATAATATAATTATGAATCTTAGATGATATATATATATATGTATATTTCTTTTTGAAAAATACTAATTAGAGTTAACAAATGCTTACATAGAAAATTATTCAATCAGATGATTCGTTGTACCTAATCATAGAAAATACTCAGTTGCCATTCTCAAGTATTTAGTTGTCTATTTATCATTGGATTAATTGCTGACACGGATTCTAAACCAAGAAAGAGCATGAATCGGCAAATTATGGATCTTGATTTAATATTTACCAGTATACTGTAAATAGTATCTACTGAAGAATACTTTAGATTACAATACATAAAAACGATACTTTTACATATTAGAATATTGGGGTTTTTCCATACTGGGTGACAAAGCGATATCTAGAATGGTATCGTACGAAAGGCGAGGGATGATAGTGTGGAATATACGCGTCAAGTATTTAGTCTAGGTAGGGTAATATATTGAATCTAGTTAGTATTAGATATCATAGGTACAGTCTTAATTGGTTAATTAACAAAGTTATTGACAATATAGTTTTACTTAAAGAGCCTGCTTTATATATAGAACTTGTTTAGATAAATTATATGATATCAAAGTATAAAATTCTATCTCTTTATATAGATATTTATTTAGTTAACTCTCTCTTATAGTAATATCGTCTTAGTCTTCTTAAAATAGGATTGATAAACATAAAAAGACCAACCTTGATAATAAAAGTGAACCTTAAGGAAGATTCTTCTCAAGAAATATTCCTTTTCCTTTTATACTAGTTATTCCAAGACGACTAACGTCTTTATTCTTATTTTCTGCAAATCCTATTCTTAGCCACTGTGACATTGAAGTCATTCCGTCACTTCGTTTATTATCATTATTAAGTTACCCTGTTTAGTCACGTGGAATTACAACAAATGGAATGTATAATTTGCAAAATAATTTACCGGAAGTGGAGATTATAACCGATAATATATTTTCTAGATCTTGCGATAATTATCTATTTTTATACCATTTTCACTAGATATTTCCCTTGCTTGTTCATAAATTAAAGTTGAATAATGGCAGATATTAGGGTATTGCGCAGTGAACGAAACTATTATTTCCTGACATTCAATATTCTGGGCAAGTTTAATAGTTTATTATCAAAAATAAAATAAAATTAAGAATTATTTACTATCAAAGGGGGTCTGGTAATAATTTATCAATTATCTTTTTGAATAATATTTATAATATTAACTCTAGAATAGTTTTCCACAGTTCTTTCGAGTATTTTCAACTTTATTATAAAAGGCTATCAAAAGAGCACTGGTAGTTTTGATTTTAAGTACATTTTCAAATCCAATAAAACAATCGACTGTTATAGTGAAAACAAAAAAGAGCTTTTGATTTTTAGATTTAATTAATATATAGAATATTAATAATCTTGGAAACAATTGTGTTTTTCAGAGCACATAAAATCAGTATACGAAATTGTAACGTTTAGAATAATTAGTAATTTAAATATATAAATAATACACAATACTTCTTATAGAATTGTATGTATATATATATATATATAAATATAAATATAAATAAAGCTTTTATTCAACATAACATTCTTCGAATGAAGATTTTAGATAAAAAAACCAATCTCTAGAAAAGTTCTAATCACAATATTAAAGAAACTAGGAAAATTATTAAACCTCCAAACAACGATCTAGTAGCAACAATGTGCCCAGCACCACCAGTATAAGAAGAGATGGCAAATGTTGAAACTTCAGAAGTTGCAGTACTCAAACCTGGGAATGATTCAATAATTGGAGTAACCTGAGAGATACTAGAAGAAGATTCTGAAAAGCTAACTACTGTAGTTTCAATTGATATGGAAGGTTGAACAACAATAGTGCTACCAGAGGTAACAATGGTGGTGCCTGGGATAACAACTGGTGTTGTGATTGAGGATGTGACTACAGAAGCAGTGGTTGGTGGGATAATAGAAGTAGTTGGTGGAATAACAATAGTGCTACCAGAGGTGACAACGGTGGTGCCTGGAACAACAACGACTGGTGTAGTTTCAATGGTGGTAGTTGGTGGCACAACAATAGTACTACCAGAGGTAACAATGGTGGTGCCTGGAACAACAACGACTGGTGTAGTTTCAATGGTGGTAGTTGGTGGCACAACAATAGTACTACCAGAGGTAACAATGGTGGTGCCTGGGATAACAACTGGTGTTGTGATTGAGGATGTGACTACAGAAGCAGTGGTTGGTGGGATAATAGAAGTAGTTGGTGGAATAACAATAGTGCTACCAGAGGTGACAACGGTGGTGCCTGGAACAACAACGACTGGTGTAGTTTCAATGGTGGTAGTTGGTGGCACAACAATAGTGCTACCAGAGGTAACAATGGTGGTGCCTGGGATAACAACTGGTGTTGTGATTGAGGATGTGACTACAGAAGCAGTGGTTGGTGGGATAATAGAAGTAGTTGGTGGAATAACAATAGTGCTACCAGAGGTGACAACGGTGGTGCCTGGAACAACAACGACTGGTGTAGTTTCAATGGTGGTAGTTGGTGGCACAACAATAGTGCTACCAGAGGTAACAATGGTGGTGCCTGGGATAACAACTGGTGTTGTGATTGAGGATGTGACTACAGAAGCAGTGGTTGGTGGGATAATAGAAGTAGTTGGTGGAATAACAATAGTGCTACCAGAGGTGACAACGGTGGTGCCTGGAACAACAACGACTGGTGTAGTTTCAATGGTGGTAGTTGGTGGCACAACAATAGTACTACCAGAGGTAACAATGGTGGTGCCTGGGATAACAACTGGTGTTGTGATTGAGGATGTGACTACAGAAGCAGTGGTTGGTGGGATAATAGAAGTAGTTGGTGGAATAACAATAGTGCTACCAGAGGTGACAACGGTGGTGCCTGGAACAACAACGACTGGTGTAGTTTCAATGGTGGTAGTTGGTGGCACAACAATAGTACTACCAGAGGTAACAATGGTGGTGCCTGGGATAACAACTGGTGTTGTGATTGAGGATGTGACTACAGAAGCAGTGGTTGGTGGGATAATAGAAGTAGTTGGTGGAATAACAATAGTGCTACCAGAGGTGACAACGGTGGTGCCTGGAACAACAACGACTGGTGTAGTTTCAATGGTGGTAGTTGGTGGCACAACAATAGTGCTACCAGAGGTAACAATGGTGGTGCCTGGGATAACAACTGGTGTTGTGATTGAGGATGTGACTACAGAAGCAGTGGTTGGTGGGATAATAGAAGTAGTTGGTGGAATAACAATAGTGCTACCAGAGGTGACAACGGTGGTGCCTGGAACAACAACGACTGGTGTAGTTTCAATGGTGGTAGTTGGTGGCACAACAATAGTACTACCAGAGTTAACAATGGTGGTGCCTGGGATAACAACTGATGTTGTGATTGAGGATGTGACTACAGAAGCAGTGGTTGGTGGGATAATAGAAGTAGTTGGTGGAATAACAATAGTGCTACCAGAGGTGACAACGGTGGTGCCTGGAACAACAACGACTGGTGTAGTTTCAATGGTGGTAGTTGGTGGCACAACAATAGTACTACCAGAGGTAACAATGGTGGTGCCTGGGATAACAACTGGTGTTGTAATTGAGGATGTGACTGCAGAAGCAGTGATACATGGAATAGTAATAGTAGCGGTGGAACAGATACCATCGGAACATTCAGTAGTAGTGTATGTAACTACAGACTCTGTGGAGCATGGAACAGTAACAGTAGCAGTGGAACAAACGCCATCCGAGCAATCGGTGGTAGTCAAAATAGTGACTGATCCAGAAACAATTGGTTCGGTAACAGTGGCGGTGGAACAGATACCATCGGAACATTCAGTAGTAGTGTATGTAACTACAGACTCTGTGGAGCATGGAACAGTAACAGTAGCAGTGGAACAAACGCCATCCGAGCAATCGGTGGTAGTCAAAATAGTGACTGATCCAGAAACAATTGGTTCGGTAACAGTGGCGGTGGAACAGATACCATCGGAACATTCAGTAGTAGTGTATGTAACTACAGACTCTGTGGAGCATGGAACAGTAACAGTAGCAGTGGAACAAACGCCATCCGAGCAATCGGTGGTAGTCAAAATAGTGACTGATCCAGAAACAATTGGTTCGGTAACAGTGGCGGTGGAACAGATACCATCGGAACATTCAGTAGTAGTGTATGTAACTACAGACTCTGTGGAGCATGGAACAGTAACAGTAGCAGTGGAACAAACGCCATCCGAGCAATCGGTGGTAGTCAAAATAGTGACTGATCCAGAAACAATTGGTTCGGTAACAGTGGCGGTGGAACAGATACCATCGGAACATTCAGTAGTAGTGTATGTAACTACAGACTCTGTGGAGCATGGAACAGTAACAGTAGCAGTGGAACAAACGCCATCCGAGCAATCGGTGGTAGTCAAAATAGTGACTGATCCAGAAACAATTGGTTCGGTAACAGTGGCGGTGGAACAGATACCATCGGAACATTCAGTAGTAGTGTATGTAACTACAGACTCTGTGGAGCATGGAACAGTAACAGTAGCAGTGGAACAAACGCCATCCGAGCAATCGGTGGTAGTCAAAATAGTGACTGATCCAGAAACAATTGGTTCGGTAACAGTGGCGGTGGAACAGATACCATCGGAACATTCAGTAGTAGTGTATGTAACTACAGACTCTGTGGAGCATGGAACAGTAACAGTAGCAGTGGAACAAACGCCATCCGAGCAATCGGTGGTAGTCAAAATAGTGACTGATCCAGAAATAACTGGTTCGGAGACAATTGAAACAATTGATGAACTTGTTCTACTACCTTCGGAAATATAATTGCCAGATGTGTGGAGGGATGATACTAAACTACTAATAGTTGGGAAACTTGAAGTTGTTTCAGACGCATTGGAAGATTCACCAGATTCAGTAGTTTGAGTAGATTCAGTGGCTTTAGTGACTTCGGAACTACTTGATGGCGTGCATGTAGGACATAATGTTGTCTCTTCATGACTTGACTTACCAAACTCAGTGGATTCGCCAGATTCAGTGGCTTCGGTGGCTGGAGTAGATTCAGTAGATTCAGTAGTTTCGGTGGATTCAGTGAAGTTAGATTGAGAATAGCCAGATGTGTAACTAGAGGATTCTGAACCACTAACAGTTGGGAAACTTACAGTGCTTTCAGACGCATTGGAAGATTCGCCAGATTCAGTGGCTTCGGTGGCTGGAGTAGATTCAGTAGATTCAGTAGCTTCGGTGGATTCAGTGAAGTTAGATTGAGAATAGCCAGATGTGTAACTAGAGGATTCTGAACCACTAACAGTTGGGAAACTTACAGTGCTTTCAGACGCATTGGAAGATTCGCCAGATTCAGTGGCTTCGGTGGCTGGAGTAGATTCAGTAGGTTCAGTAGCTTCGGTGGATTCGGTGGATTCGGTGAAGTTAGATGTAGAATAGCCAGATGTGTAACTAGAGGATTCTGAACCACTAACAGTTGGGAAACTTACAGTGCTTTCAGACGCATTGGAAGATTCGCCAGATTCAGTGGCTTCGGTGGCTGGAGTAGATTCAGTAGGTTCAGTAGCTTCGGTGGATTCGGTGGATTCGGTGAAGTTAGATTGAGAATAGCCAGATGTGTAACTAGAGGATTCTGAACCACTAACAGTTGGGAAACTTACAGTGCTTTCAGACGCATTGGAAGATTCGCCAGATTCAGTGGCTTCGGTGGCTGGAGTAGATTCAGTAGATTCAGTAGCTTCGGTGGATTCAGTGAAGTTAGATTGAGAATAGCCAGATGTGTAACTAGAGGATTCTGAACCACTAACAGTTGGGAAACTTACAGTGCTTTCAGACGCATTGGAAGATTCGCCAGATTCAGTGGCTTCGGTGGCTGGAGTAGATTCAGTAGGTTCAGTAGCTTCGGTGGATTCGGTGGATTCGGTGAAGTTAGATGTAGAATAGCCAGATGTGTAACTAGAGGATTCTGAACCACTAACAGTTGGGAAACTTACAGTGCTTTCAGACGCATTGGAAGATTCGCCAGATTCAGTGGCTTCGGTGGCTGGAGTAGATTCAGTAGGTTCAGTAGCTTCAGTGGATTCGGTGGATTCGGTGAAGTTAGATGTAGAATAGCCAGATGTGTAACTAGAGGATTCTGAACCACTAACAGTTGGGAAACTTACAGTGCTTTCAGACGCATTGGAAGATTCGCCAGATTCAGTGGCTTCGGTGGCTGGAGTAGATTCAGTAGGTTCAGTAGCTTCGGTGGATTCGGTGGATTCGGTGAAGTTAGATGTAGAATAGCCAGATGTGTAACTAGAGGATTCTGAACCACTAACAGTTGGGAAACTTACAGTGCTTTCAGACGCATTGGAAGATTCGCCAGATTCAGTGGCTTCGGTGGCTGGAGTAGATTCAGTAGATTCAGTAGATTCAGTAGCTTCGGTGGATTCAGTGAAGTTAGATTGAGAATAGCCAGATGTGTAACTAGAGGATTCTGAACCACTAACAGTTGGGAAACTTACAGTGCTTTCAGACGCATTGGAAGATTCGCCAGATTCAGTGGCTTCGGTGGCTGGAGTAGATTCAATAGATTCAGTAGCTTCAGTCATATCCGAACCTGATGGTGTACATGTAGGACATAAAGTTGTTGTTTCTCCTTCGCTAGAAATACCAGATTCTGTAACTAAAGAAGATTCTGTAGCTTCAGTGGATTCACCAGATTCTGAAGCTAGAGTAGATTCGGTAGCTTCAGCGGTTTCGGTGGTTTCAGTAGCTTCAGTGGATTCACCAGATTCTGAAGCTAAAGATGATTCAGTAACTTCAGTTGCTTCGGTACTCTCAGTAGCTTCAGTGGATTTGCCAGATTCTGAAGCTAAAGATGATTCAGTAGCTTCAGTGGTTTCGGTGGTTTCAGTAGCTTCAGTGGATTCACCAGATTCTGAAGCTAGAGTAGATTCGGTAGCTTCAGCGGTTTCGGTGGATTCAGTAGCTTCAGTGGATTCGCCAGATTCAGTCATATCCGAACCTGATGGTGTACATGTAGGACATAAAGTTGTTGTTTCTTCCTCGCTAGAAATACCAGATTCTGTAACTAAAGAAGATTCTGTAGCTTCAGTTGATTCACCAGATTCGGTAGCTAAAGATGATTCAGTGGCTTCAGCGGTTTCGGTGGTTTCAGTAGCTTCAGTGGATTCACCAGATTCTGAAGCTAAAGATGATTCAGTAACTTCAGTTGCTTCGGTACTCTCAGTAGCTTCAGTGGTTTCGGTGGTTTCAGTAGCTTCAGTGGATTCACCAGATTCTGAAGCTAAAGATGATTCAGTAACTTCAGTTGCTTCGGTGGTTTCAGTAGCTTCAGTGGATTCACCAGATTCTGAAGCTAAAGATGATTCAGTAACTTCAGTTGCTTCGGTACTCTCAGTAGCTTCAGTGGTTTCGGTGCTTTCAGTAGCTTCAGTGGATTCACCAGATTCTGAAGCTAAAGATGATTCAGTAGCTTCAGTGGTTTCGGTGGTTTCAGTAGCTTCAGTGGATTCACCAGATTCGGTAGCTAAAGATGATTCAGTGGCTTCAGCGGTTTCGGTGGTTTCAGTAGCTTCAGTGGATTCACCAGATTCTGAAGCTAGAGTAGATTCGGTAGCTTCGGCGGTTTCGGTGGTTTCAGTAGCTTCAGTGGATTCACCAGATTCTGAAGCTAGAGTAGATTCGGTAGCTTCAGTGGCTTCGGTGGCTGGAGTAGATTCAATAGATTCAGTAGCTTCAGTCATATCCGAACCTGATGGTGTACATGTAGGACATAAAGTTGTTGTTTCTCCTTCGCTAGAAATACCAGATTCTGTAACTAAAGAAGATTCTGTAGCTTCAGTGGATTCACCAGATTCTGAAGCTAGAGTAGATTCGGTAGCTTCAGCGGTTTCGGTGGTTTCAGTAGCTTCAGTGGATTCACCAGATTCTGAAGCTAAAGATGATTCAGTAACTTCAGTTGCTTCGGTACTCTCAGTAGCTTCAGTGGATTTGCCAGATTCTGAAGCTAAAGATGATTCAGTAGCTTCAGTGGTTTCGGTGGTTTCAGTAGCTTCAGTGGATTCACCAGATTCTGAAGCTAGAGTAGATTCGGTAGCTTCAGCGGTTTCGGTGGATTCAGTAGCTTCAGTGGATTCGCCAGATTCAGTCATATCCGAACCTGATGGTGTACATGTAGGACATAAAGTTGTTGTTTCTTCCTCGCTAGAAATACCAGATTCTGTAACTAAAGAAGATTCAGTAGCTTCAGTTGATTCACCAGATTCGGTAGCTAAAGATGATTCAGTGGCTTCAGCGGTTTCGGTGGTTTCAGTAGCTTCAGTGGATTCACCAGATTCTGAAGCTAGAGTAGATTCGGTAGCTTCAACGGTTTCGGTGGTTTCAGTAGCTTCAGTGGATTCACCAGATTCGGTAGCTAGAGTAGATTCGGTAGCTTCAGCGGTTTCGGTGGTTTCAGTAGCTTCAGTAGATTCACCAGATTCGGTAGCTAAAGATGATTCAGAAGCTTCAGTGGTTTCGGTGGTTTCAGTAGCTTCAGTGGATTCACCAGATTCTGAAGCTAGAGTAGATTCGGTAGCTTCGGCGGTTTCGGTGGTTTCAGTAGCTTCAGTGGATTCACCAGATTCTGAAGCTAGAGTAGATTCGGTAGCTTCAACGGTTTCGGTGGATTCAGTAGCTTCAGTGGATTCGCCAGATTCAGTCATATCCGAACCTGATGGTGTACATGTAGGACATAAAGTTGTTGTTTCTTCCTCGCTAGAAATACCAGATTCTGTAACTAAAGAAGATTCAGTAGCTTCAGTGGATTCACCAGATTCTGAAGCTAGAGTAGATTCGGTAGCTTCAACGGTTTCGGTGGTTTCAGTAGCTTCAGTAGATTCACCAGATTCGGTAGCTAAAGATGATTCAGTGGCTTCAGCGGTTTCGGTGGTTTCAGTAGCTTCAGTGGATTCACCAGATTCTGAAGCTAGAGTAGATTCGGTAGCTTCAACGGTTTCGGTGGTTTCAGTAGCTTCAGTAGATTCACCAGATTCGGTAGCTAAAGATGATTCAGTGGCTTCAGCGGTTTCGGTGGTTTCAGTAGCTTCAGTGGATTCACCAGATTCTGAAGCTAGAGTAGATTCGGTAGCTTCGGCGGTTTCGGTGGTTTCAGTAGCTTCAGTGGATTCACCAGATTCTGAAGCTAGAGTAGATTCGGTAGCTTCAGTGGATTCAGTAGCTTCAGTGGATTCGCCAGATTCAGTCATATCCGAACCTGATGGTGTACATGTAGGACATAAAGTTGTTGTTTCTTCCTCGCTAGAAATACCAGATTCTGTAACTAAAGAAGATTCAGTAGCTTCAGTGGATTCACCAGATTCTGAAGCTAGAGTAGATTCGGTAGCTTCAACGGTTTCGGTGGTTTCAGTAGCTTCAGTTGATTCACCAGATTCGGTAGCTAAAGATGATTCGGTAGCTTCAGTGGTTTCGGTGGTTTCAGTAGCTTCAGTGGATTCACCAGATTCTGAAGCTAGAGTAGATTCGGTAGCTTCAGTGGTTTCGGTGGTTTCAGTAGCTTCAGTGGATTCACCAGATTCTGAAGCTAGAGTAGATTCGGTAGCTTCAACGGTTTCGGTGGTTTCAGTAGCTTCAGTAGATTCACCAGATTCGGTAGCTAAAGATGATTCAGTGGCTTCAGCGGTTTCGGTGGTTTCAGTAGCTTCAGTAGATTCACCAGATTCGGTAGCTAAAGATGATTCAGTGGCTTCAGCGGTTTCGGTGGTTTCAGTAGCTTCAGTGGATTCACCAGATTCTGAAGCTAGAGTAGATTCGGTAGCTTCAACGGTTTCGGTGGTTTCAGTAGCTTCAGTAGATTCACCAGATTCGGTAGCTAAAGATGATTCAGTGGCTTCAGCGGTTTCGGTGGTTTCAGTAGCTTCAGTGGATTCACCAGATTCTGAAGCTAGAGTAGATTCGGTAGCTTCAGCGGTTTCGGTGGATTCAGTAGCTTCAGTGGATTCGCCAGATTCAGTCATATCCGAACCTGATGGTGTACATGTAGGACATAAAGTTGTTGTTTCTTCCTCGCTAGAAATACCAGATTCTGTAACTAAAGAAGATTCAGTAGCTTCAGTGGATTCACCAGATTCTGAAGCTAGAGTAGATTCGGTAGCTTCAGCGGTTTCGGTGGTTTCAGTAGCTTCAGTGGATTCACCAGATTCGGTAGCTAGAGTAGATTCGGTAGCTTCAGCGGTTTCGGTGGTTTCAGTAGCTTCAGTTGATTCACCAGATTCGGTAGCTAAAGATGATTCAGTAGCTTCAGTGGTTTCGGTGGTTTCAGTAGCTTCAGTGGATTCACCAGATTCGGTAGCTAAAGATGATTCAGTAGCTTCAGTGGTTTCGGTGGTTTCAGTAGCTTCAGTTGATTCACCAGATTCGGTAGCTAAAGATGATTCAGTAGCTTCAGTGGTTTCGGTGGTTTCAGTAGCTTCAGTTGATTCACCAGATTCGGTAGCTAAAGATGATTCAGTAGCTTCAGCGGTTTCGGTGGATTCAGTAGTTTCAGTGGATTCACCAGATTCTGAAGCTAGAGTAGATTCGGTAGCTTCAGTGGTTTCGGTGGTTTCAGTAGCTTCAGTTGATTCTTCTTCAGTTGTGGATGGTTCGGAAGTTTCCTCAGTTGATTCTTCTTCAGTTGTGGATGGTTCGGAAGTTTCCTGGGTAGATTCTTCTTCAGTGGTAGTTGGTTCTGAAGTCTCCTCAGTAGATTCTTCATCAGTTGTGGATGGTTCTGAAGTTTCCTGGGTAGATTCTTCTTCAGTGGTAGTTGGTTCTGAAGTCTCCTCAGTAGATTCTTCTTCAGTTGTGGATGGTTCTGAAGTCTCCTCAGTAGATTCTTCTTCAGTTGTGGATGGTTCTGAAGTTTCCTGGGTAGATTCTTGTTCAGTTGTGGATGGTTCGGAAGTTTCCTCAGTTGATTCTTCTTCAGTGGTAGTTGGTTCGGAAGTTTCCTCAGTAGATTCTTCTTCAGTTGTGGATGGTTCTGAAGTCTCCTCAGTAGATTCTTCTTCAGTTGTGGATGGTTCTGAAGTCTCCTCAGTAGATTCTTCTTCAGTGGTGGATGGTTCGGAAGTCTCCTCAGTAGATTCTTCTTCAGTTGTGGATGGTTCTGAAGTCTCCTCAGTAGATTCTTCTTCAGTTGTAGATGGTTCTGAAGTCTCCTCAGTAGATTCTTCTTCAGTTGTGGATGGTTCGGAAGTTTCCTCAGTAGATTCTTCTTCAGTTGTGGATGGTTCGGAAGTTTCCTCAGTAGATTCTTCTTCAGTTGTGGATGGTTCTGAAGTTTCCTGGGTAGATTCTTCTTCAGTGGTAGTTGGTTCTGAAGTTTCCTCAGTAGATTCTTCTTCAGTTGTGGATGGTTCGGAAGTTTCCTCAGTAGATTCTTCTTCAGTGGTGGATGGTTCGGAAGTTTCCTCAGTAGATTCTTCTTCAGTTGTAGATGGTTCTGAAGTCTCCTGAGTGGATTCTTCTTCAGTTGTGGATGGTTCGGAAGTTTCCTCAGTAGATTCTTCTTCAGTGGTGGATGGTTCGGAAGTTTCCTGAGTAGATTCTTCTTCAGTGGTAGTTGGTTCTGAAGTTTCTTCTGTTGATTCTTCTTCAGTTGTGGATGGTTCGGAAGTTTCCTGGGTAGATTCTTCTTCAGTGGTAGTTGGTTCTGAAGTCTCCTCAGTAGATTCTTCTTCAGTTGTGGATGGTTCGGAAGTTTCCTCAGTAGATTCTTCTTCAGTTGTAGATGGTTCTGAAGTCTCCTGAGTAGATTCTTGTTCAGTTGTGGATGGTTCGGAAGTTTCCTCAGTAGATTCTTCTTCAGTTGTGGATGGTTCTGAAGTCTCCTCGGTAGATTCTTCTTCAGTTGTGGATGGTTCTGAAGTTTCCTGAGTGGATTCTTCTTCAGTTGTGGATGGTTCGGAAGTCTCCTCAGTAGATTCTTCTTCAGTTGTGGATGGTTCTGAAGTCTCCTCGGTAGATTCTTCTTCAGTTGTGGTTGGTTCGGAAGTTTCCTGGGTAGATTCTTCTTCAGTGGTAGTTGGTTCTGAAGTTTCCTGAGTGGATTCTTCTTCAGTTGTGGATGGTTCTGAAGTTTCCTCAGTAGATTCTTCTTCAGTTGTAGATGGTTCTGAAGTCTCCTGAGTGGATTCTTCTTCAGTTGTGGATGGTTCGGAAGTTTCCTCAGTAGATTCTTCTTCAGTTGTGGATGGTTCGGAAGTTTCCTCAGTAGATTCTTCTTCAGTTGTGGATGGTTCTGAAGTCTCCTCGGTAGATTCTTCTTCAGTTGTGGTTGGTTCGGAAGGTGTCTCGGTGGATTGTTCTTCAGTTGTGGTTGGTTCGGAAGTCTCCTGAGTTGATTCTTCTTCAGTTGTGGATGGTTCGGAAGTTTCCTCAGTAGATTCTTCTTCAGTGGTGGATGGTTCGGAAGTTTCCTGGGTAGATTCTTCTTCAGTGGTAGTTGGTTCTGAAGTCTCCTCAGTAGATTCTTCTTCAGTTGTGGATGGTTCTGAAGTCTCCTCAGTAGATTCTTCTTCAGTTGTGGATGGTTCGGAAGTTTCCTCAGTAGATTCTTCTTCAGTTGTGGATGGTTCGGAAGTTTCCTCAGTAGATTCTTCTTCAGTTGTAGATGGTTCTGAAGTCTCCTGAGTAGATTCTTGTTCAGTTGTGGATGGTTCGGAAGTTTCCTCAGTAGATTCTTCTTCAGTTGTGGATGGTTCTGAAGTCTCCTCAGTAGATTCTTCTTCAGTTGTGGATGGTTCGGAAGTTTCCTCAGTAGATTCTTCTTCAGTGGTAGTTGGTTCGGAAGTTTCCTCAGTAGATTCTTCTTCAGTTGTAGATGGTTCTGAAGTCTCCTGAGTAGATTCTTGTTCAGTTGTGGATGGTTCGGAAGTTTCCTCAGTAGATTCTTCTTCAGTGGTAGTTGGTTCGGAAGTTTCCTCAGTAGATTCTTCTTCAGTGGTGGATGGTTCGGAAGTTTCCTCAGTAGATTCTTCTTCAGTTGTGGATGGTTCGGAAGTTTCCTCAGTAGATTCTTCTTCAGTTGTGGATGGTTCTGAAGTCTCCTCGGTAGATTCTTCTTCAGTTGTGGATGGTTCGGAAGTTTCCTCAGTAGATTCTTCTTCAGTTGTGGATGGTTCTGAAGTCTCCTCGGTAGATTCTTCTTCAGTTGTGGTTGGTTCGGAAGTCTCCTGAGTTGATTCTTCTTCAGTTGTGGATGGTTCGGAAGTTTCCTCAGTAGATTCTTCTTCAGTGGTGGATGGTTCGGAAGTTTCCTGGGTAGATTCTTCTTCAGTGGTAGTTGGTTCTGAAGTTTCCTGAGTGGATTCTTCTTCAGTTGTGGATGGTTCTGAAGTTTCCTCAGTAGATTCTTCTTCAGTTGTAGATGGTTCTGAAGTCTCCTGAGTGGATTCTTCTTCAGTTGTGGATGGTTCGGAAGTTTCCTCAGTAGATTCTTCTTCAGTTGTGGATGGTTCTGAAGTCTCCTCGGTAGATTCTTCTTCAGTTGTGGTTGGTTCGGAAGGTGTCTCGGTGGATTGTTCTTCAGTAGTGGTTGGTTCTGAATTTTCATTAGTAGATTGTCCAGTTGTTTCATCTTCGGTTGTTGTTTGTTCGGTGCTTAATACTTCAGTCGATTCTTCTGTTGAGGTTTTTGGGTATGGTGTAAATACATAATAGATTGTAATTGTAGTTGATTTACCATTCAATCCTTCGTATGTTCTTATTACAGTACCATATGTACTGGTAACAGATCCTGTCCATCCAGTAAATAAAGTAGTCTTAGTTTCATAATTTTGTTCACTGCTGGTTTTGATGCTTTTGGTTTTGGTGCTTTTGGATTTACTACTTTTGGATTTACTGCTTTTGGATTTACTGCTTTTGGTTTTGGTACTTTTGCTTTTACTGCTTTTTTTAAACGCAGTGACACCATCATTTCCAGTTAAGGCGGCAGCGTTAACAGCTGCCTTGTGAAAATTGTCCACAAAGGTCGTATGTTCTAATTCAACTGTAAATAAGTGGTTAGAGTTATTTGAACACTCAGCTTCTGTATCATTGAAATATTTTATGACACCCTTCCAGTCGTTGTGGGATTTTCCATTTGGATCTATATATTTTAAGTCTAGGTTAGCGTCACCTCCGGCATTTAAGTAGACAATTCTTATTGGGTAGGCAAATCCAGCGTGCAAATAGTCAGCAAAGTAAGTTTTCTCAGAAGTCTGCCATTGTTTGACCGCATTAATAGAAATGTCATCATAAGAAGCTTCTATGTTTTTGTCAGAATTACAGCATTTGAAAGCACCTTTATTAGCAAACATCAGCAAAGCAGAATTATCGGTATCAAAAAATTCAAAAGTATGGATACCAGATGTCTCAGGAATGAAGTAACCTGTTAATTCAACAGTAAAATTTGATAACGTGATGGGAAAGTCATAAATTTTACTCCAGCTGTCAATTTGTGATTCTTTAAACTTGAAACTAATATCAGTCACACCTTTCACTGAACCTAATTCTTTGTTGACTTTTTCGTAATGATTTAACAAATAATCTTCATCATTATATTTTCCGGTGTATTCTGGAATCAAATAAGGAAAAAACCTTGCTCTGAAACCGTCAACACCAGAAGAAACTGATGGAATATCACAATGATAATCTACCGCTTGTGTTACTTTTGTTAGTGTATTTACAAGCAGAAGTGCTGTATAGCTAATGGAATAGCTTTTAAACAACATCGTTGGTATAAACGATATTATCAGTGAAAGAGTCTATAACAAAATTTAGCGAAAGTGGATTTTTTTCTGTATTTTATTATTAGAGATATATCTTATCAAAAGAATATTCTAAAGTTTTTTAACAAATCTTTAATGATATAATATAAATACCAATCGAAAGATAGTGTTACAAAATTCAACCTAAGCTTTGTTACCCAAACAATAGATCAAAAGGTTTGCGTGAGGTACTGAAGGTTAAGCTGGCTTCCAGAAATTAAAATTAACGATAGAAAAGATATAAAACATATTACAAAATGTCTTTTAAGAAATTTATAATGGGAAAGTAATCATTAAATAGAAAATGGAACTATTCATATCCAAAATTTTGTCCCAAAATTATCTCATATAAATATAGAATTCAAAATGAATTCGATCCAGATCTAACCGCATCAAATATTCTACTTTTAGTCGAAACTTCTCAGCATCAGATGCTTCAATACTCTATCTCCTCTCATGGTAATATCATAATGGCAAACGATTACAGAAATTTCTTAAATTAATCTTCGAAGACCCTCTTCATTGTGGAGAGATTTTAACTTGTTTATAGTCCCTCATACTCAAACTCTCAACCGAAACTAACTGAATTCTGATTTCCAATCGAAATTGTCCTTTCAGGAAGATCTACATTTCTTATAATGGATATATGTCGTGAGGAGGATACAGGCGAGATCTGCTGAATTTCGATTTCGAAGATATCTTGGTCATTATCTACGTGTATATAATTACATCGGTACGATACCCGGTGAGGTTTTAGTTGGCAATGTGATAGAAGACAATAAATGTCTCTATGGACCAGTTCTGGTATTATCAGTTGAGTTTGTTGCAGATGTAACATCAGCATGTGTTCTATCCTTCAAAATAATAGAGTTAGGAAAAATTGATTCATGAAGTAATTCTTTTAGAAATTGTGAGTTTAACAATGGAATTTGAAAACACCGGCAGGAAAATTAAATTCTTAATAGTTGAGTTTTCAGTGCATATAATCCTTGTTATGAGTCGACATTTCTCCTCAGAGGTTATGTTATCACCAAGAAGGGAGGGGTAGAGTCAGATTTCATTCTATTATTCTATCTGTTCAGTAATAAATCTTGTTTTAAAATGAGGATGTAGTTCTCCTTCTGTTGTCCAAAAGGTTGTCTTGTTATTAATATTGTTGGATTCTTTTGGAAATTTTAATATTAGGTTACAATAACCTTCGAAACGGTTTTGCACTAATGGGTGTCTTAATACCAATTTTGTGATAAAAAATTAGTTCATCATCAGAGACCATTCGTAACTATAATTTCTGGTTGTATCTAAATAAAGCTTATTGGTAAATTATGAGGGAAAGTAGCATGAATTTCTCATATGCATAAAAAAATCACCTTGGTCAGACAAGTTAATAAAACAATTTGTAGGAATTACGTATGATTCCTCGATAATTAAGGAAATTCTACGAAGTTTATTTTCATACTTTCTTGCAATTCCATTTCAGTTAAGTAATAACATAGCGAAGTCTCAGATTTATCAATAATTCTTGGAGTTTAAAGGGCAAAAAAATGAGCTTATCTTCTTTTCATTTTCTTCAGAATATGATATTTTAATGCCGAAATAATACGTCATCTGATAACTTGATACCAGATAAATTTTGCACATACTTATCGAATTAGATTGTCTTGTATGTATCTATATTGATCTAAACTCATCTCGTTTTCAGATTTCACACTTGGCCAATTTCACTTTTTAAGAGTTAGCATAGGGTAATACATGGTAAAAAGGTCATGTGATATTCTCTTTATGTATTATTTAGTATTACTTCGTACAAACCTTGGTAGTGTCGAGATATGCGTTGTTACAACAACGTTGTTTCATATTAACCAGTATTGATATTAAAAGAGATCATTGTATATTATTGTATATTATTGTATAATATTGTATAGTATTTAGTATGTTAACTTGTACACTGAAAGAATCAATCAATAACAAAATTAATTATTAGTATATTTGCATTATGATACAGATCTCCACAATAAGAGTATCCTGGATAAATGCAGAGCCGCCTTTATTCTAACGTATACCAAAATAACTATACAACTAAATAGTAATTAACAATTACCAAATACTGGCCAATTAATACATTTATGACGTTAGTCTGTTGACAAAGCTAACCCTACTTTAAGTCTGTTAAAGTATACTGCTGTTTAAAATAATGGTACATATAAGAGATGAACATAGTGTCTGTTCGATGCGACATGTTTTGTTAACCAGTTCAATACAGCTGGTCTACAACGAAGCACATATTGTGGAGTGTTGTTCTTGACAGTAGTACGAAACTTCCTTAATTCAGATTCGAAATAATAGAGATAGTATAGGTAATATGCTCTTCCATAAATCAGTTTTCTCATATTTGGGTTCACTTTATGTTGGGACAATCAAGATTAACAACAGCTCAAGTTATATTATTCAATTCATTTTAAATGAGTCCCAAGGAATATTCATTATTATTCCATTAGTTTTGACTACGTTATACTTATTCTCTTAATAGTTAGTTATTATATTTCTTGTACTTTAATTTGTTAGATATCAATTGCACGTGATCGACCAAATCAAATCTCATAAGGTAATTTACATGACGGATTTAATATTCACAAACAACTAGGACATGGACTGAGACCAAATTTATTTGTAAAGAGTCTTTTGCATATTCAAACTAATATAACTAACGGAGAGGTAAATTTAATGATTACATGAATCTTCTATAAAAGTAATTGAGTGTAAAATAAATCTTTAAGTTCTTTCGTTACACTACTACTGCATATTAACCATTGATAAGTACTACATATATTTTTTGTTAAATGATACAGATTGTGTAGGAATGGGAGATTTTTTTTTAAAAATAAAATCAAAATATCTTTCGAAAGCTTATTCCATTTATTTTCAATTGCAAAATGTTTATTACTCAATGTGTATATGATGGCCGAATGTCATTAAATTAGCAAATATCCTTAAAATTTTCTAAACTACGTTTTATAATAAATAGTAACAGTTTATTAGGTGTGTATGTTTGAATGTATTGTTAACATGGTAATTAAGTACACTGGATGGATTGATATACTCTTGTGATAAGACCTCATGTTAAAACTTCGGTAATTTTTTATGAAAGCTTACCTTACATTTATTCGACTATTTGACCTTTGCATCTATTCTTACTTATCGACCATATAAGACTTTTCAAATTTAATAGTAACAACTATTAAGATATAGTTTGTTGAGAAGAACTAAAAAGTATATATTGTAACTATGTGTATATAACGTAAATAACTATTCGTATATGATATAAGGTACTATGTCTTAGATTCTCTTATATTAAAACACAACATTATTAAACATATAGTAAAATATCTAAAAAACTGAAATATGTATTAAGTAATAACAGTTCAAAGTAGCAATTAAAAGAATCATAATTAAAAAATCCACTCAAAGAGAGTTCATAATAATACGGATAATAAGAATACAACAACAGCACCAAAAATGGATCTATCAGAAACCAAATTGCCAGCTCCGCCGGTATAAGATGAAATAGAAATGGTTTGTCCTTCAGTAGTAGAACTGCCTGGGAATGTTTCAATTGCGGAGTTAGATTCTTGTGGAATAGATGTTGTTTGTGGAGCAAATATTTGTGTAGTTTCTTCAACAGTAGTTGGTGGAACAACAACGGTACTTCCTGAAGTAATAATAGTAGTTCCTGGAATGATAACGGATGCAGTGACAGAAGAAACGACCTGTGGGACTGTTGTTGGTGGAATAACAATAGTACTACTAGATGATACAATTGTTGTGCCAGGAACAACAACAACTGGTCTGGTTTCAGTAGTTGTACTTGAAGGAATAACGGTAGTCTTGCCTGAAGTAACAATAGTAGTTCCTGGAACAACAACTGGAACAGTCATAGACGAAACTTCCTGAGTTAAAGTAGTTGGTGGAACAACAGTGGTCTTACCAGAAGTAACAACAGTTGTACCTGGGATAACAACTGGGGTAGAAGCAGAAGATACTGCCTTTGTAATAGTAGTTGGTGGAACAACAGTGGTCTTACCAGAAGTAACGACAGTTGTGCCTGGGATAACAACTGGGGTAGAAGCAGAAGATACTGCCTTTGTAATAGTCGTTGGTGGAACAACAGTGGTCTTACCAGAAGTAACGACAGTTGTGCCTGGGATAACAACTGGGGTAGAAGCAGAAGATACTGCCTTTGTAATAGTAGTTGGTGGAACGACAGTGGTCTTACCAGAAGTAACAACAGTTGTACCTGGGATAACAACTGGGGTAGAAGCAGAAGATACTGCCTTTGTAATAGTAGTTGGTGGAACAACAGTGGTCTTACCAGAAGTAACGACAGTTGTGCCTGGGATAACAACTGGGGTAGAAGCAGAAGATACTGCCTTTGTAATAGTAGTTGGTGGAACGACAGTGGTCTTACCAGAAGTAACAACAGTTGTACCTGGGATAACATGAGTGGAAGTTGTTGGAACGTGAGTGACAGTCTCGGATGAACATGGTTCGGTGACAGTGACAGTAGAGCAGACATCATTGGAACATTCAGTAGTGGTGTAAGTAGTGATGCTTTGTTCTTGGGTGGTGACAGTTTCAGAAGATACTACCTTTGTAATAGTGGTTGGTGGAACGACAGTGGTCTTACCAGAAGTAACAACAGTTGTACCTGGGATAACATGAGTGGAAGTTGTTGGAACGTGAGTGACAGTCTCGGATGAACATGGTTCGGTGACAGTGACAGTAGAGCAGACATCATTGGAACATTCAGTAGTGGTGTAAGTAGTGATGCTTTGTTCTTGGGTGGTGACAGTTTCAGAAGATACTACCTGTGTAATAGTGGTTGGTGGAACGACAGTGGTCTTACCAGAAGTAACAACAGTTGTACCTGGGATAACATGGGTGGTAGTTGTTGGAGCGTGAGTGACAGTTTCAGAAGAACATGGTTCGGTGACAGTGACAGTAGAGCAGACATCATTGGAACATTCAGTAGTGGTGTAAGTAGTGATGCTTTGCTCTTGGGTGGTGACAGTCTCAGAAGAACATGGTTCAGTGATGGTGACAGTAGAGCAGACATCATTGGAACATTCGGTAGTAGTAATAGTGGTAACAGATTGTTCATGGGTAGCGGTGACAGTTTCAGAAGAACATGGTTCAGTGATGGTGACAGTGGAGCAGACGTCATTGGAACATTCGGTAGTAGTAATAGTGGTAACAGATTGTTCATGAGTGGAAGTGACAGTTTCAGAAGAACATGGTTCAGTGATAGTGACAGTGGAGCAGACGTCATTGGAACATTCGGTAGTAGTAATAGTGGTAACAGATTGTTCATGAGTGGAAGTGACAGTTTCAGAAGAGCATGGTTCAGTGATAGTGACGGTAGAACAAACATCTCCAGAACACTCAGTTGTTGTAATAGTCGTAACAGGTTCTGAAGTTTGAGGGATGGTAGTGTTTGAGGATGTGTAAATAGCAGATTCAGAAACACTTTGAGTTGATAAAGCTCCAGTAGTGGACGAGCTTGCAAGGGTGCTGTTAATGGAGGTATATAAGGAACTTATAACACTCTCAGATGTTTGAGTAGTTTCGGTACTCCCTACAGTTGTATGGTTGAATGAATTAGATTCTGAAGTCAAGGTAGCAGAAGCAGATTCGGTACTTTCGATTTCAGTAGCGTTGGTAGATGCAACAATGGATGATTCTGAAGTCAAGGTAGCAGAAGCAGGTTCGGTACTTTCGATTTCAGTAGCGTTGGTAGATGCAACAATGGATGATTCTGAAGTCAAGGTAGCAGAAGCAGATTCGGTACTTTCGATTTCAGTAGCGTTGGTAGATGCAACAATGGATGATTCTGAAGTCAAGGTAGCAGAAGCAGGTTCGGTACTTTCGATTTCAGTAGCGTTGGTAGATGCAACAATGGATGATTCTGAAGTCAAGGTAGCAGAAGCAGATTCGGTACTTTCGATTTCAGTAGCGTTGGTAGATGCAACAATGGATGATTCTGAAGTCAAGGTAGCAGAAGCAGATTCGGTACTTTCGATTTCAGTAGCGTTGGTAGATGCAACAATGGATGATTCTGAAGTCAAGGTAGCAGAAGCAGGTTCGGTACTTTCGATTTCAGTAGCGTTGGTAGATGCAACAATGGATGATTCTGAAGTCAAGGTAGCAGAAGCAGATTCGGTACTTTCGATTTCAGTAGCGTTGGTAGATGCAACAATGGATGATTCTGAAGTGACAGGTTCAGAAGAGGCAGCTTCAGAGGAGGCAGCTTCAGAGGATGAAGTGGCAGATTCAGAGGATGAAGTGACAGGTTCAGAGGAGGCAGCTTCAGAGGATGAAGTGGCAGCTTCAGAAGAGGCAGCTTCAGAGGATGAAGTGACAGGTTCAGAAGAGGCAGCTTCAGAGGAGGCAGCTTCAGAGGATGAAGTGGCAGATTCAGAGGATGAAGTGACAGGTTCAGAGGAGGCAGCTTCAGAGGATGAAGTGGCAGCTTCAGAAGAGGCAGCTTCAGAGGATGAAGTGACAGATTCAGAAGAGGCAGCTTCAGAGGATGAAGTGACAGGTTCAGAAGAGGCAGCTTCAGAGGAGGCAGCTTCAGAGGATGAAGTGGCAGATTCAGAGGATGAAGTGACAGATTCAGAAGAGGCAGCTTCAGAGGATGAAGTGACAGATTCAGAAGAGGCAGCTTCAGAGGATGAAGTGACAGATTCAGAGGAGGCAGCTTCAGAGGATGAAGTGGCAGCTTCAGAAGAGGCAGCTTCAGAGGATGAAGTGACAGATTCAGAAGAGGCAGCTTCAGAGGATGAAGTGACAGATTCAGAAGAGGCAGCTTCAGAGGATGAAGTGACAGATTCAGAAGAGGCAGCTTCAGAGGATGAAGTAACAGATTCAGAAGAGGCAGCTTCAGAGGATGAAGTAACAGATTCAGAAGAGGCAGCTTCAGAGGATGAAGTGACAGCTTCGGAGGAAGTCACTTCTAAAGAGGAAGCCACAGAGGAACTAGATGCGGTAGCAGTTGTGTTAGAGAAACTGAAAGGTTCTACAGCACGTAAATTTCTTTCGAAATCATAATAAGGAAAGTCTCTTTGTCTTAAATCGTTTGAACCTTCCATGTCATAGAAATTCTCTAATTCAGCTTGTGACAATTGCGCTAAAGCACCAATCAAAATTAGCGCAGCATGGCTATATTTATAGCCTTTGAATAGCATGATTAATTAATTATTATTTTGGTTTTCCAGTTTAGAGAAACTAATTAAAGTTTATGAGAAAAAAAATTGATAAAATAAAATGAAATAAAGCGAACGTATAGTTTCTGAGTTTTCAAAAAGAAGATATTGTACACCGATAAGAAGAGAAAGAAAAATATAAATTTATCTTCAATATATATATCAGTCTAAATTCCCAATAAAAGGAGGGTTTTTTATAATATTTTCAACTTCGAGAACACCTGACAGCAATAACCCAAATAAATCAAATAAGGCTAACGTGATACCCCTTTATGGAATCTAACCCAAATAGCATAATTTGAAATTATAAAAAAAAGACCGTCAAATTCAAACCTCTGATATATCTAGAATTGAACCGCCCTTATATATACACTTTTGCAATCCAAAGCCTCTAACTCACATCCCTAAAAGTATTCCCGATACCACACCTCTCTTGTCCCAACTCTCCTCCTCATGCATCTCAAAAAAACCTAAATTAACACTCTTGCTTCACTTAACCTTCATCAATATACCTGGAAACTCCTCATAATCATTAATCACCTTCAACCTAACCCTTTTATTTCATATTCCCCCAATCTTCAACTTTAATAAAGCCATCATCAACTGATGATGATTCTTTTAGGTTCTTTTGAAGATTTCCATTCCTTTTATAGCAACGCTCCGAGAGGAGCCGCCGAGATCTGCTGGATCAAAAAAACAAAAAAAGAAACGAAAGGGAAAAAAGAAATTCTTCTGTAAATAGACACATCACTGTGTACGTGACTGGCTCATTCGACTTGTTAAGAATAGTCAATATTGGTTGAGTCTTCTTATCCTCTGCCAACTAACGTTTGCGACCCTACAAGATGGGGTGGGTTTTGAATACATGGTTGATTTTAGTTTATTAATAGCAACTGTGGTGCTATTAATAACAAGTGAAGGTTTGCAATTGCTTATTCATGCTGGATTGATTGCATTCAGCGTCTAATGAATCCACTTCATTGATCTTGTTGGGACGATGATGATGAATCACGCAGGACAAGTAGTTTCATGATTACTAGAGCTTCTCATCATTGCTTTTTCTGTTTGTAATTTCACATTTCCCATCTCAGTTGGTTTTGGAAAGGCTGCCTCCTTGAGATTGGGTTTCTGATGTTGTAGAATTGTTTTTGCTTGATGTTCTTACTTTTTACCTCCCTACTATCCAGCACCTGTTTCTATTTCTCACCATCTTGGCATTGGATTTCTTGGGTATTTTAGTGATTATCTGATTTGGAACTGTGGATTGTTCGGCAATTGGTACCAGATAGAACAAGTTGACAACATGTGCACTGTTATTTCTTTTTATGCTTTTGTAATTTCACAGTTTCTACAACGACTGTGGCAAAATCATGCTTAAGGACATAAACAGATATTCATAAACAATACTTTGTAATGTGCGTTTGTTGATTAATCAGTAATGAACTTGATAAACCAAGGTCGTGTTTTGATGGTTGCTTATTTCCTTTGACTACTTTAGTATTAATCGTCATAATGGTGATGTTTAAATGAGATCATTGAAACATTTTACCTGGTGTCAGGGTAATTCAGCTCATCGGTCGATGAGCTGATTATGTAACAGGTTCGGAAGAATATACAGTACAATACTGTTCCTAATTACAAATGACTTATAACAAGAGCGGCTATAAGTCTGTACCTTGTGTGATTTCGATTTGGCACTAACTAGATCTATCGCTGGACTTCGTAATAACTTAAATTCATTCGCAATCGTAATAATCAAATCTCTGGCAAACTTGAATTAATTAAAAGCAAGCATAAGGACTCTTATAAATATGTAAAACTTGAGCAATGTTAATGAGATATTTAGTATTCATTATAGATAATTAAACGCTAAATGAACATATTTATAAAAATATCTAAGAAGAACTAAAAGGTATTTTTAAAATTAATTAAAATATATTTTTGGGAATTGTTTTTTAATAATAAGTCATGATTATAGAATCAAAGAGAATACGAAAGCCAATAAAGTGTTGAAAACAGCAATGTTGGAAAAATTGATGTTGGCACCACCAGTGAAAGAAGAGACAGAGGCGGTAGAAGTTTTGGAACTGTAAGCTGATACAGTGTGGGATTTAACTTCTTCAGTAGCTAAAGAGGTAGAATGAGATTTAACTTCTTCGGTAGCCAAAGTGGTTGAGTGTGATTTGTTTTGTTCAGTTTCTAATGAAGTCAATTGAGTTTTAGTAGTGGCAGCTGAAGTGACATGTTTAGTTGTAGTCAATGGAGTAGAAGCAGAAGAAACCACCTTTGTAAGTGTGGTTGGTGGAACAACGAAGGTCTTACCAGAAGTAACAATAGTTGTACCTGGGATAACATGGGTGGTAGTTGTTGGAGCGTGAGTGACAGTTTCAGAAGAACATGGTTCGGTGACAGTGACAGTAGAGCAGACATCATTGGAACATTCAGTAGTGGTGTAAGTAGTGATGCTTTGCTCTTGGGTGGTGACAGTCTCAGAAGAACATGGTTCAGTGATGGTGACAGTAGAGCAGACATCATTGGAACATTCGGTAGTAGTAATAGTGGTAACAGATTGTTCATGGGTAGCGGTGACAGTTTCAGAAGAACATGGTTCAGTGATGGTGACAGTGGAGCAGACGTCATTGGAACATTCGGTAGTAGTAATAGTGGTAACAGATTGTTCATGAGTGGAAGTGACAGTTTCAGAAGAACATGGTTCAGTGATAGTGACAGTGGAGCAGACGTCATTGGAACATTCGGTAGTAGTAATAGTGGTAACAGATTGTTCATGAGTGGAAGTGACAGTTTCAGAAGAACATGGTTCAGTGATAGTGACAGTGGAGCAGACGTCATTGGAACATTCGGTAGTAGTAATAGTGGTAACAGATTGTTCATGAGTGGAAGTGGTGTTAGAGGAAGTGTAGATAGGAGATAAAGTTGATTCAGAGGAGATAGCAGTCAAAGAATGTTCAGTAGTTTGGGATAAGGTGGCATTGTGGGAACTGTAAACTGGAGATAAGGTAGATTCGACAGTAGTTGATTCGGAAGGTCTGGTTTCATTGGCAGAAGTGTAGACAGAAGATAAAGTGGATTCAACAGAAGTTGCAGTTTCATTGGCAGAAGTGTAGACAGAAGATAATGTGGATTCAACAGAAGTTGCAGTTTCGTTAGCAGAGCTGTGGGCAGAAGATAAAGTAGATTCTACGGAAGTTGGTTCTTCAGTTGGAACTGTGCTGTTGGCTGATGCGATAGCAGAGGAACTTGAATCCAAAATACTAGTAGTAGCATTAGCTGAAGTGGTAATTTCAAAAGTTGAAGAGAACTCGGAAGCAATTTCAGAGGTAGCTTCAGAGGTAGCTTCAGAAGTTGAATTAGTAGCGGTTTCAGAGGCACTTGAAGAACTGGATTCAAAAGTTGCTGAACCTGGTGTCAAAACGTAGTACGTTGTTTCCAAAGTCTTAAAGTTGTCAGTACCATCGATGGTTATAATATCAGTACTGAAAGTTGTGGTAAAAGTACCAGTCCATTGGCTGAAACTTGTTGTGGTAGTTCTGACATCCTCAGAGCTAATAGTTAAAGATGAATTTGAAAATAGAACTTGAGAGGAAACCATTGAAGCAGCATTGGCAGAAGCCGCCAATGAGCCCATTAAAAGGACAGAGTTTTTAAGCAAAACCATAATAGTGAAAGTTTAAGAAAAGCTCGCGTAAATTGTTAGTAAAATCAATAATACTCTTGGAATAAAAAGTTTCTAATACTAATTATTACAAATAAGCGTCAATAACGATTCTTTCTTGTACTATTACCTAAAAACATCATAATAAGAAATATTTAAAAGGTTCCAAGACATAATGAGGGTTAGTATCCACTCTAAGTTCCACTTTTATATAAAACTTTTCAAAAAAACCCAATGTGACACCACTTTTTTTTTCAATCCCACCATCCCATGGTCATCAGAACATAAAAACCCAACTCTAACCATCAATCGACCATCTTCCCCCCTCCATTTTCCCTCTTTATTATCAACTTGTCAACACCAACACTCTTATATAGGCAATGCCTGTTATGCATCCTGCTAAGAAATCATCGCACAAAAAGTACTCTCAGGCGGCAATCTCGGAGCGGTACACGGAACTTACCTAGAAAGAATGTGGGATCTACGCTCTCGAAACAGATATGTCACGTTATTAAGCAGCACAAGAACACATTTGATTGATTGACCAAGTAAGATCATGCAATGCAACAACGCAATCCACCATCATTTCGAATTACTTTTAGAGTTTATGGTTATTTTCAAGAGGGATAGTGAGGTGATGAGAGACTTTATTTAAAGGATAGTCATAGTCTTTCTACATTGTTGTCAGAAGTTTTATTGGAGGGGGGTTAAGACCCTATTTGGACATTTGTCCATTGTCTATTGTTGCAAAAAATAGAATTCTTTATTGGAAAGCACTTAGTTCCTAGCGATTCATATGGAATTAGATTAGTGTATAATCACGATGATTGATTAAATTTACTAGAGCTCTTTTACATAGAATTGATAGACTTTTTGGGTTTTTTGCTTCTCCTCTTATCCATCGAGCAAACCATCATATGGTACTCAGGGAACGAGGAAACACATTCTTATTTATTCTTGTGTACAATACGAAGCAATGAGTTGTTGATCAATTTTGTTGTTAATAATAGAAGTATTTTTTTTTCCTTTTTGTATTATTAGCAATATGAACCAAACAACATGCTATTAATATAAAACAAATAAAACTAAAAAAATGGTGATATTATAAATATATAATAGTTGTATAACATTGAGAATATTAGATTAGATGGTGTGAATAAAAAGATTATTAATCAACACATTCACTACATTCGGTTTTTGAAACTTGATCCCTCTGTGAGACTAAACTTTCTTGATTGTTCGTATTTCTGGATATATGCGCTCCAACTGAAACAGTATCATTAAACACTAATTCTTTGACCCTCTGCTTCAAGTGCTTGCTATCAGGGAAGCCACCATCGACTTTACGGTCCCAGATGGTGATAGGATCGTCATTATCATTATTTATCCAGGCTAATATTTTAAACTCACCCACAGAACTTGGAACTAACGAGACCTCTCTTAAGTTATCACCGAATGTTTGGAGAAGCTCTTGTAGGTACCAAGCACTCCTTAGGTTCCATTTGCATTTGGTACAGAACAGTATACTTATCTTAGGGAAAGGCATGGAGGGAGGGCTTTAGGTGTCTTGTGTCAGAGTGTCTTGTTTGATATCTAACGCCTTATTTGCATGCACTGAGACTCTGGTTCTTGTCAGATTGTAACTACTGCGCTTTTTTTAAATTTTATTTATTAGATTAAATAACTATAGTTGTAATAGGTTTACTGGTATCAAGACTGGAACTTGTAATGTATTGAAAGAATTATATCGTATAATTATAGATGGTTATGTCCTCATGAAACGAAGCATATGCTGTCCGTCCATGAATATTGAATGTGTTTTTGTTTCCATTTGCTTTTACTTTTAAATACATAACCTGGTTCGAGTTCTGTTGTAACCTCCCAATGTAAGCTTCACTTGCTACACTCGGGATAAGTAATGAACAGGTGACCAATACAGGTAAATTTAAAATGACTTCAATTTAACAGATCGTGTTTAATTTCATTCTTAACTTATCTTAATGTACAATTACACTACAAATCCAAGTTTTTGATCTAATTCTTTAAATAACACGTTTCTCTGCCTCTATCCATCAAATTGATTCTGCATTCAGAATTTATTGAAGAACTAAATACTAGACCAACATGAACTCAATCATACAAGAAATTGACCAATGTTTTATAATGCATACCTTGGTTCATCTAGTCTTAGCTTATCTTGTTTGCCTGTCTTGAATGTATATATCTTTCTTATACTATGAGATATCTCTCTATGCACTAGCAACTTTTCTCGTTGTCCAGTGAAAAATTTTGCGATGAGCTAACCAACTGGTTAACATGGTTTGAATTAAAAGATAGGTATATGACAATTGATGATCGATATTCATTCATTCTAGTAATTGTCTAATCAAGTTGACGGCTCCAATGTTTATTGGTATGAAATCAAGTTCTCAATTAAGGCAAGAAGCCTTAGAATACACGTATAATGCAAATACGCCATTGAAGATATATTTAAAAGTATGTGTATCGATATTGGATAAAGCACAATTGGAATTTCAGAAAGGTGATATATTTTCAGCATATGTACTATATTATCGTTATGCTGATCTGATTGCTAATAAGTTGTCTGATCATTCAGAATTAGCCTTAGTTGCTGAAAGAGATCAAACTGTTTTACATAGAGAAGAATACTACCAATTGGTGAAACTTGAGTTACCAGCCGTGCTGAAGATAGTGGAGGATCTTCAAAAGAATATTGATCTTGATTATAATAAGATACAGTTGTCCTTGTCGAAGAATATTGCGAAACAGCAGAAAAAACCAAACCATGTCAGTGAGCCTGTCCTTCTTCCAAAGACATTTAATGAAAATAGATTTAATCAATCGATCTCATTCTTTAACAATATGAATTCAAATATTACTTTAGAAAACAAAATGCATGGCAATAATAATAACAATACCCATCAAGAACTTTTATATCCTGAATTGCCAACACTATCTAACGCATCATACATTTAATTAATTTGCATCATGGAATTATGTTATCTATAATTAAACATAGTATAAAATATATATAAATAAAAAAAAAATATTGATATATATATATAGCTGTATATATATATACTGTTTGCCATTTTAATATTTAATTGTTATTCGTTTTTATCTAAGATTGATAAGTATATCAACTACCAATAAAAACAAAATCACTATTATAAAAATCCTTTGTGTTTCTAATTTTTGCTTCATAACTGTCATTTCTTTCATTAAAAGATTTATTTGGTCTTCAAATACTCTTATTTCTTCTACAGTCTCTTCAATCTTTTCGGGTAAGGATGTTGTTTCTAGAGCAGTGACTTGACTAGGCTCTGTGCATTTTTGAACAAACTTTTGGATAAAGGGTTTAAGCTTACTTACAGTATCTTCCTGACCACTTTTGCAACTGGAATTTATCAGTCCTTTGATCCAACTACTTCCAACCCAGTCTACCCAAAAAGATATCCTGACTATACAGTTGCTATTCGATCTCCAGCGAAATAGATATCTTGTCATTGTGTTAAAACTGCCTCCACTTGGGACATCTGGTGTCTGCGTGCAGCTTACTACGTTTATGTATTTTTCATACTCCAAATGTTCTAGAGTATCTGTTACTATACATTTTGTACTTTTTGGTCCCATTGAATGATTTAATTCTCTGGTATAGGAATATTTACGATATTTTTTACCCTTCTCATTTACCTCATTAAACGAAGTTATCGTGCTAAAATCTGAAGTATCTTTTTGAACCTTTGAGAAATCTAACCAAAACTTATTGCTGGCTTCACCGAACATTAATTCGTAAACCAGTCCTGGAGCAGCTTCAATTTCGAATTCATCTAATAATTCTTCTCTATCATCTTGAATATTTACAGGAAACCAAGTTTCTTGGCAGGTGTAAGGGCCATTATATTTAAAATCCAATCCTTTCTGTAATTTGTTTACCGTTGTTTTTTTAGTCAATTGTGGTTTTTCGTTGAAAATAGAATCACCATCTAATTCTGAATCATCTGAAGAGGACGTCACAGTTTTTTTAGAGTCATATTGGGAAAAATATTCCACTGAATCAATTGCACTGTTCAACAAGAATCTATCATCGATCTTTGAATCTGCCTTCTCTTCATTTTTAACTGCCTTATCATCTATTAAGGGAGTAGTCTCCGACTCGGTACCTTCAACTTTCTCGATTGGATTTCGTTCACCTTCTTCGATCAGCACTCTTGCCCAAACTTCCTTCATCAATGCAAACGCCTCATCTCTCGAGGCAAACCCATTGAACTGGGTCTTTCCTAACGTAGTCTCTATCGAAATAGCATTAGCAAACAGGCCTGCGGCAGAAGTCTTCTCCATGAAGATGATATCCTTCATTGGAATAATCAATTTTGAGACCCACCCTAATAGATTTGAATTAAAACAGATGCTCCGATCTGTAATATACATTCTTCCCTGATACAAGAACTCCCTGCTTAAGGCACAACTGAAGTCATGCAACAATCTATCCTCCTGCGGGGCCGACTTGAATATTTCATGGAAATCGATATTACGATCCTCAGAGGCATAGTAGTACTGAGTATCGAGGTATCTATCATCGGAATACAAAGCTTTCACTTCAACAACATGGCTGTCACTTACATGACGTTCAGATTTGTCCTTACCTTTGTCGGAATCCAAAACAGGTGAACCAATACTGCTAGAACTGCTATGTCTCTTATTCGACCTCTTGACGTTCCCTGAAGGCTGCCTCCTATGAGAAATAATCACTGGAGAACTACGTTTCTCACCAGAAGAATTCTTCTCCTCGATAATATTATCCAAAGGTGAACTAGGACTCTTGCCTGAGAAAGACGTGAAAATATTCATAAAAGAAGAAGGTGAACCACTCGCCTCCACATCAACATCTGGAGTCTGAGCCAAAACTTTCGTATTAACACGTACCTGATCCTTCGAAACCTTGCCAAAATCAACAACAACATCTTCCTGATCCTGATCCTCATTTCCCATCCCTATTCCAACAGGCTTACCATCACCAACGGGCTCCCAATCATCAATATCAGCACCTCCAACCATACAAATTTATCAAATCCAAACAATTCACAACCTAAAATACAAGATCCAGCAACTACCAACCACCTAAATCAAGTTCCTTCAACCTCTTTACCAACTTAAACCTTCATATATCTCATCGCATCAGAAGACCAAACCATTTTTATCATCACCACTTTTTTTTTCACCTTCCAGGCCCTTTAAATATCCAAAGTTTTAAAAGTGAAGCTTTAAAAGAAGTTTATTTGAATAATTCTGGTATTTTTGGAGGATATCAGTGGCTATAAGTTGAGATTGTATCGGTAAGAGGCCAGTGAATGTTCTAGGTGTTGTTTGTTGTTGTTATATTGCTTTTTGTTTGGTTTCCGATTGGTTTTTTTGGTGAACTTTAGGTTTGGTTTAGTGCGGTTGGAAATTGTAAGATAAAAGAACAATTGGTAGATTTTAGAATTGGAATTGGAATTGGAAAAAAAATGAGCACTGAGGTTGATGCGTCTCCTTTGAACGGTGGAGGGTTTGCTATTGAGAATGGTGGTTCTCACGGGGCTGTAGGTGAGTATGAGGGATCTAGTGGTGGTGATGCTACTGCTGCTGCTGCTGCTGCTGCTGCTGCTGCTGCTGACGTTGAAGTTAATGAGGCACCTACAGATGCAGATGCAGATGCAGGTGCTGATGTAGATGCCAATGTAGATGTAAAGGTGGATGGTACTGCAACTACTGCAAATGAAGTGGTTGATGAGAAATCTGATTTAGGGAAGGTTGTCGTGGAGCCTCCTGCTTTGCCGCACGTAGAGATTAATCAGTTGCCATTGTCATTGGTAATTCGGAATTTGACTGTTTTCACGATTAAAGAAATTTCCCAGTACATGAAAACTAACGTTCATGTTAACCAGCAAGAGGGCTCCTCTGGGAAGAAGTTGAAGTTTTTGCAATTGATTATATTTTTGAGAAATCAGTTTTTGAAACTTTACGTGCTTGTCAAATGGTGCAGAACCATCAAGAACAACAATTTCCACACTTTAATTGATTTGTTGAATTGGTTCAGAACAACAAACATGTCCGTGAACAGTTGTATTTGGGCTTTGAAAAATAATCTGGGGGCCATGGCTAATGCAAAGTTGCCCAACGCTGATTTGATTACTGCTTTGGAAGTTTTGAGTTTGGGAAGACCTGACTTGCCAACTCATAATTATCAACTGAGTGGTGAAGATGATCCAAACCAACTGAAAAATGGAATGACAAAGATCCCACCAAAACTTATATTGAGAAGATTGTACGATCTAAATTTGAACGTCTCCATCAAGATATCGTGGATGGAATTCCCTGAACAGTTCGGCAACTACCAGATCAAAGACGGTAGAATATACATCACCGTTAATAATGAATTTGAATTGCAATTATCTACTGTGGACAGATATTCTCCTTTATTCTTTGTTAATTTGAAGTTCCTATTCGATAACCAAAACTTGCCAATGAATAAACCAAGATTGGAAAAATATATCAACGATTTGTTGTACAAGAGCAATAAACCTTTGTTCGCGGTTTATACTTTCTTGCACAAATATGTTCTAACTCTACAACTATACATGATACATATTGAATTGTCAGGATTAGAAAATGGTGGCAAGTTTTTTGGAGGAAATTTGGTTCATAGATACGATATCAAGAAAAGTGTTATCACAGTTAAATATTGGCTAAATGTTAGAATGGGCAATAGAGGATTAATAACTATTGGTATCGATAAACTCACAGAAAATTTGATTCTACGTTGGGAAAACCAAAATACATCAGATTCCACAGTTATTCCAAAGGTTTACACTAACATCCTATCAAATTTGGAATCCATCTTAGACGAAATCATGTACAATCATGCCCATATGATTAGAATGGGCCTTCTTTCGAAGGGAATATTCCAAGAAGATGAAGAAAATTCAAGTGTGTTACTTTTCCAAATTCCAACAACTTGTTTATCTGTTGCACCAGTGCAGTTAAAAATCGATTTAATAAGTGGCATTTTCTATTTTAAAAATCCAACACCATTGTTACAGAGCTATGCTCAGCAAATGAATAAAGCAGAATCTGCAGAAGAATTGACGGTAATATTACAGAGACTAAGATTGGACAAGATAACACAAATACTAAGAAATATGTTCGAGAAAACAGGATGGGTTTGCAGTAAAGTAGTGAAACTTTCTCAACCAATTAAAACTCAATTCGATGTTGACAAATCATCGGATAATTCCAGTACTTTATTACAAAACGATATGTTTATATCATTGCCAAAGTGGCCTACCCATTGGTATTTAATATTGACAATTATATCATCGAATTCTTTTTGTATTGTAGAGAAAAGAATTGGTAAGATAATGGCTATCAAGGGGAAATGGGAATTAAAGTATCTAGATGAAAGTAGTTTAATTGCTTCGAAACTTGAAACTATAACGTACCAAAAGATTATGAACCTGCAAAGAAGTATTCTCCATAAGATTATTAACCATATGATAATTGATTCGTTAAATCAATTGAAAATATCTAACAGGGTTTGTTCTCAAGAAGCAATTGAAAAGGCACTGCCAGATTATATAATTAGTGATCTGGATTCTGAGAACTCTTTGGATTCATTCAGAACAAGTCTGCCTGCATATTCATCCATAATAGCATTGGAATTAAACTCCTTGTTGAACATTTCAAATACACTTGGAAATGTATTTGAAACTTCTTTATTTTTACAAATTGATTATGCACGTTCAGAGATTAAGCTTTATGGTAAATTTAAATTTGATACTATGGTTTTAAAAAGCAAATGTGATGAATTGAAGATCAATTTTATTCCAAGTGACCCATTGGCATTTTACTTGTGTGAGAAATTTACTAATCTTAATGTGACAGTGCAATATTTGACAAAATTCAAAAAAATACTAATGCAACTAATAATCTTAACGGATGTTGTCGAAAGATTGCGTAAGAACTTTGATACTGAGCATTTCAAAATATTGGATTTGAAGCCGAATGAAGTCTCATTCAAATATTTTAAAAATGATCTCGATGAACCAGATTGTAGAATCAATATTATAACCAACGATGAGATGATAGAAAATCTAAAAGTGGAACTATCTCCATCGAACCCACAATCCATTATCCAACCGTTTATTGATAATAATGGGATGGATTACCATTTCATATTCCACTATCTTCAGTTTACATCGTCCTTATTTACTACATTCAATACAATACTGAGTGACGAAAAGGGTGGTATGTATAAAAATACATACGTTCAATTGGGTTTACACAACCTCAATGAATATCAAATATTATATTTCAACCCAGAAACTGGAGCCAAGATTGGTGTATTGATTGAATTGAAGTCTGTGCCTAGAAATGGTGAACAAAAAGTTCAATATTACGTTCATTTCTCTGATGAAAACATTTCTGCAAAATCTCCAGCATACCAATTAGTGCAAGAAGTACGCAATAAAGTGTTCAAACTAGACAACGACTCATTACCTTCATCACGTCATAAGAATACAATTAGACTTTCAAGCGGTATTGCCTGTGATGCCAACGCAATTGGACCAGTACTATCGGATATCCATAATATCCTAAAGATAGACTCCATAGAGCAATCTACATCAAAGGTATCCACCAACGAAATAAAAGATGCAATAATTGTATGAGTCTAATCATTGAGAAATATTATATATATATATATATGCAATGTTGCCATTCACGTTTTGATTCGCAATAGACAGGTCTATTGTCTTTTTACAGAAGGCATCGCCTTGTTACTATGGTTGCAAAGGAATGCAAAGGAATGCAAAGAATCAAAGTTATAGGTTATCTTTTTATATATTGAACAATCATATAGTTTTAAAAGGTAAATAGAGATTCACTGAGCTGTCAGTGAAGTTACAATTGACGTTTGTGTTTTTATGAAGGGTTGATCTGATCCAAACATCGCAAGTTTTTTGAGCTATTAGGATAATTTTGAGATCACAATGGTAGCAACTGAACAGAAGGCAGTTATCTTAGAAGAGAAAGGCAAGATAGTATTTGGGAATCGACCAATTCCATCAATTGAAGACCAGCATTTTGTCAAGGTCCAGATCAAGGCAACTGGTATATGTGGTTCAGATGTTCATTTCTGTACTCATGGTGCAATTGGGTCATTTATAGTGAAAGAACCAATGGTTTTGGGCCACGAATCAAGTGGTATCGTTGTAGAGGTAGGTAGTGAAGTGACTAAAGTGGCAGTTGGTGATAGAGTTGCAATTGAACCAGGCTATCCAAGCAGGTACTCTGAAGAAACTGTATCCGGCCATTATAATCTATGTCCAGGAATGAAGTTTGCAGCAACACCACCAGTAGATGGAACTCTGTTGAAATACTTTCAAGTACCAGAAGACTTTGTTTATAAACTTCCAGATGATGTGACATTTGAGGAAGGTGCATTGGTTGAGCCCTTGGCTGTTGCTGTTCATGCTGTTAAATTGGCTGGAGTCAAATTTGGCGATAAAGTAGTAGTGTTTGGTGCAGGTCCAGTTGGTTTACTAGTTGGATCTGTTTGCAAGGCATTTGGAGCAACAGAAGTAGTTTCAATAGATGTCGTTGACAAGAAACTAGACAAATCTCTTGAAATGGGTTCCACTATTGCTATAAACAGCAAAGATATGGCAGAAGAGGCCCTTGCCCTCGAAATTCAAAACGACCTAAACGGCCAACACCCAAATAAAGTCATTGATTGTACAGGTGCAGAACCATGTCTACGTTCATCCATCCTGGCTTGCAAACCTGGAGGTACTGTTGTTCAGGTAGGGATGGGAACCACTAATGCCTCATTGCCAGTATCAGATATCGTTATCAAAGAACTAACTTTCAAAGGATCGATGAGATATTGCCATGGAGACTACCAAGACGCAATTCAACTACTAAAATACAAGAAAGTGGACGTGAAGGCTATCATAACCCATCGTTTCTCCTTCGATGATGCAATTAAAGCTCTACAATTTAATATCAGTCGTGATCCATCTATAGTCAAAACTGTCATCGCAGGACCATAAATTAAACTACAAAAACATATGTAATGTCATATACATGTTTAGTATAACCAAATCCTACCATTTAGATAGCTGGGTTCGCTGTTCTTTATCAATTTATGGGCCTACCTCTTACTTAACTATGTAGATATCGAAATTATTTAAAGGACCTTAACTTTGAAAAGCTTATAAGAATTTAAAATGTAGTACTCAACAATGGATAAGATTGGATAAAACAAAGGCAAAGAGGTGGTTGTATTGGTGGATTAACGGTTGCAATCAGTGTATTTTATTGGTTATTAAGGTATTCTGGTTTAAGATGAGGAGTTTTTTGGTTAATTTACGATATTTTTTGGTGATTTTAAGTTTACTTAAATTAAGTAGTTGTAAGACTCATCGATTTAGATTTAAAGCAGAATGGGTCAAGGCTGATCCAGATGGACTTGGTGAGAGACGTATGATTGGGTTTAATGGAGAGTGGCCCATTCCTGATATTCATGTGGATAAAGGTGATCGTGTAGAGCTTTATTTAACTAATGGATTTGGCGATGGTACAAAGACTTCTTTACATTTCCATGGTATCTTCTTTAATTCTTCTTATGGGAATATGAATCAGATGGATGGTCCTGATATGATTACCCAATGTCCCCTTGGCGATGGTGACACCTACTTTTATAATTTTACTGTTCCTGATCAAGTTGGTACGTATTGGTACCATGCTCATGCTGGGAGTCAATATGGTGATGGGATGAGAGCAGCATTTATTATTCATGATCCTGATGAACCTTTTGAATATGATGAAGATTGGGTTATTGGACTGGCAGATTTGTATACTGAGCCTTCTTATAAAATTTCAAAGGGTTTCTTGTCAAGATATAATCCAACTGGTGCAGAACCAATACCAAGAAATATTTTATTCAACAATACTGTGAATGCCACATTACATTTCGAACCTGGGAAGACATATCTGATGAGATTTATTAACCAGGGATTGTTTGTTTCACAATACATTTCCCTGGAAGACCATTCTATGACTGTAGTTGAAGTTGACGGTGTCTATGTAAAACCTGAAGAGACAACTCTATTAACGATAGCTTCTGGTCAAAGAATGTCGGTTATTGTCCATGCTAAGGACGGTGATCCAAAGAGAAATTATGCGCTGATGCAAATATCTGATGCCTCAATGCTGGATGTAATACCTCCTGATTTACAATTGAATAGAACTATTCAAATATCGTATGATTCGAAATACCCAGCTGCGAAAGAATTTTTCATTGAATCATATTCAAATGCAGTCAATGATTTTTACTTGCAACCATTGCAAGAAGAGGGTATAATGGAAGACTACGATTTGCAGGTCAAATTAGATCTTAGAATGAAAACCCTTGGAGATGGGGTTAAATATGCATTTTTCAATAATGTTACATATACAGCACCAAAGATACCCACATTAACGACCCTTTTGACATCAGGAAGACTTGCTACTGACCCCCGCATATACGGTGACAATATTAATTCTGTGATATTGAAAGGTGGTGAAATTGTGGAAGTTGTAATTAACAACTATGATCCTGGAAGACACCCATTCCACCTACATGGTCACAATTTCCAAATAGTTCAAAAATCGCCAGCCTTTCACGAAAATGAGACATTCACAGATGCTGAACAGGATCGTATCACGGTTCCCTACAATGAAGACTCGCCAATAATGCCATTTCCAGTTCATCCAATGCTAAGAGACACTGTTGTCCTTGAACCTAATGGTCACGTTGTCATCAGATTTAGAGCAGACAACCCAGGTGTTTGGTTTTTCCATTGTCACATCAACTGGCATGTTGAGCAAGGTTTGGCAGCAGTATTCATCGAAGACCCATTGACTTTGCAAGCTAGAGAAACATTGACCGACAACTATAAAGACACATGTTCCAACGTTGGGATGGTGACAACAGGAAACGCAGCTGGTAATTCAGAGGACTGGTTGGACTTAACAGGCTTGCCAAGACAACCAAAACCATTACCTGAAGGTTTTACTATCAAGGGATACATAGCATTTGCAATCTCTACCTTGATCGGTATTGGGGGACTATACTCAATTACCAAATATGGCTTACAAGAATCGATACCTAATGACGCGGAAGTCTATGATAACCTGAAGAAGTTACTAGCCAAGAATAATATTGAGACCTAATTTCTTTTTTTTGCATTATACCTTATTATAATTATTATAAGTCTTATTATTATTATTTGTTGTTGTTAATATTATATATATAAATATGTGTGTATAACCTATATAAATTTTTTGAAAATATTCATTTTGTATGCTAATAAATTTGAATGTGTGTAGAAAAACCTGGATAGCGGGGGATAGAGATAGAGAAACCTCTCTCTATATGCATGTCAAAACAGAGTTCATCTTCATAATGTATAAGTATCATCAGACTTGATCTTGCTCAACAAATCATCGATCTTTGGACCCATCTTTGGTTGCCCAGTTCTGGTCCGTTGAGTCATTTTCTTCTTCCTCTTCTCACGATCAACCTCCTTCTGCTTCAACATCGCAATGTTAGCCATCTCATCCTTCCTACTCTGCTCGAAATGCTGCTTCTTCCCCATCTTCCGCTCCCTCTTCATCACCTTCATCTCAATAGCTCTTTGCTTATTAGCCTCTGTTCTGGCAGCCTTTATGCTCTTGTAATCACGAGCACCCCCAGCACCAGCACCAGACCCAGGTTGCTTCTCAGGAACTGAATAACCCTCATCATGCAACGCCTTCAAATACTCCTTCTTCAACCTAGCCTTCCTAGTCAAACTCTTCTTGATCTCCTTGACCTTATACTCTTTAGTGAACTTCTTACGGTTCTCTTGCTGCTTAGCTGTAGCCATCCCTACCCAATTGAAATCTCAAAGAACTTCAATACAAAACAATAGATTCAAAACACAACAAATCAATCCCAATAAACTAATTCAAATACAACAAATCAACCTCTTATATCACTTCCATCAACTGTCTAATCATCTTCATTACTGGCGATGAGATGACCTGAAATTTTTCACCTTTTCTTCTTTAAGAATATTGAAAAGTTTCAATATTTCAAAGGTCTCACACTTTAAAGAGCAGTTAAGTTTGAGATTGGGACCTATCTATAAGGATATCTATACTGGCAAGAAGGATTTCGAAGGATTGGGTTGGTAATCTAGGTTTGTTGCTTTGTTGAAGGTGGTGAATTATTATGTTTCGAGCAACGTTGCCGGTTTTCAGAGTTAATTATGGGATACAATGGCATCGTGGGATACCTCTATCGATCAAGAGCATATTAAATAGAGAGAGGATAATTGGTGTTGAAGAGGATGATTGTAAAGAATTGTTGCAATATTTTGGTAGTTCTGATGTGGCTAAGACGGTTACCAGTACTGAGAGGATCCATGTAATTCGATATTTTTATGAACGTGGAGCCTACGATAGTGTAGTTAATATAGGGCAAAAAATGTTGTATAAGTTGGATCAGAGTGGTAGGCTTCGAGATGATGTTACTTTGAATGAGTTGAAGAGTTTTATTAATTCTCATGGGAATCGCAGGCTTAGTGGGAAGTACGATTTGATCGTGGAAGATGTAATTTCCCAATGGTGTCCTACCAATAAAGTGCAATTAGTTAAATTGATTGAAAGTTTATTTCACAGATTGATAAATACAAAGAAATATCCACCACATGAGGCATTGTCTAGATGGGCATATTGGATTACTTTGATTAATGGCAATTGCGAGTTTGTATCGTATTTGGATAATAAGGTGATTTTGAAAAAACTACTTTATTATATGAGAGAACATAAACAAGATCTTCTAGAGACAGGCATTTTAGATGACACATTTAAGCTTATCAATCAGAGGTATGGTAGTAACATGACCTCTCAGTTTGCATCTACTCTTTTGTACTTGGCCACTTACAATAAGGATTACAAATTGGTCGAAAAAATCTGGAGTTACAAAGTAGAAAATAAGTTACCCGTTAAAAGTAGAGACCTGACTTCAATTCTAAAGACATATTGTTATTTAGGTTCGTTTGGCTTGGTCAAATCTACTTATGATAAATACCCTGATGCCCATAATGATCAAAATCAATTTGATTACCTTTTAATTGCTCATTCGAAGTCCTACAACTGGACATCTCTGCAGAAGGAGTTCGACTCCCTGTTTGGTATAGGGAAACTACCTAATATTCGTCAATATGGTATCGTAATGAATACTATGGCAGACATAGGGGAATTGAAAAGCGTAGATAGACTATTTACCCAACTTCTAAGAAGAGGAATGTCGCCCACATATACTGTTCTTCAATCAATGATACATGCCCATTTGAAAGCTGGTGATTTCCATGGTTGTTTCAGTCAATTTGAAAACTTCGAAAAGTTCAATGTCGAACCTTCCGCGTCAACTTACTTGATGATGTTTAAAGTTTACAAAGGCTTGAATAATATCGATGGTGCCTTAAGGTTGATGAGAAAAATGACAGATGAATCCAAAGTTCAAATTACAGAAGGGCATTTCACAATTTTGATTGGCATGTGTGCTAACATCACAAATTACCAAATAGCACAAGAATTATTTGATATCATGACTAAACATTATGACATTGTACCAACAGGCAATTCTGTTGCTGCATTGATGGAAGTCTATATATCTAGTAATTTACCACAGGAATCATTGAAACTTTTTAAAAGATATGCCCTCAAGAAATCAGTTGATGAGGCTCTAATCAATGTGTATAATAAGGCTATTCGTGCATATACAAAGATGAATCAAAAGGAAAAGACAGAAGACCTATTTAAAAAGATTTTGGAATTAAAATTAAAACCAAATAAAGAATTTTTCCGTGTGATGCTTGAGTATCTGACAGTCTTACAAAGGGATTTTAAAACTTCTGAAGAGGTTATTGATCGTTTACTCACTCATGAATCGGTTAGGATTACACCAAACCACTTTGAGATTCTAATGGCAGCTTACGATAAAATATCATATAACGAGGGTGTTTTGGCACTATACAGCAAAATGAATGAGAATAGAGTGCCAATTAACTCTAGAATTCTCTATTATTTGATAAAAGCAGCATTTAAAGCTCAATCTCATAAAAATGGGGATATCAATGAGGCAATAGAATTAGTTGAAGATATCATTACAAATACAGCAAATAAAACATTAGACGTGACATTTTCAAGACCACATCCATCTATCATTGCATGGCCAATGAGAGTTATTACAAAACATTCCAAGCCATCAAAAGCATTAGAATTATTGAACAGGTATAATAAATTATTCTATGAAAGCCATGGTCAATCTTCAAACCATAGATTTGTTGTGATGAGATCGCTGTTAGTTTTGTCTGCACATATTGAAGAATGGGATGGTTTTGAAGATATTTTTGAAAAATATATATCTAGAATTGAAAAGTTCCAGGATTCACCAACTGCAACAGTCAAGAATAGAAGAATGAAATCTCTAGTTGTAGGCTTGTTTAATTATAAGGTGAAACAATTAGTTGAAACCAATAAAATTATTGAATTGCCTCAATGGTTGGAACGTATTGAAAAACTTGGGTTATATATCGACAATCCGGCATGGAATGCAGCAATATTAGCTCTATTTAAAGATGAAAGAACCATTGAACACGGTATGAAGATTATCGACAAAAAATTTATCCACGGTTATAATTTAATCCACAAATGTAGAATGTTAAGAAAGATTGGAGAGAAATCAGTTGTATCAGATAAATCATCGTGGTTTATACAAAAGAAAAAGAACGATCCAAATAGCCTGACACCGACATTGTATCTTGAATCCGAAACATATAATGAAGTCATTGATGCCACAGATAAATATCTGAGTACTGTAGAGAACATAACGTCTGAGATAAAGAGACTTGTGAATAACTACAAATATTTTATGAAGAACTATTTATTGAAATCCCATGATAATGTTAATAATTGGGACTTGGTTGAAAGAGAATATTCTGAATTCCTGAATGAAGTCAGGACAACTAAACGTGCATCTTCTATACTGTGATAATAGACAATTATGCTTATTTAAGGCATAAAAACCAAAAAAAAACCTTGCATATCTTGTATATAACAAAAAATTATTTTTAACATTCATATAAATATATCATTATTCTTTAATTAATCAAATGAATATAATATTCTAGTTCTATAGAAATAATCTTCTTAGATTCTTTTTATAAGCACATTTGGTAGTATCATTGTCATGAAAGCTCAAAATTGACAGAGTCAAAAATCGGTAATTAAGAGAGGTGATTCTAGTTTACTTTAATGTTATTTATATAGATAAAGTTTCAACTATTGTTGCTAGATTTATCTGGAAACGTTTGTAAAAATATGTAATTCAGGCAAGTTATTTTTAGATAGGAAATTAAAATAAATAGATGCTTATAGATAATTTTGAATCTTCAACACTTGGGCAATGGAATATACTAAGTTATTAAGGAAAGTGTCTCTTAAATTGTATTGTTGGTTTACTATTATTGATTATTTTAATTCTTGTTTGAATTGAGAACTATTTTTTTTTATATATAAATACCGTTGGAATCACTTCGCAAACTAAATTATCGTTTTGTTTATAAACATTCAAATATAAATCAACAAAACATAATTATAACTTGCTTTAACACAAATAAAATATCAAACACTTTGGTTGACGTCAAGCATCTAGCTGCAACGTTTAATTAGGTTATTATTATAAAGAATTTACATATCCTATTTAATAAAGTCACCTATAAAATTCGAAATATAAAAAGGAAGAAATACGTGAATACTAAAGAGGATAAACTATAAAAGATATCATAAAAAATAAAATAACAATAATATCATCCTTAGAAACATTTGTGGTGGACAATAGATGGACCACTTTCGTCGTATTCTTGCTTTGAGATCCACATTTGTTGGAAAGTAGTCAAGGAAGCCAAGATAGAACCACCAATCCAGACAGAGTACTTTCTTTCTGGTGGGGCGATAATCTTAACCTTCATAGAAGATGGAGCCAAAGCGGTAATTTCCTTTTGCATTCTTTCAGCGATACCTGGGAACATAGTAGTACCACCGGACATGACGATGTTACCGTATAATTCCTTTCTGACATCAACATCACACTTCATGATGGAGTTGTAAGTAGTTTGGTCAATACCGGAAGATTCCAAACCCAAAACAGATGGGTGGAACAAAGCTTCTGGAGCTCTAAATCTTTCGTTACCGATTGTAATAACTTGACCATCTGGTAATTCGTAAGATTTTTCGATAGATGAGGATTGAGCGGCAGTTTGCATTTCTTGTTCGAAATCTAAAGCAACGTAACATAATTTTTCTTTAATATCACGGACGATTTCTCTTTCAGCAGTAGTAGAGAAGGAGTAACCACGTTCACTCAAAATCTTCATCAAGTAATCGGTCAAATCTCTACCAGCCAAGTCAATTCTCAAGATACCGTGAGGCATGGAGAAACCAGCGTAAATTGGGACAACGTGAGTAACACCATCACCAGAATCTAAAACAATACCGGTAGTTCTACCAGAAGAGTATAAAGACAAAACAGCTTGAATGGAGACATAGAAAGCTGGGACGTTGAAAGTTTCAAACATAATTTGAGTCATCTTTTCTCTGTTGGATTTTGGGTTCATTGGAGCTTCAGTCAATAAAACTGGATGTTCTTCTGGGGCAACTCTTAATTCGTTGTAGAAAGTGTGATGCCAGATTTTTTCCATATCATCCCAGTTAGTGACGATACCGTGTTCAATTGGGTAACGTAGAGTCAAAATACCTCTCTTAGATTGAGCTTCATCACCAACATAAGAGTCCTTTTGGCCCATACCAACCATAATACCTTGATGTCTTGGTCTACCGACAATAGATGGGAAAACAGCTCTTGGAGCGTCATCACCGGCAAAACCGGCTTTACACATACCAGAACCATTGTCAATAACCAAAGCAGCAACTTCTAATCAAAAAAATTCATGAATATAGTTAGTAAAAAGTTCCAAATTTACTTAAATCTTATCACCTTTAGAGTCTTTGTAACATTTTCTTTACAATACAAAAAAAAAAAAAAGTTGATTCAGATCCAAATTTAACCGAATTTTAACATACCAGAATCCATTGTTATTATATATACCTTACTTTATACTCTTTTTCAACACCGTGAGAGCACTAGAGACCTTAAAGAATAACTAATTAACCCAATTATCACAAACAATCCTTCTATATTTAAAACTTAAGTTGTAGTATCTTGTAAGGTTTCTTATAGATCAAATTTGTCAAAAGTTTCATTTCGAGGAGAAAAAGGAGACCGACACAAAATGATCATTGTAGACGAACGGAATAAGAAAGTGAACCAAACGTTGACACGGCGCTACCACGTCATTACACATCGTACCTATACTTTCAATAGGTGTACTATTTACAGGAACTCCATGGTTGAGGAACAATAACTGGAGGATTTAGAAGGACATTTGATTTCTTAAAAATGAAACACCCAACAATGATTTGATGGAACAATTGGCAAGCTGAGCCTCAGATGACACTCTTGCCGCCTCAGGATACTGACGCCTCGTTATATAGGCCGGGTAATCAAGATGCCGTCTTCTTCTTTCCCACATCGCCCCCATATGGAAGCTATAAAGATAGACCATCTCTTGATTGAGAAGGATATGATAGAACTCATACCTACACCAACACACTTAAAGATAATTGACAACGTTTCTTTCACTTCCCTTCTGCCAGGACGTGCCTTTCCATAGGTACTACTCTCGGTTACTGTCCTGATTTCTGCAGGAAATACCAAAATGGTTATAACAGATAGACACATTTATTAAACTATATACACTATAGATGGCCATTGGTTTTACTTGCGTGGACAGAGAATAAAAAAGTTCTATAGGTTGGGTCGACATCATCGCCATAATTGTCATCGTACATCGTGAATGACACTTTCTTACCATCCCACTCTTCAGATGTAACAATTTCCGTCATCCTTTGCATTTTAGCCATACCTTCTTCAAGGTGGTCCCTGAACATGTGTAGCAATTGATTAAACAACTGCATAGGGGACTTTAAAAACTGTAAGAATCCCATCTGTCTGAAAGCTTTATAGGCTGCCCTGACACCTCTATAGAGTGTTCTCTTTTTCGAACGTTCCATTAGCACTCTGGACCCATATCTTGAGAGACATGTCTCTATTTCAATTTCTTTCCTGGAAAAGATGGCTCTAGGTCCAAAGTAAAATGATACACATCCTAGCCTTTCCTGAGTTCTTTCTAATACATCATTGGATTTGAAGAAAATTTTGGTCTTCAAATCCAGCGGCTTTAGTAGAACTGTTCCAACTTTAATGTACATCTGTTTGATCAAGCTTTCATTAGAGTCCATTTCAAGATTCATTTTCATTGTGGACTTGTCTGATAGTTTTAATGAATCTTCCAAATCCATTTCTATTGTATTTTTTTCCCTATAAGCGTTGAACAGCGATTCAACTGACATCTTCAAAGTGTTATTGTTGTCCAACATGTCCCATCCTTCTAATATCTTGGCACTTAGGTTCATCATACATGATAATCCATTGTAAAAACATGTAGTGGACTGAGCAGCTGAGACTGCTGGATTTATAATACCAAACATTGGATTGCATGTAACCACTGTTTGGGAAACTAAAATCATATCACCCATATATTCAATTGATAGTTTATTATAATTAGGAGCCACTGGTACCGAGGTATTGACAGGCAATATTGCGACTCCACTAGAAGTGGCACTAATAGTGCTGCTGCTTCTACTAGTTGATGAAGAGGAACTAACACAACTTCCAGTTCCTGCAAGAATTAGAGACACAACGACTGTGTTAAATAGTTTCATTTGTAATATATATTATTTGATAGATCTGGTAATGATTGTTTTAAATAAATATTTTATAATTACCAAGGAGTAGTTTTTATAACCAGACATTAAGTTAGATTATTGTTTTTCAATTAAAGCATCAATTTATACCAATCCAAAGTTTCAATAGTTCAGGGTCCGATTATACTAATTTGCTTACATCTCCATTATACAAAAGCAAGAAAACACTTGCTATCAATGAATGCTTTCATAAATGTAATTAATGAGATACTTTTGGGAAATTTTTGATACCGATTAGAGCAAAGAACTATCCTTCTCAGTATTAACATATTCCTCAACCCTTCAAAAAATCAACAACTCTGAGGAATAAAGGCACAAGTACAAACACAAGTTGTTGGAAATATCAATAAATCCATAAAATAACTTAAGGGTCCAACCTTGAGATAGCAACAATACTGTCACTTTCTCTTAATCTCGCAATAGCTAACAAAATAGCAAAGATGCCACTTGAGGTATATATGTCACTCGAGTAGAGCAAAAAAAAACAACATAAATTATTGAAAAAGAAGCTACTGTGACAACAACTATATCGTTTCATATCATAAATTCTAATACTATCATTATTATGAATTGTTTGTCTATAAGTTAAATACCAATTTACTAATTCTTACGGTATAGTCTATAAAAAAATCTCATGTTCTCGAGTTTCATTGGGTAGTCAATATTTAAATCACCACGATACCAAATACTGTCGTTTTGGTTCACCAATTCCCAGGCTCCATTTGCCTCTTCACCTCTTTTTCCTACCAGGATGGTGTCGATTAGGAACTGAATTGGGAATTTCTTAGAACCCACCATTATATGAGAATAACTTCCTGCACTTTCTACAATGAGAAGGTAACAGCCAGTCTTACATTCCTTATTAAATTTCTGTAATAATCGTATACTATCAGTCTTATGTTCAGTAAACAGTTCATTTGTAGTAAACATTAATGTAATTAAATTCAATTCTGATAAATGCAATTGGGAAGTCTTCATTTGAAGAACATCGTCCTTGGTAAATTTGATATCGAAATACTTGATCTCACCGCTGTATAACCATCTGTCGGCAATTTCCTTAGTTAATCTGTCTAAAACGTTACTCCAATCAGCAATATCGACAACATGTAAATGCAAAGAGTGCTTTCCATCTTGATCCTTGGATTCATCAACATCTTTGGCATATTTAGAGGCAAATTTCCTTGTAGGAGTAAATATACTTGACATTGCAACCATTTCAGAACCAGCACCACCACCAATACATAATACAGATTGGTCACCATTAGCACAGGTCAACAGTTGCACAATTTCTTTAAAATGTGTAAACAGTGAAGCATAGGCAGTGGCTCTTGAAGGAGTCCAACGACAACAATATGCTACCCTCTTAATATCATTACTGAATGCCTCAATGTATTCACGATTGTATAGATCAGTCTTAACACTTTGGATATCTTGCATCAATGTTTCGATGTCTTGCAAATACAACTCATCATTAAATGTTGTTTTAAACAAATCAACAATTTCCTGAGGAGGTAAACTATTCTTATCATGCACAGGTAGTTGCTGACTGGACTTTGATGCCATTACTGATAGCTGCTTACACTTTTCTTATCTTATAACCAACGTAATCTATGTTATAAGCTACATCATTTAATTTAAGCTCATCGATTTTTTTCACTTTGTATATCCATAAGCACTAAGAATTAAGAAGATGATCTGATGAAGTTGGTTATAAGAAGACATATTGTAGTAGGCTTGTTATATCAGCATTTCATATCCAATAGAGGAACTAGGAATTATTAGTTTATTGTTTTGAGTCTGAATTGAAGAAGTTGGTTAACGTTTAACCATTTTGGAAGGCTTGTGACGAAGATGGAAAAGTGCTGAAACACTGAATAGTACAGGATAAAAGCAATCAAGACCCAGTACATATGGGCTCAGTGCATTCGAAGTTTCTATTTTATAAATCTTTTTAAATTTCTTTAGTTTCCCACTTTTCTGATTTGGAAAGGGTTTTAAAGGATCTCGTTTACTGTCAAAAGTATATAACTCAACAATACTTCAGAAAGTTTATTTACAAAGCCAATAGTATAAAAGTACCATTTAAAAAGTTGAAATGAGTTCAGAAACTAGTGAGATGGTTACTAGTGCGCGTGTCAGTGTAGATGCAGTGAATGTGAGTCAGAATGAGATAGAGGACCCTAAAGCTGTCGTTCAAGAGACCACTACAATAGTTGAAAGCCAAATAAGAGAAGCAGAGAAAGAAGTTGAGCTTGATACAAATGAGGATGAAATTGATAATATAGTAGACGTTTCAATTGAAGATATGTCAGTGACAGAACGGTTACAAGAAGAACTTCAATTCCTTTATGCATTTAAACAAGAAAGTGCAACCGATGCCAAGAAGAAATCATTTGTAATACAATTGGATGTTGTGAAGGAGAATATTAGTGACAGAGAGAAATTTGGATATATGGCTCTAATCAATCTATTGGCCAGTCATCTGTCACAATTTTTATCGCAGACGTACTCCAAGAGCAATAAAATTAATTGGAGACGTCGTAATTGGATCGAGAAAGAGATGAAAAGATGGAGGCATGTACTAATGGATAGAATCTGTAACCATTTAGAGGCTAGTAAGCAAGAAAGGGATATGCTTGAACAACTCACACTTCAGGATGTTAGTATGGAAGATTTATGCAATGGATTAATTGCAGATTCTAGCAATCAAATGCCATGGTTTTTAGTATGCCATGTATTCCTTATGTGCATTCTCGATGGTCATTATGATGCTAGAAGTAGAGCATTAGTGGTCAAGTTTGCCAAAATGTTGGAAATAAACCAAAAAGAACTTTCAATCTTTGAACAAATAGAACTGGAAAGAATGGAAGTTGGACCAGTTGCTCTTGAACAGGTTCTAAAGGACAACTCAATTCAACATATGGATGCACGTCGAGAAAAGACACGTAAGAAGAGAATGGCATACGTAGGATTAGCTGTAGTTGGAGGTTCAGTAGTAATGGGACTTAGTGGCGGTTTACTAGCTCCTGTAATTGGTGCAGGTCTAGCATCTGGGCTATCTACGTTAGGTGCCACAGGAGCTGCTGGTTTCTTGGCTAGTACAGCCGGTGCCGCAACTGTAACCATGACAAGTACAGCAATTGGTGCAAATATTGGAGGTAAAAGTATGGCAAAAAGAATGGGAAGTGTCGAAACTTTTGAAATCAGGCCCATACGAGAGGAGTCGCAAGTACATGCAACTATTGTTGTAACTGGTTGGCCACAACTTGATGAAAAAAATGATGGCGAATTACTAACAAAAACAATGGGAAAGGAACATGGGGATTTATACCTTTTAAATTGGGAGCCAGAGCTTTTAGAAATGATTCAACAGAAGTTGAATGCGGCAACTAAGGAAATGCTTACTGACACTGTAAAAGGAATGGTAGGGACCCGAATCATCACTACCTTATTCACTGCAGCATTGCAATTACCAATGATGGCAAGTAAATTAGGATATATCTTGGATAACCCATGGGGTGTTGCCAGTGATAGAGCTTCTGCAGCTGGGCTTATCCTTGCAGATACGTTACTAGCAGGAGATATGGGGTTACGTCCTATATCATTGACAGGTGTCTCACTAGGAGCTAGGGTAGTATACTCCTGTTTAGTAGAACTTTCTAAGCGTCAAGCTCTTGGTATTATCGAGAATGTATATTTAGTAGGAGCTCCTGTTGTCTTGAACGAAACTGAATTGTCCCAGATACGGAGTATCATCACTGGAGAGTTCACCAATGTGTACTGTGAAAATGATTGGACTTTGACTTATGTTTTCAGGGCAAGTAACACTAGTTTTCAAGATGTCATTGGTACTACTGATGTAGAATGTGTGGATGGTATTACAAATATAAATAACAACATAATACAAAATCATTCTGAATACCGCAGTAAGTTCTGGAAGTTACCGCCTTGGAATATGAATTATGAACCAATGAGACCTGAAGATGTTGAAGATGTTGAAGTGAATGATGAAGATATTCTATGATATGGTAGTAGCAATAGTTTAGTTTTAGCAATTATTTAGGTACTAAGAATTATATAGTTGTTACAAAAACACTATAGACCTGCGATTTTAGATGTTTGAGCTTTGAGTTTGTCGCATATAAATTTATATGAAGCCAAAGTATTTGATGGCCCGTGTGAATATATTACCAAATTACCTGTATTGTTCCACTGTTTTTTGGCAGATCTTGTATATAAATGGAGTCAAGTCTTTGGTTATACTTAATTTTCTAGATCGAAGAAATTGGCACCAATTATATATAAATACCTCTAGTTCTATTCATGGTTCACTCATTAAACTTTCTATCTATTTTGGAGACCTTTTCTAGATTTGGTTCAGATCATGTGACCAACTCAAAAAAGTCTGGCACGCCAGAAAAAATACCCAATCTTCTAAAGGGCAGGGTAATTTCATATCTAATTGAGATTCATTTAGAGCGAAAAATGCCAAGATAATGTACAAGCGAAGAGCCGCAGCAAGGAAAGTTGGAAGAAGTGTCGTTGTGTCTTTCTTTGGTAAACCCTCTTAACCTTGTAGGGACCTTCAATAATTATTTCTTTTGGATATTTTCTTATTATTCTTTTAGCAGATATATTGGGACATCTAGCACGTTTCTTTTCTACCAATATAAGCAATGAAGAAAATCCATTGAGAATCAAATGCAGTATGCTTTTCGGAATTTAGAGTTTTATATAATAAAAAGCAAATGATGACAAGTGTTTCTCCTTGGTTGAACTACCATTTTGCTTTCTTCCGAAACCGATCTGTGTCAGATATAGTAGAAATTACGTCAAATTACATAAATTATATAATTTGCTTCCAAGCTGCTAAAACATAATATACAAGAGTGAGAATAGCCCTGCCATTTAATTTCTCTTTACAGTTTTTAATTTTTAAATTTGCTTATCGTCCAACACCTAGCTGGGATATTCAAGACAAAAGTCTAAATTCTAAATCCTGTTAACGTTTGCAAATGATGATGATGATATGTTAGTGAGGAATAGCTGACACTATCTTGATAGACATAACATACTTCTATACGAATTTCGTAGAAATGGATTTAAACAGCGAAACTGTAAACCCAAATATATTCTTTTCTTTTTTTTGCGATTTTGATGCTAATAATAGCAAACCATAAAACGAGAAAAGAAATTACAAAAACATAAGTAAATTGAACATAGTTGGTCAAATTAACAGATGCAACTCTGTAATAGGAATACGGAGAATCCTTGGAAGAACAAAAAAGGCAACAAACATGTACTGAAATAAGCGTGAACTAGCAATGCTTGTCTTCAGATTACTGGTGAGAAAGCTAAGCTTCAACAACGAAAAAAGATTAGGAAAAACAGCAAAAATAAGAATTAAAAAAAAAAGGCAAGATAAAATTTCAAATAGAGGTATTCCGTAGGATTGCACGAATTAAAACAATCAATCAAACTTAGTAAGAACAATAATATATATTATCGTAGAGTATTATCTATAATAGGTAAGAAGGGGTAAAAGAAAATCGCTTCTTTTTGCTAAATTTATTTTTCCCTTTCCCTTTCCCTTTCCCATACTAAAACTATTACATATGTTCCCAAACGGGAAATTACATCTTCAGTGCAGCAGGGAAAAAACAGCCTGTATCATTACATTTTTGGGACATTACGATAAAGAGTTCTGTATCGGATATAATACACAGATTGGCGAAAATGTTAATATTACTTTTTCTGAATATTTGCCTTACAGCAAATTTTATTTTGGGAATAAGAATGAGATTGGGATCTTTTTCTCAAGGGCCCGAGAAACATGTGCAGTAATAGATTTCCCCTCTCGGATATCCCAGTTCCATCATGTTTTCCTTTCGGTCGTATAACAAGAAAGAATTGATAAATACAGTACCAAGAAAGAGAGCGCATCCCGGCAGAATCGGAAGACCCAAAAAGAAATATGAAATATTCGAAAAAGAATTGAGATAGAGAGAGAAAGCGAAAGAGCATATTTCCAGAAAGAGAAGTTTGCAAACGAGAGGGGAAACAGCTTTTTGACAAGCCAAGGCAATCTCACGTGTGCGCCCACAAATCAAGAAAGAACAGGAGGAAAAGAAAACCAGTACCAGTGTAGGAGAAAAAGACAAACCCACAAGAAACCGTGGTGGATCCATTTCGATTATCGATGTTCTTTTTCTGGAAAGACAAATAAACATAGCTAGCCAGCATAAATAGTTGGTCCGCGGATGTAATGGGGCCCTTTCACTATGTCATGAACATGTCCCGAAAAAGAAGAAAGTTCAATTAATTGGTTTGTTTTAGTACGGGTGATGTCATCGTTCGATTTTTTTGGGTTTTAGTTTTGTCTCTTGGGCAAGTATGCATTGATGTAATTTTTTACTGGGCTTCTCTTCCCTCCATGCCCCCTCAAGTTTCGGATTGACTCTATTTTTTCTGTATTTGCATATACAGCAGTTTATTACATTCCACTTTTCCCTCTTCCATTTTCCTTTTTCCATTTTCCATTTCTCGTTTTGTTGCTTTTACCTATTTTCCCTTCTTACGCCATTTACTGTCCCGATTCATCTTTGCCAACTCTATCACGGGAACGCGACTCTCGCTTTGTTTTTCTGCTTCTTCTACCAGATGACTGCCATCCCTTAGTTGAAAAATCCCTCGCGGTGGATTCGCAAGCGACGCACCTCAGGAATGTGTGTTTGGGCTTGAGAGAAAGAAGGCAGCACGTGCAGAGCATTGCATCCTGCTACACCGATACTTATTGACTTTCCGCTCGTTCCATTTCTTTTTGCGTGTTTCTTTTTGACTTTCTTCTGGGACAAACAAGACCAAACAGCACACAAGAAAAAATAGGTAATGCAAAATTTTCAGCATATTTACATGCGTGCATTTGTCTTTCCCACCATGCGGCATTGTCGGATGCCCCCTTGTTGCAGGAAGCTTAGATAAGAGAGTGTGGAAGCTACACCTTTACCCGTCTCGGTTCGGTCCGGTTCCCAGTGGGCCCGCCGTAGCGTTTCTTCCATGTCCAATAACCCAGCTAGGGGAAGAAGCGGTGAAGCGAAATCTTTTGTGTTTTCTTTTTTTGGGGATCTCCCTACAGCAAGTTTTGACCGGAGAAATGCCAAGCCCGTCTTGGCTCTTCCGTTTCCGAAGGACGCAGACCCTGACTGCCTGTCCCATCTTTCACTATGTTTCTTTTATGTTTTTTTTTTCTTAGTTTCTCTCCCTCTCGCCCTCTCTCTCTTTTGGTTACTCTCCCCTCTTTATATCTGGTCTATTCTCGTAGGCTTTCATTCGAGATGCTCAGCTCATTTTCCTCTCTCTCAGATATGAATCCTAACACCACAGATACAACTCCAAAGTTTTGCCAAATTAGTTTGGCTGTATTTCTGATTTTCATAGCTGTTGACAGTTCTCTCTATGCTTCTGTGTAATTCTATGCATGCCTGAACGCGATGGTGGGCTCCTGTATACAGAAAACTCTGCAGCGCAACCGATCAAATTAGTGCATTTCAGCTCGTCGACGTTGTCTCGAGCTGGAAAAAAAGCTGCCAGTCCCTGTTGAGATATAAATACTTGGGCTGTAACATGAAAATCTTTGGATAATTCATTGTGAAAGAGTTTTACCATTGATATTTTATAATTATATATATATATAGAGCCTATCTATCCAGTTAGAATTAGTTTTGTAGATCCTTTGCCTGTTAGAGACACCAAACTCAAAAGAAAAAAACATCAGGTTATCTTTTTTTTTTGCTAAGTGATCCACGATTAGAACCTTTCATAGATTTAGCATTTATACACACACTTTTAATTATGTCGATGCAAAACAAGACTGTCCGTAAGAGAGCTAAGACACCAGAAGAAAAAGAAAAGAAGCGTATTGAGCGTATTCTTCGTAATCGTCGAGCAGCTCAGGAGTCTCGTGAACGTAAGAAGTTGTATTTGCAACATGTTGAACGCAAGTTACAACTGCTGGAACAGTTGTTGTTTCGCGGCTCTGTCGATGTTGAACAAGCCTTTGGTGACCAACATTCCTTATCAGTACTAGAAGAGTACCGTAGATTGTGTGGCGATGCTACTTTGGGTGGCAGCGCTTCCTCTTCTGTTCTGGCTAACTCCGTATCTAGTTTTGATTCTTCTTTAGATACCTTGATAAACTCCAATGGCGGTGTTGCTACTGGAACTGCCGCTACCTCCACTGCAACCACACCAATCGATTCAGTGGTAATTAAGGCTTCTGATGAATCTTTGGTTCCATCTTCACAAACCTATGAGTTCAACCGTTTCGATGCCGAACCTCCAATTGTCGTTAAGCAGGAGCAAGAACAATATGTTACAGGTTTAATGTCAGAGTCCCACATGGTTACAGATGATTGGATTTGGCCATGGGACCAAACTGCTGCATTACTGTCGCCGGCTTCATCGGCTAGTAGCTTTTTGGGTGCTGGCACCGAACTATATCATGATTCACCTCTGACGCTATAATGTGACTCGAGGTCACATGTGTAATTTGTTCTATTTCTTTTGAACATGTTCAAAGCGTCCTTATGTTTTATAGATCGTGCAATAACGTGACCGGCTTTAGTCCGTTCCCGGTATTTTTTTAAATGGCAAGTTCACACCAGCACTTAGCCAATCCATTTTATATAGTCAGTCCAGCTCACTGGACAGCGGGGTGAGCCCCATGCATAGTAATATATTAATTAATTAATACATAGTTAATCGACATTTCTTCGAAAGGATATATATTTATCAAATTTCAGAACAGAGTTTTGTATTCCCTTTAAATTGAATGTTCATTAGATATATATCTGGGGCCGGTAGAGTTATCTCCGAGCCGTGCCTTAGAGTGCCAAGTCCATTGTGATGATCTAGAAATATCACTTGTTCAAGAAACTGTTACTGCATCTTTAACTTTAGATAATGCATCGAAAAGTCTTCACACCAATATCACGTGCCAAAGGACTGCATATTATACTTGAAGACGAATACATCCAGCAAGAAGCAAAAGGCCAGGGTCAGGTGACCCTGATGGATATCTTTATCCAACCTGTTTATGTTAACTGATACAATTGCTTACCCGTATTAGTTAAAACCGAACAATATCTTAAGTACTTGGATTAGCATTTCATCACACTTTAATGGCTCATTTTGTTGGCATTCCCACTTGTCTGTTGACAACTAAGAATACCAAAAAACTCCAGCCGAAACACAATCGAGATGACCTCAAGCAATATAAATCACGAAAACACTCAACGTCGCAATTCGAAAGTTTATTTGACATCAAGGTTTGAATTCAAAGCCAGAAAAGGAAACAATGAAATCAAAATAAAAATTTGTATACCTTATTTAGCATGATACTCTATTACCATACACCTGAGACTGCAATGCGAGGTGAAAACTCAATTAGCCTAAGTGGATACAATGAATTGTGCAGTATTCATCTCAGATACCGTGAAGAATAAACAACAAACAGCATACAGTCAACACCTCTATCAGATTACTTACGATGGCTGGCTATTTATCCAACAGAAATAAAACATTCTCCATATGGTATCAAAATACCTGACAGTTAAAGTATACCATACTACTTTCATTGCACAACTAGGTACACATCGTAGATCATTGCAAAGTTAAAGGGACGTCAACTTTAACATCCCTACAAAATACCTCTTCAGGATACGATTCCTGTAGAGATACATGCTTCTACCTTTTTGGTAATTCAACGTGTCTTCTAAACGGTTTGCTGCAAATGATGCAACAACTGCATACCAGATTATGAATCTCGAATAGAGTAAGATTGTCTATTTTAAGAAAACATCTGATTCCGTGAATCTAGTCAATTCTAGCCCTGAGAGAAACTTTGTTATTTATAGATTCTGGTAACCAATCAATAGCTAGACTGGTGTTACTTTGGTTCTATTAATTTGCCCCGAAGGTGTACACTATCTTGAAGTATCTTCAAAACAAGAGCTGAAACACCTATATGTTACAAAAGTTTATCAATTCTGTATATCAATCTTTGATCATAAATCTTTGATCACCGATTTCAGGTTTAAAATACAAACTATTAAAATACAAGCAAACTAAAGTCATCTCACAAGTTTTTTCAGTGACCTTACTTTGCAATTCTCCAATTCTTCAACTTAACCAAAGACTTACTCTACCGTCATCAACTTAAAGAATACCTTACATTGGGGATATCTCCAACCTTGAACTTAGGCAAATCCAACAGTACTTAAACCACCTTCCAAGTCCACATAATCATCTTACTTGCCATACCCTCATAAATCTTATTAACAAGGATAGAGCTCATCTTGTGCAATTATAGAGCAATATCGATTGATCCTATTAAAACTGCTAATTTGGCAAGAGCAAGACCAATATCTATCAAGAAGCAATCTATAAGCACACAATCTAACAATAACTCCAACTATTGCTAAGAGCCAAACGTTCAAATTGGATCCTGTCTGGTTCACATGCTGTTTTACCTATAATAGTAGTTAAATGAATCAATATAGCTTCAGTTAGATGATGGCAACAGTAATGATATGCAATGATATGACATGGTTCTCTAAGTTAATGACCCTTCCTTCACCATGAGAATAAAATAAAGTGAGATGGCATAGCATAAGAGAGAAACTTGACAACACAACGTGAGATGACTTCAACATGTTGTTCAAGAAGAGTGAGAATGATGTGTATTAACTAACACTGATGATGTTAAAGAGTTATCATTACCAACATTGTCTAAACTCAACTGACCCTGTTCATTTCTAGAGTCAAGAAGCTATAAAGGTCTTTTAATATCGTTTCAGAGTCACATTATGCAGTCAGATGTCAAACAGAATGGTTTTGATAATTTGATACGCTTGAACCGAACCAACTTTACAATACAGAAATAATATTCAAGATAAACCTCACCATGACTCTGTTGATAGGCCCCCAAATGGTATAAAAAGGAGGTATCATTTCTGGAGAGTGATGGAATAGCAGTTTCTCAATTAGTGTTTTTACAATCTACAGTGTGCAGTTGACCAGATCATCATCGATCACCCAATTTAAAACTCTTTAGAACAATGCCTTACGCTTTATCTGATTCCCATAAGTTAATGTTACAATCTCACTTACGTGAGACTGATCCTGAATTGGAATCTATTGTTAAAGATGAAATTGACAGACAACAGCATTTCATTGATTTGATTGCTTCTGAAAATTTCACTTCAACTTCAGTTTTCGATGCTTTAGGAACTCCATTATCTAACAAGTACTCTGAAGGTTATCCAGGTGCTCGTTATTATGGTGGTAATGAACACATTGATCGTATTGAGTTGTTATGTCAACAAAGAGCATTAGAGGCTTTCCATTTGACTTCAGATCGTTGGGGTGTCAATGTTCAACCATTATCTGGTTCACCTGCTAATTTGGAAGTGTACCAAGCTTTGATGAAGCCACACGATAGATTGATGGGTTTATATTTACCAGATGGTGGCCATTTGTCTCATGGTTATGCTACTGAGCATAGATCTATTTCTGCTGTTTCTACATACTTCGAATCATTCCCATACAGAGTTGACCCTGAAACTGGTATTATTGATTACGAAACTTTAGAAAAGAATGCTATCTTGTATAGACCAAAGATTTTGGTTGCTGGTACTTCTGCCTACTGTCGTTTAATTGACTACAAGAGAATGAGAGAGATTGCTGACAAGTGTGGTGCTTACTTGATGGTAGACATGGCCCACATTTCAGGTTTAATTGCTGCTGGTGTCATTCCATCTCCATTCGAATACGCTGATATCGTTACCACTACTACTCACAAATCTTTAAGAGGTCCTCGTGGTGCTATGATCTTTTTCAGAAGAGGTATTAGATCTATTAACCAAAAGACTGGCAAAGAAGTTCCATACGACTTGGAAAACAGAATCAACTTCTCTGTCTTCCCAGGTCACCAAGGTGGTCCACATAACCATACCATTGCTGCTTTGGCTACTGCCCTAAAGCAAGCTGCTTCTCCAGAATTTAAGGAATATCAATTACAAGTCTTGAAAAATGCAAAATCTATGGAAGAAGAATTCAAGAAGTTGGGTTACAGATTGGTTTCGGATGGTACTGACTCTCATATGGTCTTGGTTTCCCTAAGAGAGCAAGGTGTTGATGGTGCTCGTGTCGAATATGTCTGTGAAAAGATTAATATTGCTTTGAACAAGAACTCTATCCCAGGTGACAAGTCTGCCCTTGTTCCAGGTGGTATTCGTGTTGGTGCTCCAGCTATGTCTACTAGAGGTATGGGTGAACAAGATTTCAAGAGAATTGTCGATTACATTGACAAAACTGTCCAATTTGCTAGAAACATTCAACAGTCTTTACCAAAGGATGCTAACAAATTAAAGGACTTCAAGGCCAAGGTTGATGAAAGCAGTGCTGACTTAGCTTCATTGAAACAAGATATATATAACTGGACAGCTGAATTCCCATTGCCAGTTTAATTAACTTAATATAGTATGTATGTATACTGTGTAGATTAATGTCATTTTATAAACATAATGTTTCATGTATAAAGAATATTTATATGAAAAGCCTTTTCTAGCTTCTGAGATTTTACAGAGTAGTTATTCCCCATGGGAGCATTTTAGTTATTCTTCTTTTCAGAAGCATTATTATCAGAATTATACTCTCTTTCATCATCACCTTCAACTTCTTTTTGCATTGCGTCAACTCTCTTCAATTGTTCCTCAATAGATTTCTTGTCCTTCATCATATCTGGATCGAATAATTCATCTTCAGGTCTTCTGTATGAGCCACCCAATCTATCCCACAAAGTAGTGAATTGACCGTAGTTATAGTTGAAGTACAAATGATGAACAGTGTGACAAGCAGTACCATTAACATAAGGATTGTTGTACATGTGGTTGGCATCATGGATCATGATGGTCCAGAAGTTAACGAAAGTGAACAAGAACAAGTACAGATACTTGTTTAATGGCATCAATAATGGGTAGATATGGTAAGGCAAAGATTGGATGTAACCATCGACAGGATGGAACGCATGTGAGGCAAAAGGAGTACAGACCAACCATTTGTGGTGTGGTTTGTGCAAAGCCTTGTAAACTCTTGGCCAATGCAACCATCTGTGTGCTAAATAGACACCACAATCAGTGAATAGAATGAACAATACTATTTCACCGAATATTTGACGTAACCCATTCTTTTCAAAATCCACAACGGTGTACAACTTTGAGTGACCTTTCAACTCAAAAGAGAAACAGAAACTAGTCAAGAAGGACATCCAAGGGATAGAAGAAGTAGCCAATTTAATCTCTAACATCATTTGATTTTTCAAATAACGAGGATGATTAAATACAGACCTATCAAAAATAAACAAATAACTGAAATAGGCCACGGAAAAGTACAAAAGCCATCCAAAGACAGTAACAATCATCCACACAGATAGAAACTCCCTCAACATGTTACTACGTGGTAACAAAGATTGGAAACTAGTCATAGTCATATCAGTCAAATATGGTGTATAACCGTATACCTCACTACAAACCCTTGATTCACGATTGGAATTCAAATGATCCAACAACATAGTAGCATTGGCCATACCTGAGTTCAAATTGAACTTGTTCATCAACTCAACTGGCACATACGAAGCCAAGGAAGTAGGCAATACTTTTGCGTAAACGTGATCCAATAAAAACGTATCAGCAACCTCTAAAATCAAATCCATCTCACTTCAAAACCTCGGGAAAACGAACCAAATCAAAAATCAAAACCAATGCAACACCTTAAAAGCAAAACTAAGACACCTAATTAGCAACTGTATGTCTCTTGGCCAACTCTTGTCTTGCTGAATAAACTTGATGTTTGATTACTATTCGATATCTTTTTATATCATTAATTCCGCGATGAGCTCAAATTGGACCTATTTTGAATATATTGAAAAATTTGACACATTTATAATAGCAATGAGCCATTGACATTGGCCAGACTCAAGCTAAAGTGTGTATGTTAAAAGGGACATTTACAAGTTGATGATGATCATTTGTGTCGTGGGTCTCTAGTGTTTGTTTTTTCGTTTTGATTAGATGATGGGATCAAGGTTTATTTTGACCTGAATCGTCAGCAAGAGCCAAGGCAAGACAATTGTGAATTCTTGAATTCATTATATAATGAAAGGATGGCCAGGAATGAGGTGGTATAGTATGTTGAATAGACTTCCTCTGGACAAGAAAGAGAGTGAAAGAGACGTTGATTTCTGAAATGTATGTGTGTGTGAGCCAGATACAGAGAAGAGAGTAACTCTGTTTTTTTTTTACTGGTACGAGAAGAACAATATCCCACAATATAGTGTCTTGAGTTTCTGCATTCATGATGGAGAGACTGGGGGAAGAGAGGACATGGATTAGAATGGGAAGGATTTGAAAGTTGAACATTTCCCATCGTTTGGCTTTGCGAGAACGAGGGGCCAAGACTAAATTACCCACTTTAGGAACGTCTGAAATGGATTGTAGGTAATTATGCTTAATTCTTAATCTTAAACGGGATGGTGTGGGCAATCCGGCCAACTCACCTCTGCTATTCGAACTACAGGAGACCACTTGGCGGAGGCCCATTCAACTCTGAGTTACTTTTACAGCTGTCCAGGTATTTTCGAATCCTTCGAACGATGTCCCAATGTGGTAATTACGAGAGCTCTTGCCTAGAGATCTACGCAGGAGTATCGAAAGTGAAAAAGTTTTAACTATTGTAAATGTCGAAGCAATGCCAATGGAAGGTATTTGAGGTTCAGTAAACAAACCAATAGGCCCAGTGGTGAGTTGAGTTGGTGGACCATTTGAATTGAGCGTTTGCTTTCGAGATAATGAATTATTCGTTTTGTTTTTTCCATTAATAACAATCCATCAATGCTCATCGATCGAGAGGGAGAGGGTATATAATACGAGAGTGATGAAATTTTGAAATATTTGAGAACTAAAGTATGCTCACCAAGAGTTCAGGTTTGCTCCAGGAATATCGAGAACAACCTAAGAACATATGAGTTCCCAATCACACCCACCGCTAATCGATTTATTTTACGATTCCAGTTATGACCCTGGTGAAAGTTTAATTTATTACACATCCATCTATGGTAATAATACATACATAACTTTTGATGAACTCCAGACGATAGTGAACAAGAAGGTCACACAAGGTATCTTATTTGGTGTCAGATGTGGTGCTGCTTTCCTGATGTTGGTAGCAATGTGGTTGATTTCCAAAAATAAAAGATCTAGAATTTTCATTACCAACCAATGTTGTCTGGTCTTCATGATAATGCATTCTGGTCTTTATTTTAGGTACCTGCTTTCAAGGTACGGTTCAGTTACTTTCATTCTAACAGGGTTCCAACAACTGCTTACAAGAAATGACATTCATATTTATGGAGCTACTGATTTTATCCAAGTAGCTTTGGTAGCTTGCATAGAATTATCTCTTATTTTCCAAATAAAAGTGATATTCGCTGGTACAAACTATGGTAAGTTGGCTAATTATTTCATCACTCTAGGTTCATTATTGGGTTTAGCCACCTTTGGTATGTACATGCTTACTGCTATTAACGGTACAATAAAATTATACAATAACGAATATGACCCAAACCAAAGGAAATACTTTAACATTTCTACAATATTGCTTGCATCATCAATTAATATGCTAACGCTGATACTTATATTGAAGCTGGTGGCAGCAATTAGAACAAGACGTTACTTAGGTTTGAAGCAATTCGATAGTTTTCACATCCTATTAATCATGTCGACTCAAACATTAATAATTCCTTCTATCTTATTTATTCTATCATACAGTTTGAGAGAGGATATGCATACTGATCAATTAATAATCATCGGAAATCTGATCGTGGTATTGTCATTACCATTGTCCTCAATGTGGGCTTCGTCTCTAAACAATTCAAGTAAACCTACATCTTTGAATACTGATTTCTCAGGGCCAAAATCAAGTGAAGAAGGGACAGCAATAAGTTTGCTATCACAAAACATGGAACCATCAATAGTCACTAAATATACAAGAAGATCACCTGGGTTATACCCAGTAAGCGTGGGTACACCAATTGAAAAAGAAGCATCATACACTCTTTTTGAAGCTACTGACATTGATTTTGAAAGCAGTAGTAACGATATCACAAGGACTTCATAGGTATATAACATAATAAGTAAAAAACAACTAATATATTAATATTTCAGAAACAATAATTTTATGCGAGGGAAATTATATTTTAATACAAGGATATAAACATTATATACACTACATATACATTTATTATCATCATCATCCTAATGTCGTTTTAATTAATAATGACTTTAAATAGAATGTAGTGATCCAAAATAAAGCCATGCACAGATAAAATTTACAATATAATGTATCCAATACATATTTCTGATACCATAAATTAAACTGAAAAGACTCAGATACAGCAATAGACCAACCACTGCTCCACCATCATAAATACGATTACTTTTGAATTTTGGAATATTAAATGTAGAGTTTAAACCAACTAGAAGTATCATAGGTATTATTGCCATAATATTATGATGTGATCTGAATGGAGTTTCCCATCTAATTGCTACATTATGCATGAATACAACTACAACTGGGGCATTAATCATGGTGACAAAAATAAATACGAATAGCAAACTTAAATTGTAGTTACGGATATTAGAAACACCTACAACTGTATCTGGAATAAATAGAATAGAACGAACCCATGTTGCAATTTGTATAATAAATATGATAACAAATGTTAATTGATAAGGGATATAGAATAACGTCAAAATCAGCAGGAAGAAAGAAGTGGTAAACCTCTTCCTATCAAATTTCAATGGTTTTGCTGATATTTTAGAAGTAAGATAATTCTTTAAAATCGTATTCCTAATCAATTTCAATAACTTTTCTATTGTACCGAAAATGTCAAATAGTAAGGTCAGGACACCAACAGTCATTATGAAAAAAAATGGACCTAATATTGAAAGTGAGACCGATCTTAATCCCAAATAGTATGGATTATTATCAATATGATTACCATATACTAAAGTTGGACTGTTCAATCCAATCGGATCAATAGCATATAATAACATTTGAAAATACCTATTATTACAGATAGGATTCAATACAATTAGGAACAGTATTATTGGTAATCCGAATTTTTGGATCAAATGGCCTGTAGCAGTCTTTAGATCCATGTAAGTGGAAGTTTTGTTATACCAATAAAACTGGTAAGCCATTGACAATGCTAAAATGAATACAGGAAAAGAACCTACTGCTAATCTATATCTCAAAAACAATCTTTTAAGAGTCATTAACCAGTTTATCCTCATCGCAAAAATTAATTCTGTATTAGGTGGGACAAACACTTCTAAGTTCAATGATCTTGGATGTGTTTCCTGGTATGGAACAAATGGTGCAATACTATGCATAGATATATCAACATCATGGTCAAATATCTCTGCGTGCCACTTTGTTTCATACGGTTCTTCAATCCATTGTCGAATAAATGGCTTAAAAAGAATATTTTCATGATTACCAGAAACCAATTTTGCTCTAATTCTATAGGATACTAATGAATCCCATAATGGAAAATTGATTATATATGAATTGGAATCCATTTTAGAGCCGAAACTAGCAGAATAGAATAATGATTTCAATAACGATGGGGAGTCATAACTCATAACTGGTTTCTGTTGAACCTTAGCAGAAATAAATTCTCTTGAATCCAAGTCTCTCGTTGGTAATACTATCAGGACCTTAGTAAACTCAGAATTCTTAGAGAAGTTCCACTTAAAGATTCTATATTCATTAACATTTTCTTCAGAATCTGGATCTGTATATTCAGTTGGTGCACGAACTAAAAGTTCTGTAGCTTTCATACAATTCAAATATTTCTTGGAATCTTCATCAGTTTCTGGGGTGGATTCCTTACACATGTATAATTCCAGATCTTCGATAGTTGATATCATAGAAAAAAACTTGGAAGTTTCTCCCTCAGAAGGTTTTTCAAACAGGATATAATTTGTTGTTGCAATAGCTTCTGGACCTCTAAGCTCAATTGAGTTACCACTCGACGGTTTGATTGCATTTCTTAGTTCTGACTCCTCAAATTTCTTAAAATCAACTGAGGCCCTCTCTAAATTCTGCAAAGCATTACGCTGATTTTCTAAGCCAGATAATAAATATTTTCTAGATATATACATTCGTTCTTGCAATGACTTGACCTTTGTTGGAGAATTGACATCAGTTATTTCTAGTAAAATCCTGGCCATGACTCTTCTCAACTGATCACACCATACAATAGCCAAATGATCTATTGGTGACCAAACTCCAGGTATAGTTGTTGTATAAGTAGTGAAACCATTTCCTTCTGGCAGAAAGTCCTCAACGGTTGTATAGTCAGAAGGTAAAACAGTGTCAAGAATAGAGCCAGTGATAGATATCAAAGAAACATTTTTGGAAAAGTTTGAACCATTGTCTTCGAATTGAGATTTCCAAAAATCGTTAGTTCTTTGATAAACTTTCAGAATATCACCATCGAACGTCACAGGAGCTGCAGCATGAGGTGATGATAAAGTGAATACTGTGTTAATTGAACCTTCGATGTAATTCTGCAAAGTTGGCATTACTCTTGCAACGATACCACCCATAGAATGTCCCACTATTACCACTGACTCTGGCTTAGGACCAGAATAACCCTGAGCCTGTTCATACAGGGATAGAATATAACGAATAGCATCATTCAAATATTCAGCTTGATCCAACATGGTTCTACCATGCAGGGCAGTAAAGTCCTCATTAAAGTCAGCAGAGAAGAAATCTAAATTCTTGACGTCTTTATTATCAATAGTATCCAGTCCTTCAAAATACAAATTACTGCAAGCAGCTGCAATAGATCTAACTTGCTTGTAACTACCAGCATTTCCAGGAATAAACAAAACAGGTATACCATCTAGCTGGATTTCATTACCATCTATCGGGACCCTATCCTTACCTTGCTCCCTGTACAGGAACAGATGGTATTTCTTGGCCAACCTGTTATACCTCTCGTCAAACCCATCGATACTTGCATAGGAAGGATACATATATATAGGTCTACACTGAGGTGAATCAGCTCCTCTAAAGGGTGTCATCACAGTCACCAACGTTGTGATCACAACGAATAAAATTCCCACAAACGATACCAACCTGAATTTCCTGGCACCTCTCATCTTGGGAACAACGGAAACTATATCGAGATCACTGTCAAGTACACTGACACCTTGAGTCAGTAGTTGCTCCTCGCCAACCAACCCACCAGATCTATCCAACGATTCAATACCTCTCCCACTTACCATGAAACCTGGAAACGGAAAAGGGATCTTAATAACAAACAATGAAACCACCAAATATAATCCACTTCTATCCACAAGTTCAAAGGAAATATACAGATTAATACACTCTCCTAGTACCAACAACACAATCCTTACAGATCAATACCTCTTTTTAAAACCTTCCTTCAAGTATCGATGAGCTGTAAAGGTAAACTTCTTCAAATAATTTTTCACTCTTTTAAATTGAAAAATTGCCAAAGTCAGAGAATATAAAAACTTATACACCAAACAAACGACACTTCCTTTACAAAATAACAGTACAATCTGTCTCCATTACAAAGTCAAGTCCTCCCTCTCCTCCTACCAATAAGTTTCAAGAATATTAACCAAATTTTTTCAGTCTTAAATGACCTTTAATGGATAACAAAACTTCACATTCTGCGGTTTTACCCCTGATACAAGACATCCAGAAACGAAATAAAATTGAATCTACACAAGCTAAACATCTACAATCCAGTCCCACACTCAGTTTCTGGCGAATCGCATTGGATCATACCAATAACTGCATATTTGTCCTGTTTTAAAAGTGTTGATATTTATTAAATCCTTTAAGTATGCTGATTTCTAATGAAAAATTAATAGTGAAAAAAAATATATCAGCGATGAGGTTGAAAAAGTTTCAAAGGTTTAGAAGTTGATAAGGATGGTTTTATTAGGATTTAGAGGTTTGAAAGGTATCCCAAGTGGCTAAGAGGAATTATTTAGGTATGAGTGAAGTAAGTTCTGAGTTGAGAGGTTTTTTGGAGAGTGTTCCTAGGACAATTAGAAGTTTGGAAGAGAAGAGGGCCTTTCTGGAAGACCAAAAAGGACATTATTTGGAGGTTAGAGACAAAGTTGTGTCTCATGGTGGTGATTCAGGTGATAGTTCAGATGGTACTGCTTCTGGTGGTATGGTTTTTGGAGAGGTTATAATTGGGGAGAGCAAGCTTTTTCTGAATATTGGGTATGAGTACTACGTTGAAAAAAGTCGAGAAGAGATCTTGATATTCTTGGATGAGAAGTTAAAGTTGATGGAGGAGGCTATGGTTCAGTTTGACGGCAAGATTGCTGAGTCAAAACAGACTTTGAGCAATTTGGAGCTGTTTGTGAAGAGTTCTGAAGGGATGGGCGGTGAGAATTCTGAAGAGATGGATTACAGCGATGGATTCCAACCGATGGAAATCAGAGAAGAATTAGACGAGGATGGGAATGTCATCAGTAGTTCTGTAACACCTACTAATAAGAATGGTAGTTCTGGTTTAGATTTGGATGGAGAAACAGGATCAGGAACAACAGAGGCAGAAGCAGAAGCAGAAGAAGCAGCAAAAACAGAAGTGATCTCAGAGTCAGGCCCGTCATTTGAAGATACTTTAAGAGGGAAGTTGACTAAGGAAGTGAATGAAGTTCCCAACATTGATGCAGATAATCAAGATAATATGGACAGAAAACAATCCAAATTTAACCAAAATATGGATTCTAGTGATATGTACACCTTTGCTGACCTTGTTGAACAGATGGATGAACAGGACGAGTTGGATAATGGTGTGGTGAATAGTGACGATATAACTTATGATTATGATGCATTTGAAAACGAAAAGTACTATTACTCTGACGATGAAGATGAAGATGACGACGACGACGATCTTGATAATACCACCGGATACTCTATGATTCCTGGGTTTGCAGCACAATCCTCCTTTATGGCACAAATCAATAAACTAAGAGCTGAAAATGCTTCAATAGAGCCTGAGAAGTCTGAACAAGAAGCACAGGAAGCATCAAAAACTCAAGAAAGCAAAGCCAAGTCGATTCTAAAATCAGGAAAGAAAGGCAAGAAAAAAGCAAAGAAGTCAGTTGGGTTTGCCGCATCTCTGGACATACATGAAGTTGAAAACATGAAAGAAGAGACAAAAAAGAATACACATAACTTTCCAAGATACCAAGGTGCTATGTCTGGAGCAGACTTTGAAGATAATGAGCCATTGACAAAGGAAGAGTTCGATAGTGAGTTGTTTGCAAAGATGATAGGTGTATTAGGCCCAGATGAAATACATGACAAATATCTAAATGAGATTGCAGAAGAATATAAAAAAGAAGAAGAGGAGGCACAAGCAAAGAGAAAGAACAGGGTATCCAGATTTAAATTGGGCAGGAAATCAGTCCATAAAGATGATTTGGCTAAGGAAGATGTCATCGAGAAGGGAATAAGTGCAGTAAATGACATTGTTGAAAAGGAACCAGATTCCAAGTTAAATGTAGACAATAAGATTGTTACAGGTAAAAAGAAGTTATCTTCTTTCAGATCAAGAAATATTAATAAAAGCAAGAATATTATGCCAGATATTGTTGAAAAAGAAAATATTATAACTGAAATAAAAGAGAATGAGGGGTCTATAATCTCTGATATTGTGGATAAGGAGTTTCCAGCCGTTTCTGATATAGTTGAGCGAGAAGAACCTGTTTCTGATATAGTTGAGAAAGAGATTCCTGTCGTATCAGATATAGTTGAGAAAGAGGTTCCTGTCGTATCAGATATTATAGAGAAGGATGTATCACTAACGATCTCTGACGGAGCCATCAAGAAAGAACCCAGACAATTTGGTAATAAAAAAGACAAGAGACGAAATGCTGGCAGTAAAACAGAAAACCAATCATATGCTGAAACCATCCTTGAAACAGCAGGAGTTCCAAAAGTTCATGGTAACAAAACTGAGAAAACTAAAAACACCAATCCAAATAAATACTTATCCAAGAGTATGAATTCGTTGAGCAAGCCAAGAGTCAAATCTAACAAGCCAGTTCTTTCAAAAGAAATCAAAGAATACCTAAAAAACTCTGATGATATAGAAGATCCCAAAGAACAGTCAGAAATCGAACAACACGACAATTCAAAGTCTTTCCCAAAGGAAATTGCAGATGCAATTAAAGATACAGAGAAAAAAGACATTAAAATACCATCCGTTGACTTTTCTGCATTGTCAGAAGATATGAATGCAATGGCTAAAGCATACTCCTTGGGTCTTTATGATGATGATCTAGAAGATGATCCAGGAATGTTAGTAGAAAAACTCGAGGACTTCAAAGAATACAACGACCAAGTAAATGAACTAAAAGAAGAAATAGAAAACTTCAGAATCGATAACCCTATGAAATATGAAAACGATAACGAATCTGAAAGTGATTCAAATGAAATAATGACTGAAATTGTAGAAAACAATATCCCAGATAACTACAACGAAACAAACGACGAAATAATTAATGATTACGGCCTAAACCAAGATAAACTAAATGAATCTGTAGCAATGGAATATCACCGTGTTAAAAGTTATATGACTTCTAAATTATCAGATATGTCAATTGATTACAGTGACGAAAGCAAAGGTATCGAGCCAATCGATGAACTTGGTAACCCAATCAAGCAGAGCAGATTCAAATCAAATAGGCTAAGCTTAAACCAAAAATAGATAGAAATACTGTACATATCAAGATTATATACTTAATGTTATCGATTGTAGCATCTTAGAAATGGATTGTCTGTTTTGTTTCTTGTTAACGTCTTTAATTAAGGCTCTTTGTGTACAATTCAATAGTTAATGGTCCCAAACCTATTTGATGAAAGACACTCGAAATCGTTATGATTTAACTAAAACTATTAATAGACATAACACTGTCATTAGTTTAAGAGATCTGAATCTTGATGGACTTGTCACAGGTGATAAAATGACATTAACCAATCAAGATGATAGTGATAAGATGGTCATTTTGGTCAGTATGTAATGAATATTAAAAATATTAGATATATTCCGTCAAGCTACGACGACGATATCAATTCAAATTACTAACAACTTATATACGAAACTACTTTCAATTCAGTTGGAGAGACACCCTCATTGAATCTTTTGGCATGGAGATTGAGTGTCGAGGATACGTTTGTCATCCTTATCTCAAGCTATGTTTCTAAGGATGGATTTATTATCTGGTGCGATGAAGAAAATATTGGTTACAAATACACACCAGATAGCTATTTCGAATCAATTAACGATTTTATTAGTCATCATAGTATCGAAGATTCAAACTCTAGGGTGACTATAGATATATTGATCGTGTCAGGAATGTCTCCTCCTTTGCTTCAAAGAAACGTCAGTAAATTGAAACCGTTTATCACCAAGAAAACCACAGTGTTAGTATCATCAGATTTCGGTTGTGAATTAGAACCTGTCGTAATTAATATATTTGAAGGAACTGTAAAGTTCGTTTACTCTATATTAACTGATATAAAATTTAAAAGTTTTGCAAAGGGTATGATTACCTTATTGAATGTTGGTGCTTATGATATATATATAGGACTTTCTTACCAAAAGAATAATTACAATGAAAATAAGCTAGTTACAAGAAATGTTATTGAAGGACTGACTGAATTAGAATTCATTGATAATGAACCTGTCTTTGAAAGCATGGTTTCAAAGCTGAGAAAAACAGACTGGTTGACAGTTGACATTATATCTGATTGTCAATCGATGGCCAATATCGTTTGGGATACAATAATACCAAAAATTGCATTAACAGTATTATCTTGTGTATTTAAACAGTATGATATTACAAATGTGCTACAGAATCCTTCAATCGAGGGTATATACAATGATTTAGTCAAAGAATTGTCTTTAATACGCCTATTCTCATTAAACAAATGCAAAACATCTGGGTCATCCAGGTTTGCATCTCCATCACCAACACCGATCCCAAAGAGCGAGACTCTATATCAGAACTTTATCGAAAACGAAATGAAATACAACCGCAACGACCCCAATTACACATGGTTACCATTTGAAGCATATTGTTTCTATCACAGAATAGATTACCCATCACAGTTGCTTCTACAACAACCACTGGACTTAGCTAGACGTCATAATATTCAGTGTCCAAACCTAAATTACCTACATGAGCTATATTCGAGAATAATTTCCTTTCAGAAAAGTGATACAAATAGAAGAAAGCCCGGATATCAGAGTCAGTCACCAGCATCTGCTATAGAGACAAATATTAATAGATGCTCATTAGATGTCATTGAAGAAGAGTCCGAAAGCATACACCAAATAGAATTCATGGAATTAAATTCAAATAGTGCATCAACAAATGGGGAGTCTATGGATTCCGATCTAGAGCAACTAATTATTGAACACCATCTCTCAGGAATTAATCCAATACAATCCAAACGGAAACTCTGGACAAAGGTAAAGAGAAGGAAACCTATCATTAAATATCCTTCGACATTAAGAGATTCAATTCATTTCGTTGGAAGTGAATTAGAATATCTTCAATCACAGCTCATAAAAGAAACTCCTCCTTCTGTAAAAAAATATTCGAATAATAAAACTAGAAATTTTGAATGTAGTTCTCCACAAGCAAAAACTCCGTATCATAACCATTTTGAATGCAAACTTCGGGATAACCTAGACAGCATTACAAAGGAATATAAACAGATCTTGGAAAGAATATACCTATTGAACGATGGGAGAAACTTTATGGACACAAATGCAACGAAACAACAATTTGTCACGCTAGAACTCGATCTTTGGAAGTTAAAGTATCAATGCACCTCATACAGAGAGCAGATATTCAATCCTATATCACCACAACTTGAAGAGGATTATATTCTCCCCCAGGTACTCTCTGATGACCGCTTCCAAATTAGAGAGTCTCTTAATTTCACGACCGATAGGTATGCAGATAATGATTGTTTGGTGACATTTTATGAAAAACTAGACAGTGCTAAACCGCACACCAAATAAACTACTATCTGTTCTAATTTAGTAAAGTTCACCTACATAACATACTACCTTCTAGAAATATAGGTGTTTAGTTTTAGAAGGAATAAAATTTCCTGGATATCCAAACAAATGTTCAAACACATCTGATGCGGATTCCCTTGTATTTGACCATTTCAGCAGACTTTATAATTAACGATATATCAATAAATTTTTTAAAATGAATTAGTAGAGAAAATACTCCATTGAGTTTATTGTCCTTATATTTATATTTTACGAAATCAAGTTGACTTAGTAGATTCGATGTTCAACTTTCTCTTCTTTCTTTTGTGGAAAACCAAAGTACTGATATTCGAATATGGGTTTGAAGAAATATCCATCTCACCCATATTAATGTTAGGTTGCGACTTCCTAACCTCTCTGGTACTAAACAGATCCAACTCAGCATTGGCATCCAACAAGAGCTCCTTCATTGCAAACCATTTTTTCTCCTGCTCCACCAAGGAAGTATAGGTGCCTATCAGATCAATTTGAATCTGTTTCAACCACTTGGATTGGTCCTCCAGAGGGATATCTTCAGGACTCTCGCCAGCAGCAACAGTAGCAGCAGCAGCAGCATCGGATACTTTCGTATCCACGCCTTTCAAATAATCTTCATTCAACGAGTACAGATGATTCTTGAAAAGTTTTGTCTTCAACCCATTGACCTCACTCTCCAACCTCGTCTCTGAATCACTCTCATTGCCGGAACCACCATTCACGACCACCATATTCCCAGGTGAATTCTTGATCATCTCGTAATTAATCTTCGAAATATCGTCGACATTAACGATATGACGCCTGTTCGCCAACCCAAAACCTCCAGTTAAAGAGTTATTCGACTGGGCAGAGATCTTGCCCACAATTTTCTTGTAGTGAGAGTCCTTCTCAATAAAATCAGGAGTCTTGTCCCTCTTATACCTTCCAATTGCGCTTTTGGCAAACTGCAGCTGTTTGTCCTCAGCCAAAAGATCAGCAAATTCAACCATACCAAACAGATTACCTATACAATCACCTTCGGATGTTCCACAGCAGCCCTCCAATGCCTTGCAGAAAGCCAACTCTCATCAAAGAACATTGTTGAGCTTTAAAGGTCAAGTTCCCAAACTTACCTTTAATTTTTCAAATATCGTGATGATGATGATATTTCGAGATTAAAAACCTACATCACTAAATACGACATACTTAAAAGAAGAAAGAAAGAAGGGCTCATCGCTGTAAGGTTGGACGAGCTGGGTCAGTTTTGTTTGTTGGAGAGGGAAAGGTTGGGCGTTTGGTGGAAGATGTGATGTTGTGATCCATGAGGTAACACTGACGTCAATTGGGGAATTCTTGTTCGATCGTCTTGGGTTTAAAACGAGGAGAAACGGTCAATTACTGATCGATTTATCTCGATTTGGAGTTGAAACGTAGTAGTGATGTGGTCCTATTGTGAATGAAGAAGGACCAATAAAAGATTGAAGCTGGATGGATAAGAATTGGAGAGTCTACAATTGAGAATAATGGTAGTGGATATCTATTTCCTTGCTTCGAAATAAAGTGGTTCTTTTCTTCTTTCCTATTCGATGTAAAAGAAATTAAGCTATTACTAATCGATTTCGATTTCGATTCCAAGAGCCACACCACATCTTTGCTGATATACACATTTATTTCAACGACAGCCATGGGTTTGGACATACAAACTTACTTTTTGTTCTTTCTTTTCACCATGCATTGCATGCACCAGCGAACTAACAGAGTTCCCTCTTGGCCAATGCACTGTACCTCCAAATTGCGGCTTCCCTGCTTCCAGGGGGTATACTAAACCCCCCCTCCATCCACCATTCCATACAGAGATTATATACATATTACTAACTATCAGATTATCATCAATACAAAGATTTCCGATACTTATCAAGCACTCACACACTCACACTTACATCGAGCTAACGGTGAACTGGGTAGCCCAAGCACCTTTGTCTTGGAATAGGACATATCAAGTCCTTCCACTATGGTAAACTTTGCCCATGACACACACATTTAAAATGACGTCTTAGTTAAGCTAAAACATTACTTAATTTGTCGTGAAAGACCTCAACAAATCAAATTTCATTGGCATTAAACACCTCTTCAAGTCCATCCCAATTGAGGTCAAGAGACACCTTCGAACAAGCCCTGTCTTTTATACCAATTGGTTCGATAGTTATTTATAGAACAGTGGGTGAGAGTGCCTTGGTACATCTGGCTTAGATCGGTTAAGATGACAGAAGAACCGAATTAAGAAAGTTGATATAATCAAATGAAATGAAATGGATGGCTAGCAACACAATTATGCGTGTGTGCGTGTGTAGATGTTTGTATATACATGTCTTATATTTCTCCTTGTTCTCTAATCTTCAGGTTCATGCTAGATTCCAATTGGCGATGTTTGAAAACGTCAGTGGGAAGTTACTATAGATAGATTGGAACAATGAAGTGCTCGAGAGCCGAGTTTGTTAATAAAATAATCCTTTATGGATTAATATCGAGTTTTAATTATTTGTTGAGTTAATCAGTTATTTCTTGAAGTGGGTTTTATAAACTTAACTTGGTGAAAAATCCGTCCATTTTAATCGATTGATCAATTTATGTCAAACGTCATCTTAATGAGGTTCTGCATAGGGTACCATTGAAGTTCAATTAATTGTTTTTGTTGTTGCAGTTTCCAAAATGTTTTAAAATTTTATGGTATTTTGGGTTTTTGTAGATTATTGTTGTGGGCCAAGGTATTTCGAAATAGAATTAAGCTAAACAAAAAAATTTCCTAAGGGCAATTATTACTGGTTTTAGGCACCATCAGTCAGTTCTTTTTAATTTCTTTTAATATATTAATAGGTACTTGATATGTAATCTGATTACATATCAAAAATTCCAAACTTCGTTTTCATCTTTTAATTTAAATGTGATGGAACCTATTGAATTCAAATTGGCTTATACTATACGTTTCAAGATCACATCTATATATATTTAACATATATATTACACAACTCTAAATGACAGATGAGCTTTGTTAAGACAGGAATTCTAGAGTCATCACCGGAAGAATTATGGAAATTATATTCAACTTCTAGGGTTATGCTGCCTCACCGTGACCGATTATTAAATTTCACTTGGAGGTTGATGTATCTCAATGGAAGGAATAATCGAATTAGAATTGACCATCAAGATATAATGGAGCATTCACAGTTGCAAGATCTATTGAAGAATAGTAATATTTTACAAAACTCTATGGTGTCTAGTTCTAACTCTGATACTTTTAATGATGTCAGCAGTGTCACTGAAAATAGTTTTCTAACAAATTCAAACTTTAATGCGCTGGCTACTACATATGACGACGACGACGACCTATTCCCTTATACTTCGGAGTATAACAATGGGTATGAACCTGATACAAGATTAGATAATTACCTGTACAATTCGAAGAATTTCGATGATAATTGGAATTACAATAGGGATTATATGGATACAATCAGGGTTCAGGCACCAACTCCAGTAATGACAAATGATACTTCAAGCTTACAGACAGATAGCATATCTAATACAGAATTTCCTTTGGGAATAAATGAATATAATCAATTACTCAAAATGGATTCAAATAATCTGGCTAATGAAAACATGAACCTTAAATATTTAACTAACCAAAAAAATGCATTTACATCAAATAATTATATGTCATCGATATCTAATATAAATTCAAACGAAAGTAGTACTAGTAGCAATAGTCATAATAATAGTCATAATAATAGTCATAATAATCATATTAATAATAGTCATAATAATCATAATAATAATCATTATAATAATCATAATAATAATCATAATCATAATAGTAGTCATAATAATAGTAATATAATTAATAGTAATAACAATAATTACAGTAATAAGAACAAGAGTATCGACAAGAACAAGAGTAGCGTTGACAATAAAGTAACGAGTATAACTGATAAAATTACAGAGGTTAATTTAAATTTCCAAAATCGTGAATATGAACAGTTTCACAACAGTAGGATTGAAGATAAGAAATTAGTTAATAGTATATCACCAATCCAAAAATATGTTTCAAATATTAAACCAATTAATGGAAAAAAGAGAAATAAAACATTTAAAGTCAGATCAACGACTATGTATATTCCAATCAAGAATGCAGACACTGCATCACTTTCCACTGATAAAATTCAATATAACGATGATATGATATGCGATAATTGCAAAACTACAAACACTCCACTATGGAGAAGAGATCCAATAGGAAATCCATTATGTAATGCCTGTGGTTTATTTTATAAATTACATGGTGTTATGAGACCACTTTCATTAAAGACTGATACTATCAAGAAGAGACAAAGGTATTCAAATAAACGTCGAAGAAGTCATGTAATAGTGAATGATAAAGGAAGTAGCACTAAGACTAATTCGACTAACAATAATGGAACTAAATCTAGAGGACTTCAGTAAATGACAGAAATTTAATGATTCAAACAAAATGCTTTATTATTTCATTTTATGAATAATATAATATGGCTCCGCATTATTATCTTTTATCCAAATATATATAATATACAATTATATACTTTATATTTTGATATACATAAACAACAGACATGTAACATTTCCAAGTATAAATTTAAATGAAACATAGCCTCAATGGGATTAAGAAAGTTGGTAGATATACTCCAATCAAACTTAACTTCTCATTTAAAGTCATCGCAATATCAACATTGTTCAATTGATGACCGTTAAAGTATATGACAACAATACAAATTAAAGTAGTTAAACTTGCATTGAAACCATATAGTTTCAACCACCAATTCAATCTTGATTGGAATTCCTGTCTTGATCTCTTCTCAACTTTATCATCGTTGGCCAAGTTGCTATCACCTTGTTTTAATCGAGGTAGATAAATGGTGAAATATACAAACAATGGCAATTGCACAACTAATTCGATTAAAACAAATATAACTAGCCATAATGGCTTGTCAGCCAATAAGAAATCATTATTATTGTTAATATGAAACTTAATTAAATTTTGTAGTAAGTTAGGATACCATTCTAATGGTATAACTACTGATGAATCAATACATAAAGTAATTGGTATGTGGAGAAGGAAATAGTAATAGTAGAAACTAACGTCAAATGATGTTAACATCTCGTAATATAAAAAATGATTACTGCAATCAATTGACTCAAGTTTGGTACCTTAATCGTATGATTCTTGTACCTCAACTACCATCTCAAGCCCTTTTTCGATACTGATGGAAAGGTTTTCGAACGTTTAAATATCAAAAGTTTCTTTTAATATTCTGGATTGCTATAAAAGTAACGATGAATGAACGATTAGTTGGTTAAAAATATATGTAAAGACACCTCAAAATTGGTGGATTGCTATCGATGACCAATTGTTCTTGTAGGATCATAATATTATGATTCATCTTTGTATTTAAGTAGATGAGATTAAGTCAACTAGCATTTTGAAAGTTTCCCTTTTACGATGAGATGGGAAACTGGATAGTGAAGCAATTGCTAGAGTAAACGAATATACGTATATATCAGATACTCTCTCTTTATATATTAATATTCTATCATAGCATAGTATAGTACAAGTGTAATCACAATGTCAGAAGATAAGTCTTACTTGGAACAGAGTAAAGACTATGTAACCCACAAGAAAGACGAGTTGTCTCATAAGTTCCATGGAGAGGACAAGAAGGTGGACAAGCCTGATGAAAACATCGATAAACCAGAATCAAATCTGGAGTCTCAAAAACCTCGTTCTCAAGCTTTGAAAGAAGATGTTAATGAATATTATCAATCTGCTAAGGACTCTCTTTCTGGAGCAGCAAAATATGTATCTTCTCACATTGGAGGTGGTGGAAGTGGAGGTACCTCCAATTGAGTCTGAATTGGATATTTAGGTTTTAGCTGGTTCTTTTTAATTTCGTTTCCTATGTATCAATAATATTACTGTTTAATATATATATATTTATGAATTTACCAATAATCTATACATGTATAAGTATTAATATAAATACATTAATTTACAGCATTATTATGCGGGTTTCATACTACAATTTTATCATTAATCTTGAAATATTAATTTTATAGTCCATCATCAGGCAGCTTAAAAATAGGCTCGCTATTATCTCCATAATCTACATTTTCAAATTCATCTTTATTATTTAGTAATTTTTTCTTGATATAGCCAAAGTATTTTAGATAATCAGTTTCAAATCCTAATAAATTGTTTTTAAACTTCTTTCTCTTTCTACCACGTACACCAAGAACATTTGCCAATGATATATCTTCGAATTCATTAAATGCTTTCATCAATCCTAATTCTTTTCTCTTTAGTTTGGCAAATGCCTGAGCTGTAGTCAAATCATTGATGAATTGTGATTGTGATACCAGTTTGCCTTCTTCTAATCCTTTACAAACATACTTCTTTTCATCTGTTTCGAGTAATTTAGAGACACGTAGTTGTCTATCTGATTGCTCACTCGTCAGTGGTACAGAATCTGATTTTGGTAATGGCGACACATTAGATGATTTTGAAGACTCTAGAGATGAGGCTGTAGATGGCCTTTCTTTAGCAGCTAATTGAGATTTAGGTTCACGAACTCTCCTCTTCTTTAATGGCGGCTGTTGCGATTTTTCTCCAGTCCCATCATCGACATTTGATTCCTCTAAAGGAACCGCCGAATCTTCTTTGTCATTATTTCGTGTCGATTCATTATCTTCATCGACATCTATATCATTGCCTTTTACAGGGGATGAAGCCTCGGCAGATTTCCTTCCCTCTTTTTGTTCTTCCATATGTTTAGCATTTATCTTTGCCATGAATTCTCTTCTCTTTATCTGTTGTTCTTTACCGAAGTTTATTTCTTCTTCTGGGTCTACATCGTAATCCTTTGAAGTGGCCCTTAATTTTAGTTTTGTTTCACCTTCCTCGGCAAATAGTTTTACAGCCTCTTCGACTTGTTCGTCGGACAGATCAGTCTCTAAGTGAATATATAACAACCATAGCAACACGGTACATCTATCCTCCGGTTCATAGCCTGGCGAATCTAGCATACTAAACAAAGTAGAAAATTGTTCGTTGACGTCTACATATTTCTGGATGAACTTCATATTGATCAAAGATACATTGTCACATATGGTGAATATCAAGTTAATGATGTTCATCTTGTCAATCGTCTGTACATTTTCGTAAACCTTTGATAGATCCACAGGATCATTCCCCACAGCCAAACTTTTGAGAATAGATTTCAATCTAGGGGTATCTTGCAATGACTTGGGATCAGAATTGCCATACTGTAAACATGGAACAGAATGGAATGTCCTCAATTGAGATGTCATCTCGAGGTAAAAATTTACAGTAGTGTTCAACCTACCTATATTAACTAAGAAGCCTAATACACAAGTTGAGAATGCAACTTGTTGGTCATATAACATTTTGTCACGCAGTATCTTTGATCCCTTTGTCGAGCAAGCCACTGCCAAAATGTAAGCTTGAGAAAAGGTCAACTTGTCATTGAAAACAAAACATCTAGCATCGTAATTTGAATCTGTTACGTTGATAGTTTCGTTTTCCGCAGGTACAGGTGCAATATTTTTAGAATACACATCTTTAAAAATATTGGTGAACAGCAGTCTCTTGTCAGACAACAGTAAAGACAAGAAATGAAACTGAACATCACTTCTAGTGAAATAATCACCGTCTGGTTTTTTCAAATGTCTATTGTACTTGCTTGATTCCTTCATTTTCTTCTTGCCAGTGGTCACTGAAGGCACTAACAAATCAGTTTTTTTAGCCAAAGACTTCTCTTCTTCATCATCATCATCCCCATGTTCTTGCTCTTGTTCCTGTTCTGGCTCCTGTTCTGGTTCCCCATCCTCTTCCTCCTTGGCCTCACCTTTCTTAGCCTCTAACTCAACTTTGGACCCACCATTTCTATCCTGACCACCTCCTGCATCAGGGGAAGCCTGAAACACATCATGAATAGGATCATATACACGACTGCCCATCACTAAACCAACAAAAGCACACCAATTATACCTAAATTCAACCTTCTTGTCTTGTTGTCCCTAGACTAGAAACCAAATATTTTCAACAAAATCAACAACTACAGACCCAAATTAACCAGAATAACAAAACAAACAAAACCTGATCAACCAATTAATAAAGAATCACACTCCTTTGACACTCTAGGATCGATAGATGACCAATTAATCAAAACAAATTCAATGAACACTTATAAGCTTTATATATAATCTAAAGTTGAGATAGTTGCTTATTGAAATTTCAAGAAAATTTTGTGTATTAGATTTATAAGAAGGTATATGAACCAAGATGATGTCAATTTGGAGGAAGTATAGCTGTTATAAGAGTGATACGAGGTCGAGTTGATGGCTATTGTTGGTTTTAGTTGTTGTCAAGTTGGGTTTTGAGAATTTATTTGGTTAATATTGGGTAATTTTTGATCTAGAAACGAAAGATGCTATTACAAGAACCTGATGAGTATCCATTGGATGATATTCCTATGCCATACAGGTATCAGATCAGGGATGGTGGTGGTTTGAAGAGGTCTAGGAGGTGTAGTAATGGTCGTGAGAGTATTTGTGATGAGTCCTTTCAGTTGAAGAAAAGTAAAGTTGTTGGTGATGATTTGAAACTGGTTGATGAGATCAGTAGTGGTACAGGTTCAGTTTCTAATGTGACTGGGACTGGTGCTGGCACTGGGGTTGGTGTTGGAGTTGCTGGTAGTAGTAGTAACGTTGTTGATAGTGGTATTCTTCATGAGGAGGATGCGTTGCCTCTGTCGCCGATTCCTTCTCCAAGCTGTCGGGTGGAGGTTCCCCTGGACTTCGAGGATGCCAGTGGTGCCAGTGGTGCTTGTAGTAATGAATTATATTTGGAGTCACAGACCCAGTTACCTGCTTCCTGTTTTAAGAATCTGATGTTCAGGATGATTGCAAAGATGAATAGGAAGGAGCTGACGGATATCTGCACTTTGATCAAGGATAATTTGAAAAGAGATTTCATATCCTGTTTGCCCTTGGAGGTCTCTTTGAATATATTGAAAAACCTATCTTACGAAGACTTGGTCAGCTGTCTGAGGGTCTCAAAGAATTGGAACAAGCTAATCAACACTACACCGTCCATTTGGAAACAGATGCTGCTCTCGGAGGACTTTGTATCTAGTGATAACTTCGATAAATATTCTTCCAAATTATTGGCAAAGTATCCTGACAGATCTACCGAGGAGGACTGCTATCGGATCGACTTCTTACACAATAGAAGGATCCTGAATAACTGGTACAATTCTGAGTTCACTCCAAAGAGATACACTTTGAAGGGACATACCGCCAGTGTCGTGACCTGTCTGCAATTCGAGGATGAATATATAATCACAGGGGCAGATGACAAGATGATAAGGGTTTACGATTCTGTTGACAAGAGGTTCCTTCTGGAGTTGAGTGGCCACGAAGGTGGAGTTTGGGCATTGAAGTACGATGAAGACGGGATCATCGTTAGTGGTTCTACCGATCGGAGTGTGCGTGTATGGGACATCAAACAAGGCAGGTGTACACACATCTTCAAGGGACACACCTCCACGGTTAGATGTTTAGAAATTGTAGAATACAAAAACGTTAAATACATCATCACGGGATCAAGAGATAATACATTACATGTTTGGAAACTTCCAAAACCAGACGTTGAAAGACGAGTAGACTCTGCAGACGGCAATAAGCTGCCGTTCACCTATAATTCACCAGATGAAAACCCATATTTTGTTGGTATCCTGCGAGGACATATGGCTTCAGTTCGTGCACTTTCAGGGCATGGCAATATTGTCATCAGCGGTTCCTACGACAACTCGCTAATGGTTTGGGATATAGCCCAAATGAAGTGTTTGTATATTCTAACTGGGCACACAGATCGAATTTATTCTACCGTGTACGACCACAAGAGGAAAAGGTGTATCTCTGCAAGTATGGATGCCACCATCAGAGTATGGGATTTGAAAGATATTTGGAGAAACGGTACATGCACACGGGTTATGAACTCGCTGACACCATGCACTAACATCATGGGCTCTGTAATGATACTTCACGGACACACAGCATTAGTCGGTTTATTAAAGCTATCAGATAAGTTTCTTGTAAGTGCAGCTGCCGATGGATCTCTACGTGGCTGGAACGCAGAGAACTACAGCCGGAAATTCTTATACCATCACGTTAACATGAGCGCCATAACTACTTTCGACGTCGACGACAATTTACTGATCAGCGGATCAGAAAGTCAATTCAACATCTACAATCTCAGAACAGGAGCAACAATACATCCACATATCCTCAGAGACGCAGACCAAATATGGTCAGTGAGATTCAAAGAAAATATTCTCGTCGTTGCAGTAGAGAGAGACGGTCAAAGTTTTATCGAAATATTCGATTTTAATATCAACAATCCATCATCAAAACCACCAAAATTACCAGAATTACCAACAACCGCACATAATTAAATTTAAAATTACAAGAAAGGAAGGGGGGGAACCAGAACCACCATGCATATAATCAATTACATAAATTATTAATCTTTAAATAAAACCAAATCAAAATATATTAACATAGTTTTTATATATTTAACGTATTAGAAACGACCAACTTCTTTTCTATCTCATCTACCTATTCCACCAGAACAAGAAACCGTCCAATTCAAGAATAGATACACATTTATACACTAAACAAACCATCTAGAATCCAATGAACCCATCCATAAACCTTCAATCCATCACAAACAACCTCCAAAGCCATCCTAAGAGACATCATACCTGTCCCCCATCCTCTAGTATGTCACATTTTAATGCCAAAGGCCTTTGATATATAAAGGACGCTTGAAATCAAGATAGTCATCGGAAGCATCCCTTAAGAAAGAAGGTTGATATAAGTTATCAAACTGATGAGAACAGTTGAAGGATAGGTCTATAAGAGTTGAGATTGTACTGGTATAAGTGATTCTGGTTGTTTTAGTTTGAGTGTTTTAAGGTTTTAAGGTTTTAAGGTTTTAAGGTTTTTGATTGATTCAGATTGAGTGAATATACATCAGAAAATTGTGATTACGATTGCTTATAAATTTATTTTGAATCATGAATAGTGACGGTTTGAAAGCTCCAATTCCTGTAAGGAAGACTCCACTTCGTGTGTTGAGGGATGGTGTCGGGTTACACAGGCCTCGTTCTTCTATAGGGCTTGCTGGCCTTAATGATAATGTGTCTTCGACTAATATTGCTAAAGTTGAATTTGGTAGGGCACAATCGGCTACACCTACGAAACAGAAACTGTTTAATGGGATGGATGCTGAGGATATTGTTCAAGAGAGGCTGCATTGTTATGGGTTGGATTATCCTGTTGATATGGCTGTGTTTGATAAGAAGAAGTATGATCGCAATTCGAAATGGTTTAGCAGAGACAAGAAACCCCTATTTCCTGTGAAGGACTGTCTTCCCTATGAGACTGAGACACATTTGGATCAGGCTAGTTATATGTGTCATGTCTTGGTGAACTTGTATATAGCTATTGGGTCCATGGACTTACAGGGGCTTATAGCTATTTCTAGCAAAGATTTGGCGAGTTTGAAGCAAGAAGTCGATAATTTGGCTTTGAATACGGATCTCTTTCGATTCAACCATTATGCAGGAGATGCAGTTTCTCCCGTGAACTTCTATATCAACGATGAAGAGGCTCTGGATGAAGAGTTTTTGGAACAAATGGGGTCAGAACAGAACTCGAGAGGGAAAATTACCGCCATTTCTGCTACAATTATAAATTTAAATCACTGGGCAAATGAACTGAAAAATTGTTTAAGTTTCGACTTCCCGCTTACTTTGAGGAAGTCTCTAGCGACTGTTTTCTATTATTTGTCGTTGGTGAGAGGTCAGAAATTGAACAGACACATGTGTGTAGACTTATTTGAATATTTGGTAAGCACAGATGATCACGGAACAAATTTCACAGATCTATTAGTTGATTTGGATTTGACTTTGAATCATAAGATATTGTTCGATTTCTTGTTGGAATTCTTACCTTATCCCGATTCAGACTATGTCAAAATGGATATATCTTCTAGGGAAGATCAACAATTATTCAAGCTGTTCTTGAGATTGGCTCATGTAGCCAAACCATTTTTCAAAAATACAGGAAAAGACATCATGAAACAATCCATGGATAACCTATTATCAAGTTTGGCACCTTCCACTATGTCCGTAGTGTTACCGATGATAACAGCTTGTGTGCCTTATTATTACCAAGATGATAATACTATTAGTGATTACTTCCCTTTTTTTTTCAGCTTGTGGGGTTCTGTGACAGCCACTGTTGCGCTTGATACTCACATGTATGATTTTGTTGGAACCGTATTAGAAGATTCATACTGGAAACATCTCAAGGGAGATGAATGTTCCAACCATATCGATTTAAAAAAATATGGTCTGTTAACAGATGAGCAGCTTGATTTCATGTTCAATAGATTGCAGTCTCATCTGAGGTCAGACGGCCAAATCCATTCCTATTCAAGAACAATTAAACCTTTTATATATGCCATTAATGGATCGGATTCCGATGATTATTTTGCCAAGTTATCTGCCTTGATAAAGTCAATAGAGACATATGTACATCCTTCCAATAATGGGTTTTGGACAAAACCACTGGCAAAATTTGTACATGCGTTTATAAAATCATATCACGAAAGAGTTAAAAAGGAAGAGAGGCTGGAGTTAAAAAATCAAAATGATGTATTAGTATTGAATTCTGCAAACCACTCGAAATTGCTATCTTTGGTTGTAGATATATTGTTTTCAGGGTCTCAAAATAAGAATGAAAACGTAGCAAACTATTATATTTCATGTTTTGCATATCTATTGAACCTATTCCCTGAAAACTCTCATATTATATTTGATAGAGTTTTAAAAGACTTATCTAGTGCTCTTTCTGGCGAATATGTCAATTCAAGGCATAGAATACTGTCGTCCCTTAAACAGTTTACCAGAATTATCCGTTATATGGTTGAAGATAGATTGTATCGAGTTCACATAACCAATATTCTATCGACTTTGGTGACAAAAATAGATACCAATGACTTATCATTGGTAAGCAATATATTTAATGCAATTGTTTCCATTGCTTCCTTTATTCCCCTCGAAAATTTTGTAAGAAATGATGAATATTTTTCGTTTGCATCACATACCCTTCCATTTATAGAACAACATTTTTACAGTATTAAAGCAGATGAAGAGGATTACAAGTTTGAATATGATGAAGAATTCTTAGATCTAGCCTTTAGGTCTTCAACGACTATTTTTGAAGGCATTTTAACAGATTACGTCGAGAAAATATTTTTGCTAGTAAATGAGGATCTAGAGGATGGTTTTGTAACGAAAATTAATAATACTACAATGATTTTGATTGAAGATATGGATGATACCATATTCGAAACATTTTCTCAGCATTTTGAAAAGCAATTTTGGAAAATAGATTCATTTGGGGATTCTTCCCCAAATTATGAATTAGTTACAATACCACTGGCGGCTATTGTAAAAAGGAATAGCTCCTTTAGTAATAATTTGGTGAAACAATTGATGTATAATATAGAATTACAAATCCAAAAAGGTGCTGGCTCTGTTAGAAGTTCCAGTAAAGTTCAAAGAAGGGACTTTAAATTAGTGTTATATCTAACCGCACTCAATGATGTTTTAAGAGAATCTCGTAGTGCTATTTTAGATTTTTCTGACGAATTGATTGAATTTATGAGATTCCTTTACACTAATATAACGAACCCTCCCTTGGACATGATAACATCGATTATCGTTCACAACGTTTTGGCAAGTTTAACAACGACAGAAGTCGTTGAATATCAAATGTTTTCTGAAACATCTGATATACCACAGTCAGAAAGGTGGGGTGGTTTACAGTTTGATAAACGAAAATTTACAGAAGAAAATTTGAATTTCAAGTGGTATGTACCTAGTAATAAAGAAATTGAAACTGTGTTGAAAATTATGACGTCCATTTTAGATTTATGTGAAACAAATATGAAGGAATTTATGAATACATCTAATTATGACACAGCTTCTGTAGATAGGATTCAAAAGTACATTTTAATAATGACACATGTGATATCAGGGTCAAGTCTGTTGTTCGATCCTGATTTTAATAAAAATAAGTCAAAGCCTCCCAGTGAAATGACATATAATGAAAGGCTACTGTTATTGAAAAATCTGAGAGAAAATAGATGTGATGATGAAGAGCTTGATATAGACATTGAGCCAATTCGTGAGGACAGTGGGGATCATGATTATTATGAATCCCATTATTCAGATGATGGTATTGGTGGCGTAGAAATGGCAGAACCTTCTGTAGATCAATTGATACTTGATGATCCTGTAGATATTTCGGAAACCCCTTCAGTCATCAGTACTCCAGTCCCTGGACAACATGTTGATATGAGTTCATCAGCTATGAATTCTAATTTAGTTTTCAGAGATATTGATATTTTCAGTTGTAACTATCTTTTTGGAAGAAGTATCGAAGATAAATTTCAATCTCCAGAGTATTTTAAAGTCCACAAGCTTAGGGCCATAGTAGGAAAATTGTTCCACAAGTTGTTTATCAATTTATCACAGAATTTTGAAAACAATACAATGATTTTCCAGGTCCTGTTACATGGTATGAAAGTTTGGTTTACTGACATCGGACAAGAGACGATCTTTACTGACGATTCGTCTGCATGTTTAGATATGGATTTCATTGAGAATATCCAAAATATTTCTCAAAACTATGAACCATTTACAAGAACATGTTTGGCATTGAAAGCTAATAGTTACCATCATAGCCGTGTTTTGCTACATTCAACTAATAGATGGCCATCTAAATTGGAGAAAATAGTGTTAAGAGACATATTTCAGTTAGCTATATCAGTATATCCTGATGTTTACAGGCCAGCTCAAGGTACACTTATCCATTGTATGAAGCAACTGATAGGTTCGTACGCTTTTGTAATCAAAAATATAGTGGAATCTTTGAATAGTTCATTGAAACTTCGTGATAATATGAAAATTGAAGTTATATTAAAATTGATGATGATAAAGAAAGTGCATCATAAATTGATGTCAGACTACAGAAATATGGAAAAAGTAGTTTTGCTATTGATAGAATGTTCTAAAATAAAGGAACTTGAGATTGCAGTTTATGCTGAAAAAATATTGACGGATTTTGTTACTAAATTAAAAATTCCATCAAGTGTCTGTATATTTGATAATAATATATTATTGTCACTGGCGCCTCCGGATAATTCTATTAATATCCAAGTAGATGCTGTAAAAGCGGCAAAATCAAAGAAAAGGGAATTTATCTTCTTACAATTGTTCAATTTACAAGATAAACTAATTGATATCCTTGATAATGTGGGGGATTTGAATTGGAGGGTTACTGTCTTCCTGATTAGATTTATATCTAGAGTACAAACCAATTTAGAAACAAAATTAGCTAAGAGAGCAATCAATGTCATTTTTAAACAAACGTTGTCTAAACATCCGGAGATAATAAGGGTTAGTATCAGATCTATAATCAGCATTACGAATAAAATTTTTGCTTTATCAGACTATAAATATGATATTTCAAAGGCCTTTGAAAGTTCATTCGATCCTGACTTTATTTCAAACATTGATACAAGAGCAAATGATTTCTCAGAAAGTTTCCGCAAAGAGTTTGACAACTTCGACCAACCTACATATTATATTGATTCAAAGGCTTTTAAAGGTTGGCTATGTTGGGGCCCTTCGATGAAAGTTGTAAATTCTAAAACCATTGAAGTAGACTTAAGGAATTCAGAAATTGAAGTACTGAAAGAGCTTGGAAGCTTATTGACCAAAGATTGGCTACAAAATATAATTACTCATTTTATTCAAGATAATGAGACAAAAAGTGTCTTATCAAGCGGCAATGTCTCATTTTTTGTATTAACATTATTCATTTTGACTAGAAACTTTAGCGAGGTTACATTGAATGACTATTTCGATATATGCTTAAATACATACAATCGATATGATAAAGCTTCTATGATTACATCTTTAGAAATATTCACATCACTTATAACTGGAAGTAAGTATATGGAATCCGAAGATCTGATCTTACGTGATACATTCGTTGAAAAATATCTGGACGAATGTTTGGGGACTGAGTTGAATCATGATACATATGAAATTTGGAACACAGTTTGCTGGTGGTTACCAACAATTGTAGATATAAGACGATGCCCACCATTTTACCAATTCTTCTCGAACTTTGAGTCTATGATGAAGATTTCATCGGATGCACCTGCTGAACAGGCTTCTAAAATATTAATGTTCAGAAGTATTCTAATCAGTATGGAATTCCGATCACCGGATATGCTTTCTGTTTTTAACTTTCTGTCATTCAACCATCCCTATGACCATGTTCGTGAATCAATTGCAAAGTTATTTTCTACAATTATTCAGAATACTAGTAATCCATCTTTGAGTAGCCCAGACTTGTTGATACAGAATGCCAATAGCAAGCCTGATGGTTTGGGTGTACAAATTAAGCGTATGCCAAAAGTTATAGATGAATTTATCAAAAAACAATTCAAGAATATCTTGAAGGAAGTTGATGTTATTGAGAATATGACTCCTCAAGAAATTCTGAAGACACCATTTTTTTACATGTCTTCTACAATGTGTTATTGGATGAAAGAAGTTTCTAGGGGTCCAAACAAGATGTTATTAGTTCCCTATGCCATTGATTATATTCAGCCATTTCTAATCAATTTGATCAAACACAAGGACGTTTGTAAGTTAGCCGGGATTGATCCATCCTTGTTATATGTAGGGTTGGCATATATTCCTATTAGAAAAGAGGATAAAGGAAAGGTAGTCCATGCAATTTCTAATGACAGCTTAATGGAAACTTCGAATCAAAAGCAATTACAATTGAGTTTAGTGCAACATTTTTTCTCCTCTCAATTGCTACAATTGGAAAACGAGGACAAGAACAAAATTTTTGAGTTTGTTGTTCACAATCTGTTCAATGAACAGTTTATTGAGGTCAGATTACGTGCAGCTGATGTTTTATCAGATATTATTCATAATATTGGTGACTCGGAAGAAGTTCAGAAATTGATTGAAAAATTTGACCACAATCTAGGAAAATACAGTATGGAGAAGAGAAAGAAATTGTCGAAAACAAACGTCAAGATTCATGGTAGTATTGTTGGTCTTGGGGCTATTATATCTGCGTTCCCTTATATTTTTCCACTTCCAGACTGGATTCCAATTCAATTGGGCAAGCTAACAGAATGGGCAAGAACAAATGGACCAGCAGGCACAGCTGCAAAGAATATCATAAGTAAGTTTAAGAAAGTAAGAACAGACACTTGGCTTTTCGATAAAGAAAAATTTACCCCTGACCAAATTGAAGATCTCGAAGGTGTCCTTTGGAGAAGTTACTATGCATGAATCATTTAAAAAATTAAGTGCAAAATACGATATATCAAGATACTCACTAAAGTAGAATGGTATCGGTTCTCTACATCAGAAAAGAAGTTATGGTTCATTCAAACTTAATTTCTTCTAACCAATTTTTTTTCATTATTTGACTTTTTCCCGTCAGTGTCCTTCCAACTGATCGACCATGACTACCGAAGTCATAGACAAACACATAAATAACTCGTACATAGAAATGACAAAACAAATATATCAATATTGGAATTATATTGATCTGTTCAATTGCTTTCATTAGTGATGAACTCATTTTACAGAAGCTGCCTCGTTGGTTCTTCTCAGTGGAATGGTATTATATTCATCTCTATAGCACGTGACATCATAGTGTACGTGATGATCTTACCATTATCGAAATGATTGCTATATAAGGGACAAGGCTATAGATGGAATGGTATCATGCACACTTTAGCAACCAAAGTTTGGTATAAAAGGTCAATAAGTCAGTATTTGTTGATAGCAAGAGCTCTTAAGTGAGTGTACCAGAAATGTTATTTGGTGTTAAGTTGACGACTAGTATTTTTCCTCCATGGAAGAGTTCTTATATTAATTATGATTATTTGAAAGAGTTGCTTAAGGAAGGTGAAACGAAAGATAAAGGTTCGAATGCTAGCTGGACAGAGAAGGATGAGTCTAAGTTTGTGGAGGTTTTAGATAAGGAATTGGAGAAAGTGTATTCTTTCCAAGCTGCGAAGTACAATGCTCTGACTGAGAAATTGAATCGATTGGAAGAGCAGACTAAGACTCAAGAGATGATTCAAAATTTAGATTTTGATAGCTTCCAAAGGGTTTTAGAGGATAGTTTAAGTGAAACTGGTGAATTAGACAAATTTGCAAGAATCAATTTTACTGGGTTTGTGAAAATTGTCAAAAAACATGATAAATTACATCCAAAGTATCCCTCAGTTAAGTCTTTATTGGAAGTACGTTTGAAAGAGCTTCCATTCCATTCTGAGGAATCATCTCCTTTGTTATACCAGATTTCATTTTTGTACAATATAGTTAGAAGCAACAGTAATGGTGTTTCTAACTCTTTAATCGGCTCTGCTAAGTTGTCGAGTCTTGCTAATAGTGGTGCAATGACAGATATGAGTTTTAAGAGTTACAAATTTTGGATTCATAGGGATAATTTGATGGAGGTCAAAACAAGGATTTTAAGACATCTTCCTGTTTTGGTATATGCCGCTGCACCAACTGAGAATGACGATTTGATTGATAGGTTTGAATCAGATATACTAGATGATGACGGTGGTGTACCTTCCTCAAGTTCAAGCACTGAAGGAGTAGAAGGTGGTTTACGCTCAAGATCATATGACCCAGTGATCAATACTTTGTACTTTGATAATGAACATTTTGAATTGTACAACAATAAATTAATGAAATCGAGCGGTGCACCAACTTTGAGACTGAGATGGATTGGAAAATTAGTTGACAAGCCTGACTTGTTTTTGGAAAAAAGAACTATCATTGAGGATGAAAATGATGGTAGCATTGATTTTGAAGAAACAAGAATTAAGCTACAACAAAAATATGTTAATGGATTTATTTTCAATGGTGACCCCCAATATAAAGAGGTTACTTTAAATAAGTTGAAAAACAGGGGTGCTATGGAATCAGAAATTGAAACTCTTGAAAACAACATTGATACCATCCAGAAGTTTGTTATGCAAGAACAACTACAACCTGTATTTAGAACTGTTTACACCAGAACAGCTTTCCAAATCCCAGGTGATGACCGTGTTAGAGTTACAATTGATTCTGACATTCTGTATATTAGAGAAGATAGTTTTGATAAAAACAGGCCAATCAGGGATTCCAATAGCTGGCATCGTTCAGACATTGATGCAAACGTATCAAATCCAATGAAGTTTTTAAGAACCGGTGAGTACTCCAAATTCCCTTACTCTGTCATGGAGATTAAAGTTAAAAATTTCTCTGCAACTTCCATGTCTGCATCCATGCAATCAAAGAATTTACCTAACAAGCACAACATATGGATTAGTGATCTAAAGAATTCTCATTTGGTTAAAGAAACTCCTAAATTTTCGAAGTATGTTCAAGGTATAGCTTCGTTGTTTGGTGAAGATGAAAGATTAGATATCTTGCCTTTCTGGCTACCTGATTTAGAAACAGATATTAGAAAAGATCCAACTGAAGCGTTTGAAGAAGAAAAGAAGAGAAAGGAAAAACAGATGAAGATTCTGTCGAAACTTGATGAGATGAGAAAATCATCCTCCAAGATTTCTCCATCCTCAATAAAACAAGAAGAAGAGGAATTAAGAAAGATAAGGGACGCAGACTTGGAAGACCATGAATCATCTGAAGAGGAGGAGGAAGAGCAAAGAAAAGGAAAATTGAAGAAAAGAAAGCAAAAACAGAAACAGAAGGATAGAGCTGAACCTGAACTGACCTTTTTACAGGTCTTGGCAGGTAGAGATTCTAAACTACACAGTATCGATTCAGAAGAGGAAGAAATTGAATTGCCTCCAGGTGTTAAAAAACCAATAGAGCTTCTAAAGAATGCTGGTCCAATAAAAGTAGAAGCTAAAGTTTGGTTAGCAAATGAACGTACTTTTAATAGATGGTTGAAAGTGACTGTATTATTTAGTATCTTAACATTTTCAATTTTCAATTCTGTAAAACAATCCGGCTATCCAAATCTAGCTAATGCCCTAGCCTATATTTACTTTGGTTTAACCATGTTCTCTGGTTTATGGTCCTATTCTGTTTACATCAAGAGATTGAACGTGATTCGTGAGAGAAGTGGAGAACATCTAGATGCTCCATTAGGTCCTATTCTAGTCGCCTTTGTTCTAACGGTGACTTTGGTTGTCAATTTCGTAGTTGCATTCAGAGAAGAAGCTAAAAAACAACTACAACACTCAATTGTGATGAGAGTTGCAGAGAATACCCTTTCTGACCGTTTGAAACCAATTCAAAGCTACATTTTCCAGCTTGTAGGTGCTGAAACTAATTAATTTATCAATTTAGCTTCAGTTTACCTCACTTCATCATTATGCGGTCTCAGCCCTTCTTAGGTCGTTGGTAACCTGAATCCTGCATTAATGACTATGCCAAATGTAAATAATTAATTCCATATGTATACTTGATTACAAACTTTCTGTATAATTTAGTTCATTCAATAACCTTATCAACCTTTAGAGCTCATAGTTCAAGAGAAGAAACGTACGTATTAAAGCTTTTATAAAAACTTAATTCAAGCTTAATTTAAACCCAAGAATATTCATGTTAAAACTGAAGTCATCAAAGGTAGAAGTGGTAAGGGACTAATAAGGATATCAGAGGTGCTTTCTATTGAGTTATTATGGGCTGTTTATGATGTCTTCCAATGTGTATAAGAGATTTAAGTCTTCTGAAGTTGGTTCAGATATTACGGTTGTATCGAGCAGAGATGAGGTAAAACTGAAAGGCATTAAAATAAGTAATGAAGGCTACAAAAGGTCGATAAGCTTAGGGTATGAGCCTGTTGGATTAGAATCAAGATATTCTAGTAGACGTATTCACTCTACGGGCACTTATACTGATAGGAGAACTATGAATGAGATTAAATCTGATGAGAATGATTTTAAGGGGATTATTGAAGGAATTAAAATGATGTTAATCTCTACAAGGAGAGCCATTTGGGATACTATCGGTATGAATGGTGATGCATATACTGAGAATTTAAATGATGTTGATGTTGAAAGTTGGAATACAACAAGAAATTTAACTTCTTCGTCAGCGATGGATATGAATGAAAATACAGACTTAAGAAATATTAAGAATGTAATTGATGATGGACCTGTGGTACCATACGGTAGTTCTTTTATTCGAAGAAATAAACGTTATCGAAGATCTAGGCAAAGTAGTTTGGTTCGTTCTATACTTCAGAGCCAGTATAATGAAACCATTTCTATTGGGAATACATCTCAAGATGAGTATGAAATACCACCAGTACTAATTGAAGAAAGAAAAAAACAATTGGAACTACTAGACAATGATAATTTGAAAGATGAAGGTCTTAGAAATGCCATTTGGGAATTAACAGAAAAAATCAAGAATTTTTGGTCAAATGACAATTCTATTACTGAAACATCTACTATAGAAGAAACTAAGAATAATATCGATGATGATCAAGATGTTGTAATTCTAGGAGAACGCAAGTGTGATGTTACTAGAAGAGAAAATATTCCTCCCTTTGAAGATTTAAAGTTCAAGAGATATATAGCTAACGCGGATAATAATCCTGCATTGATAGATCGCTATGAAGGCTACAAGGACAATAATCATGATTTAAGAAGGAAGCTAAAAGCAATTAGTGAAATAACATTAGTTCCAGAGCTATCAAAACTAGAACTGAAAAAAGTTTTAGAAGTTTTCAGACAAGTGGAGAATCGTATCCTGGCAAAAACTAAGAATATTGAAATTACATTAAGAGACTTTAAAACTCTAGATCAAGGTCGATGGCTTAACGATACTATAATCGAATTTTTTATGAAATTTGTTGAGCAAAACACACCAGGTTCCATTGCATATAATTCATTCTTTTACAGTAATCTCTCTAGAAGAGGTTACGATGGGGTTAGGCGTTGGATGAAGAAAAAGAAGGTCAATATTCTTGATTTGAATAAGGTATTTGTCCCTATTAATCTCAACCAATCTCATTGGGTCCTCTGTATCATCGATATCCCACAAAAATCGATATTGTTTGCTGATTCACTTTCAGTGGGCCCCAGTTCTACCAGCTTCCATGTCATGGAAAACTTGCAAGATTATATTATAAAGGAGAGTAATGGTAAGATAGGATCAAATTTTAAGCTTGTATATTTAACCACACCTCAACAAGATAATGGATTTGATTGTGGGATATATTTGTGTTTAAATGCATTATACTCAAGCAAGAATAAACCTTTAATCTTTTCAAAGAATGAAGCAATGAATTTGAGGCTATATATTGGTCATTTAATATTATCATCATCATGAAAGCATATATTAAATTTTTAGAGTGAGTTATACAATATTGATCTGGCTCTGTATTCCTTTATTCTGCTAGTGCTTAATAGTGCTCTACATTTATTCAGAAACTATTAATGAATTTGGTTTGTAATTGCCGTAAAGTTTCCAGATTGATAGGTTCAGGGGAATTTATAATCTCTTCAAGTAGTCCGACCAAATTATTAATTCTCTTCATTTGATTGAGAGTTTTTTCATTAATAAGCCTTTCTTCTTCTGTTAATGATTTTTTAACAGAATTTAGTCTGTCAGTATTTAAAGAGTTGCTTATCAAAAATGCACTTTTAATAATTTCTGGATTGAAAAATTTTTGGACTGCCTTCAGTCCACTATTTTTAATTATTGAATGGTTAGACGATGCTTTGAAAAGCATCTTAAGGGTATTATTTTCTAATGATTGGGTCCCCATTGTTATGTGGGAAACGCTTGGTTTATTTTGAAATATGTTCACAATATCATGAAAATGTGTGGATATGAAGATATTTGCTGGTGATTGTAGGAGATATTCAGTTATTGCAAGTGAAATAGCTAGGCCGTCACCTATGCTTGAACCTCTTCCTAGTTCATCAATTATCAATAGGGTTGATGGTGTGAGATCCTGTAGAAATTGTGATATTTCTTTCATCTCAAAAGTGAAAGTAGATGACGTCAATTCATCAGTATCGTTATTTATTCGTGCATGAATTTTGGTGTATATGGGGAAATAGGCAGATTCTGCTGGTACTGGGCATCCAATTTGTGCCATTATGCAGAGCAAGACAACTTGTCTTAGATAAACCGACTTTCCGCTCATATTACAACCTGTTACTATTTGAAGATGAGACGAAGGTGATGATGAGATGTCATTTCTAACAAAGTTTTTCACAGTTATATCTAAAATAGGATGTCGAGAATTAGTGACAAAAAGCTTGTTTGAAAATTTTGGGATGCAATAACTGAATTTATGAGATTTATTGGCAAAACAACATAACAGATCCAATATTGAAATTGCTTCTGAAATCATGAACAATATACAGATATTCTTCATGATTTTTGAAAATAATCCTTGGACAACTTGTTCGCTGATTATTAATATCTCTGACATCATTTCCTTCAGTCTTAAGTTTAATTTGATGAGATTTGAAGTCGTGCATTCATAATATTTATTTTTTAAAGTTACATTTGTGAGAATTTTAGGTAAATTATTCATATCACCTAATGTATTTTTTTTCAACTTTATGTAGAAACCCTTATTTGAATCATAACTTTGAATTACATCTAAATCATATTCAATTCCTATATCTTCAATCACAGTAACTATTTCGTTTGTTAAGTTCTTGTACATCTTTCTTGAAAGATCTAATAACCCATTGGCTCCACTTTTCACCGCATAAGATCTTTGGTTCTGTAACTCTAAATTTGAACTAGCCCAACTGCAGTCTTCGTTTATATATTTATTTATATCATTTTTGATCTGGTCTAGCATGTTATTGTTTAATATTTCTTTTATTTCAATTAGTAATCTACTTTCAAATTTTTGTCTGTTTAATATCTTTTGGATTTTTTGACTAGTTGCTATTGAATCTTTTAGTGATATTACGTAGTTGATTTTTTGTTCTGGTTTTATAGCAATTTGATTTATTGATAATAGTTTAGAGAACAACTTGTCTAGATCTTGAAATGATTTCATTTCTTTTCTTATCTCATCAACAGCCCCATCTTCCAAGGAAAGCAGTTCTGTTATTGATTTTAATCTTAGTTCGATATTCTCTCTATCTGTCAAAGGTTGTAAAATGTTATTTCGAAGAGATCTAGATCCCATTTTGGTGGAAGTTGAATCTAAATATTTCAATAAACTCAATCCATTAGGATCGAACTTGTTACTAATTAATTCTAAACTGGAGATAGATTTAGAATCGATGACCATTGTGTTTTCAGAATTTTCATATTTAATCCTAAATTTATGGAATTTATTGCAAATATCATTTGAATCAAGTAAGCTGACTTTTTTTATTGCAGCAGATATAGCCATCAAAGCAAATTTTTTTTCTAAATATTCTTCTTTTACGTCAGTTTCTATAATTGAATATTTGTTTAGAATCAAAATTCCTTCTTTAAGATTGAATAAGTTTATAGGAACCTCATGAACTTTAACACTATCGGATATATTAAACTTTATAATAGTTGCTAACTTTGAAACAACTGGGTTCAGGGAGCTATTTGGAAGAAAGATATCAGTAGGTTGATAAATTTGTAACTTATGAATTGTTCTGATAAAAATTTGGGAATCGAGATACTCTGACATTATTAATTCCCCAGTATTATAATTTATAATACATATTCCAATTCTAGTAGTCATATTCTTACTTGATTCAAATACAGTAAAAATAATCTTTTCAGTTGAATAATATGAGCTGACTTGATTCGTTGTAGGGCAACATTTCGACCTAGCATTACTTCTTCGAGAAGTCGTGACACGCCTAGTAGAAACCTTGCCGTCCTTTCTTGAGCTTGCTACAGTACATCTAGGCTTAGATTTAGGTTTAGATTTCAGGATCCTTCTAGATATTGAGTTAGTTCTGCTTGTTCCTGTTGATGGTGAAGTTGTAGCCGCTGAATTGGATTCCTCAAACAGACGTGCATTTATGAAACTTGATAAATTAGAATCTGAATTGTTACCGGAGTTCATTATTCCAAAACCAAATATTATATCCTTTTTATCTAAGAATTGTTTTCTTTTTTAATGAGCAACTGACACTTGTTAAATATAAATATTTGTTTGTTTCAATGCTATCTATTCAAGAAATTAGTAGTCTTGATAATTTCAAATAAATCTAAATAAATAAGATGGAAAATGTTATGAGTGTTTAACAATTGAAAATTGTGATTTAAATTGATACTTTCTTTCATGAATAAGATTGTATTAATGGTGAATATTCAAAGTGTCACTTTGCAAAAGTTCATTAATCGGTGGAATGAAAAAGGGAAAAAAATATTCCCAAAAAAGTAAACGACCCCGGAGAGGATTGAACTCTCGATCTTGCGATTAACAGTCGCACGCCTTAACCAGCTTGGCCACGGAGTCCTATAACTTGTTGAATTGGAATTTTTGGAATCGGTAGGGGTGTTGGTACGTATATGATGATGTTTTTGTGATCATTTCAACATGTATAAGTAAAACTAGGTAGAAACACCATTCAAGTACTCTCTCCTGAAGAATAAATCTGTTTAAAACTGTCTTTTGGAGGCAAAAATTGTACTTAAGAATCACTCAACTGCAAATTGATACATTTAGTCTTTAAACTGCTATGTGTCATATTCAGTTTTAGTGATGTTGGTGGATGGTCGAATATTAATGTTACACATACGACAGTCTGTCACCTTTTATTACAATCCTTACCAAATTTGGGTTACTATCAATGCTCTTAGGTTACCGAATATCTTTTTTTTGGAGTAGTTGCTATATCGATATGAACTGAACTAAATTTTTTAAATGTAAGGTTCAGATCCATTTTGTCTACGAAATACAATGGTGATTTCCAATCAGTGATGTTAACAAATTGTTTATATTTTATTTATCTATCACTTTATCCGCATATTCGATCTAATTATCTTTTGATGGCCCTACGATTTTGGTTTGTAACAGTTTTGCCATTTAGTAAAATGAATTCTAATATGGGAATATTACAGGATGTTCCCGATTTGTACGTGTGCTGTTGTTTATTCAAAAAACCATAAAGTAGTGGAAGATTTGAATTCATATTTCAACTATTCTAATTGCTCTTATATCGGTTCTTCATTTTCTTTAAATATGTTAAAGCACACTGATTGTCGCTGCTTCCTTCTGGCATTCCCCAGTTCGACGCATAAATCCCAAATTCGAGTGAGAAAAAACCTATATTGTCACTGGAATTGCAGTTTTAGTTTAAATTCTGAGATTTCCGAATGATTTGAGATGTATGAGGGACAAACTGAGGGATTTATATCACACTGACACCTATTTGCTGACCTTCTAATGGCATTTTCGTATATGATTACCCTCTTTCACACTATAATTTTTCAATATATAGATAAAAAACGATGGCCAATATTCTTCTTAAAGTTTCACTAGTTTATAAATCAGATGAACACCAGTTTGAATTCAGCTAACCCCCTAAGGAGATCATACCACAATGAAGCAGAGGGTGAGTGCTTTGGATATTTTGTTACTTGGTAATGAATTGCGCCAGGAAGTCGAAGGCTACAGGTTAACAAATGTTTATAATATTGCAGAATCAAGCAGACAATTTTTATTAAAATTTAATAAAAGTGATTCTAAAATTAATGTTGTGGTAGATTGTGGTTTAAGAATCCATAAGACTGACTTTACAAGACCTATCCCACCGGCTCCATCGGGGTTTGTGGTGAAATTGAGGAAGCATCTTAAGGCAAAAAGGTTGACCGGGTTTAGACAGGTCAAAAATGACAGAATCTTGGTTTTACAGTTTGCTGATGGGTTATACTATTTGGTATTGGAATTCTTTAGTGCAGGTAATGTTATTTTGCTAGATGAAAATAGAAAGATCTTATCTTTGCAGAGAATAGTTCAAGAGTATGGTAATAAAGTTGGCGAAGCTTATGAAATGTTTGATGAATCTTTATTTGCAGAAATTGGAAATACTACTGAAAAGGAATTAGACTATTTGAAAGAATATAACAATGAGATGGTAAGAGAATGGATTGATGAAGCTCTAGCAAAATTCAAATTGGAATCTTCCCATTTATTGCAAGAAGAAAACAAGGGCCAACATAAGAAAGTGAAGGTTATGTCAATTGCGAAATTATTATTGAACAAAGAACCACACTTATCTTCGGATCTAATCTCAAAAAATTTGAAGAAAAATGGAATTAATCCTTCTAGTTCTAGTCTCGAATATTCAGATAAAATCGATGATCTTGTCAATATATTAAACGCAACAACATCTGAATTTAAAGAGTTACTAAATAATGACGAAAAATGTGGTTATATTTTGGCGAAGAAAAATGAGAATTATAATCCTGAAAAGCATTCACCGGATACGGAATTCATATACGAAACGTTCCATCCTTTTGAGCCATTTGTTGAATCAAAGGATTTAGAGAAGACAAAAATAATAGAAATTCCTGGGGATTATAACAAAACCTTAGATCAATTTTTTTCAACTATTGAGTCCTCCAAATATTCCTTGAGAATTCAAAACCAAGAACTTCAAGCAAAAAAGAAATTAGATGATGCAAAACTAGAGAATGAAAGAAGGATCCAAGCATTGGTTGATGTCCAAACATCCAATGAGCAGAAAGGTCATTTGATCATCGCACATTCAAACTTAATTGAAGAAGTCAAGTTTGCTGTGCAGGGTTTGATTGATCAACAGATGGATTGGAATACGATCGAAAATCTGATAGGGAGTGAACAAAAAAAGGGAAATAAGATCGCTCAAAAGGTCAAACTTCCTTTAAAATTAAAAAATAATAAAATAGATGTAATTTTACCTTTGGAAGGTACGGAATCTGAAGAAGAAGAAGAAGATTCGTCGGATTCTGAAGATATCTCAGATTCGAGCGATGAATCTGAAAGTGATCAAACGGATAGTGATTCTGATAGTGATTCTGATAGTGACTCTGATATATCAATCGATGAACATAAACAAAAAAAGGTGAGAAAGCCAATTAAAGAAAGAAAAATTGATCTATCTAAATATGTTGTTGTCACAATTGATCTTGGATTATCCGCATATGCAAATGCATCTCAATATTTTTCTATCAAGAAAACTAGTGTTGAAAAACAAAAGAAAGTTGAAAAGAATGCTGAAAAGGCGATGAAGAACATTGAAGAAAGAGTCAGTCAACAGCTAAAAAAGAAGCTAAAAGAATCTCATGAAGTATTAAAGAAGATTAGAAAACCTTATTTCTTTGAAAAATATTTTTGGTTTATTTCCAGTGAAGGATTTTTGGTTATGATGGGTAAGAGTGAATTGGAGACAGATCAAATATATAGTAAATATATTGAAAATGATGATGTCTTTATGCAGAATGCATTTGGAACTCAAGTTTGGATCAAAAATCCGGACATGACTGAAATTCCTCCAAACACATTAATGCAAGCAGGAATCTTTTGTATGTCAGCGAGTGAGGCATGGTCCAAAAAAATAGCTGCCTCGCCAAGATGGTGTTATGCTAGAAATATCAGCAAATTTGATTCAACAACAAATACATTATTACCAAGAGGTAGATTTGCATTGAAAGATGAAAAGTCTATGATTCATCTTCCTCCAGCTCAGTTAGTAATGGGTTTTGGATTTGCATGGAAAGTTAAAACAGAAAGTACTGAAGATGAGGAAGGAGAACAGGAAGAAGAAGTCGAAATGGAAGAAAATGATGATGAAAACACTCCTAAACCAGCTCTACAAGACAATGGTGTAGAGAAAGTTGCAGACCCTGAGGATAGTCACGTAGAAGAAGAAACTTCAAGGATTATGGAAGAAGCTACCATTGAAATAAACAACTTTAAGTTGGAAGAATTGGAAGAAAGTCCGAAGCCTGAAGATACTATGTCAACTATGTCAGTTCTAGATAATATTAACAGGAAAGTTCGTGGTAAGAAGGGTAAGCTCAAGAAAATTCAGAAAAAATATGCTGATCAAGATGAGACAGAAAGAATGTTGAGATTAGAAGTACTTGGTACATTAAAGGGTATTGAAAAGGAACAACAGAAGAAGCAAGAAGAATTGATAAGAAAGGAACAAAGGGATAATAAGAAGGCACGTCAAGAAAGACAAAAACAATTGGATATAATTAATTTCACCAAAAATGAAAAGGTAAAGGTCAATTATAATAAAATCTTCAGTGAATTAAAATATTCGATAACAGAAGATGATGAAGTAATTGATATTATACCTGTGTTTGCTCCATGGCCTTCTTTGTTGAAGTATAAATACAAGGTAAAAATCCAACCAGGTTCAGGGAAGAAAACCAAAACCATCAATGAGATATTACATCATTTTATGAGTAGAAATGTCGACTCCACATGCCAAGATAAAGAAAAAGATTGGCCACAAGAGCATGAAATAATTAAAACATTGAAGGCACAAGACTTAGTTTTATCAATATCTGCAGACAAATTAAAGATCACACTCCCTGGTCAAAACAGTAACAATGGTAATGACAAGGGTAAAGCTAAGGGGAAGAGCAAAGGTGGTAAAAAGAAGAAATGATAATATACAACAACTGTAACTTCGAAGAATTAAATTTATTTATTTTTTTCATTTAAAAATATCTATATTATATATAAGAGATACTATAATATTTAACAATTATAAAATAATAATAATAGTAGTAGTAGTAATAATGATTACAGTAACATCAGATTTATAAACCTTGTTGCAATCTTTCTTGTAATTTGCTTTTTGCGAAACCCCAAGCACCCATCAAACCCTTGTCTAGATCTAGATGCAATTGTGGTTCATTAGTTGGAGGCTTAGTGACTCTTGAAGCTATAGTTGCAGGGTCGGTCTCCAAAATTATACCATTGTCGATAGTTTCATCTATCGCAAGTAAGACCATATCGAAGTGGTCTTGGATGTTTTTTTTATCAATGCCTGAGTCTAAGATTAAATCTAATGAATCACGGAAAGCTGTGAAACCTTGTTGTAGGATTACTTCATTTTCATCAATTGAACCTACTAAACATAATATGATATCCATGTACTCCTTATATAAGACAATATGATCTTCAAAGATCAAAATTTCTGTATCATGTTTATGAATCTTACCAAACAGACGTTTTTCAAATTCCTTTTGTTTTTTAACATTTTTAATTAATGAAGCATTTTGCACATAAGAATTGGAGTGAGGTGGTTGATAGTATTTAGCATAAACTCTATCACCGGTACCATCGAGTATTAGAAGAGCCTCTACACAATATAGGGACAAGCTTGACATTATTTATTTTTGGTAATATTTTTCTTTTGCTTCTATATCAAAAATCAATGAGATACAATACAGAGACAATAACAGTAGTAGGAAATCCCAGGGATAGTACTTTTTAAAAGAATTGAATAGATCAATAAAATTATAAAAAGATAAAACTTAAAATCAACGATAAATTCGTAAAATCAATTTTAGGATAGAATAACCTGAATTAAATTAATCAATAAGGAATTGTCGACCAGCGTGCCTCCTGCTAATTCAAACCTGTCAATTAGCACTTGCGTCTGCGATAAAGTGGTACACAATAAGAACCTTTTTCACTATTAATTTCAATGATCTTTGCGATTCCCAATTGTTTAAAATTAAAACGTATGTTATACTTTTTAATACAGCTAATTTCTAAATTTTTCAACCAAAATTAACCTTTGAAAAACTAGTCTGTGAGTTGTGTGGATTTAAAGCTAACTGAACACATTACTGGGAACTCTCTTGGTGAACAGAAGCTAAGAGAAAGAGAGAGAGGGAAACCAGACAACAAGGAAAAAAACAGTGCCGTACTTGACGATATTCCAATTTGTCTTTTCTTTTCAAAATAATTTCCTCTTTCGTCAATCAATGTGTATATCACGTGATTGAATAGATTGTATCACATGACTTCCCACAATTACCCGCATTTACACTGTTTTGCTTTAACTTCGTTTAGTACAAAGTGATATCCAGGACCATAGCCGCTCAATTGGAGACAGACAATCATTATAACAGTAACAGCAACAACAATAATACCAATAAGAGATGTACTTGTAATAGAAAACACACATACATACACACATGGATTAGATTTATGAGAATGATATATTAGGTCTCACATTTGGTACCTTTGGGGGAATACATAATTGTCAATGCCAATTTTGCTGTCCAGGTTAAGAGAATAAACGAAACATATCCAAAATAAACAGGGATCTTTCAATACTTCATATGGGATGATATTACTGTTGGTATTTCATTTTAACGTGAAATCAAACCCGTTGCATCTATGCTGTTGTTCAAACCTCAGGTAATAAGTTTGATATTGTTTGTGTTTGTCCCATTCATTTTACTTTAGAAATGCTTTCAAAAAAAACTATTACTATTGTCAAGAAGTAGACTAATTCTGAAGTCTATTTATATATGTTTTAAAAAATTAATGGCGGCTAAAGAAGAGAATCAGATCGGCGCCTATTTTTCCCGTCCAAAGATTAAAACAAAAAGAAAAAAAGAAAAAGGGGAGGGTTTTCAAGGTTGTGTTTTTGTGTAAATGGCCTATAATTTCCTTACTGGGTAATACACAAAGGTATGTTTCCTTATTTGGTAAATTCATATACATGTTTCCTAATTTGGATTATATGGGGAGGGTAACAGATAGGCAATTCTCGTTTTGGACGGAAAATTCGATGTTGCCGGGTAATTACGCTTACTGTAATTTTTCCATTATGGCCTTTTGATTAAAGTTTCATTATCAAATTCCCATCTCAAGCAATAAGCAATGATATTAACAGATGAATAGATGACTTTTTACCTTTATCATCTATATTAATTAAGAATTTTAGAAAATGATTGGTAACGGGGAATATTCTCAGGATAGAATCGAAAAGAATTCATTTAAAAGAGATAAGTGTATCTGTCCATAGTCCTAGTTTGTTTGTTTTTGGTTCAAACAAACCTGTGAAACTTTAATAAGAACTATACTATTTTCTACAAAGTATACTATTATTATCAATTTTGATCTGAATTAGAAAAAGATGACTTCGAATGCAGAATTCTTCTTTGGCTTAGTCCGGATATCAATGCTACAACTATTGAAGGCACACGGGTTCGATAAATGTAAACCAAGTACTGTCAATACTGTCACAGATCTATATATTCGGTTTCTAGAACTTTTTATGAATGAAATTACGAAAATGGCCGATTCAAGACAAGATGAAGACGATACAGTGGCATTGCAGGATATTACATTAGCAATGCAAAATTTAGGTATAATTAAACCAGTAGATATGCTGGATGTGTATGATGAAAACCCAGAATTGCCAAGCGATTTAGGCTTACAAAAATTTAAAGAATGGTGTCTATACAACTTTCATAGAAAAGACGAAGTGCAAGTTTCATTACCAACTACAGACCTATTGTATACAGAAAATAAATCTACGAAACCATTGTCATTAATACCTGAATATATTAATCAAATACAAAATAAAAACGGAGAAGGGAAATCTAATGAAGAAGACCAATTACTAGAAGAACTAGTCAATAATGGTGATTTCGACAATTGGATAAAATTTGTGGCTATAAAACAAAGAGTCAATATGTATAAAAAAAATTCAAAAAATTTACCACAATCTTTGGAATCTCTGCCGCATATTCCCGGTCTAAAATATACATTTCTAGAGAGAAATAATGCATCTTTAAATTTCCCAAATAACGATCTAATACCGAGTGTCCCCTTGGATGAAGAAAGCATGGAAAACGACGATAATACTCCTGAGTATATTAAAAAAGGCTCAAAATTGTTAAATAAACTACCCATTATGATGCACGAAACAAGACTAGATAATATAGTGCTGTCTTTTGAAAATGAAATATATGATGATGAAAATATAGAACCTCAAAATGATGATAATGAAATTAAACCAATGGACATCAGTAATGAAGACGCAATTGAAGACGACATTGAAGATAATAGAATAAATTTCATGGAAGTTCCTGAAAGTACAGTTGGTAGTTTCTCATTGGACGCTAATATGAATACTCAATTTGCAGAAATGGAAGATATGGATAATACTTTCCAAAGGAGAGATTCATTGGATTTCCATGATCGTCCCCATTTCTAAGGTGTTTATATTCTAAAAATAATGTTATATTATACAGGGTTTTATAATTCATATATAAGCATATACATAAACCATTGGGTAATTAACGGAATGTCAAGATGATCAAATAAATTTAATGCAATATCTATAATTTTCTTCTGGATTTAAATTTTTGGTTTCTCTTAAAACCACCTTTTCCAATTCTATTCTTAGTTTCTACCCTTCTAGAAGGAGCGTTTCCACCTTCATCATCACTGTCCATGTCATCAGTTTTGGAACCTTTCTTGAATTTCAACTTATTCTTTTGACCTCTAATTGGACCGTGTCTAACAGCATCTAGATAGGCGTTAATACCACTTGTTACTGATTTTAGTGGATCATCGTTATCTATGTCTTGTTTACCCTTATCTTTAACAACTAATTTACCATCAGCATCAAAGTTGAATGTATCATCAGATAACATTCTTCTACGTTGATCTTTATTGGATTTTCTTACCTTTGTAGAAGATATATGAGCTAAGGCTTGGGAATCCAATAAATCCAGTGGGTTGTCACCAGATTCGATGATAAATTGTTTAGAGTTCTTCTTCTTGCCTCTACCAGATTTTTCCTCTTCATCATCACCTTCATTGTCAGAGGAATCATAAACAGCTTCATCGAATGCAGTCATAAATCTTGAACCCTTGTTAGATTCTGCTGGTACATTACCTTCTTGTTCTTCTTCTTCAGACTTTCTCTTGTTTCTGTTACGTGTCTTTCTAATATTAGTCAATAATTTTCTGTCATCTTCTGGGAAATGTTCTTCAATAAATTCATATCCAAACTTTCTAATCAATCTTTCAATTATATTCTTGACCTTTGATTTGAAATGACCCGAATGTTCATTTGACCAACGTAGTAACTTTGGCAATAATTCTGGAATCTTAGGCTTCATGGCTTCAATAGGCAAGCCTAAAACACAAACCTTAGTAAAACCAATAGCACTTTTGACAATTTCTTTTGAGTTAGAAGTCAAATATAATTCAATGGTGTCGTATATTTCCATTAACATATTCATATCCAACTCATTTCTGAATTCAAAGGCTATGCATGCATAAGCAGTAATAGTAGCACTGACCATATGTTGAGATTCACCAATCAAACCTGCTGATATGATCTTGAAGAATTCAGTTAATGAAGATTGTTGATCTGGAGATGCTGGATCGTAGCCAGGGATTTGTGATAATGAGATTATACCGTTTGGATCTTCCATCTTCTTACCCATAGTAATCAAGGTTTCGAAAGCCAATTCCCTTGTCTTTTCGTTGACATCTTTGGTACAAAGAATGATTTCAGCAACAATTTGAACAATGAAGTTTAATTGGTTTGGTGGTAGTAATTGAACTAATGTCTTGATAGCGGCCAATCTTGAGGCCTTAGAAGAAGTCTGAACAGTTTCAGCATTGGTTAGGATTACAGTGACAATGTCGGAAACATATGGTGCTAACACATCTTGACCAGATTCCAATTCAGATAGTCTAATGATAATTCTGTAAGCTCTCTTTTGGGTTAAAGCAGCCTTTGAGGTAACAGTAATACCAAAAATAGCAAATAGAGCAGAATATGAACTAGCTGGAACATATTTGGTCATACAAACAACTAGATCTAATAATGTTGCGCTTAATTGAGGTTTACCTTTAACTGCATTATTACCTTCTTTATCCATTGCATCTTTTAACAAACCACAGACATTATTAAAAGTTTTAACGATATCATCCTCAGAAGTGATCTTTAAGTATGACTCAATAGTGTCAAGGATAAATCCCCTGGTATTTGGTGATGTTTGGGTATAAATATTGAATAAAACTGCTAGTATGTTGGAGGCTTTAGTTGACAAATAATCGATGTATTCTCTGGATTTTTCAACTGGTAAACGTTGTTGTAAAATGACATCTTCTGCCAAAGCACCATTGACATAAGCAGTGTTACTTTCAACCAACATTTTTAAAGAATTACAAATGGTAGTTCTTAATTCCACCTTAGAATATAGTAAAGATGATAATTCGGCTGCAAATTCATCAGTAAAAGTTTCAACTAAATCAGTAGGTAATTCACAGAAATGTGGTAAAGTGGACCAAATTTGATCAACTACTGTTTGGAAAATCTTTAATTGAACGGATTCCTTTGGAACTTTTGAATACTTGCTTTCAAAACTTGTAATAAGAGGGGATAGTTCATTTACAAATGTAGCTAGTTGAGCATGTCTGGTGTGGTCTCTCAATATTGGCAATAACCAAGCTCTACCTGGTGCATTTCCAGAAGGATTTTCTAAGTTCAATGGCAAGTGTGACAAAACAATTTCAGGGCCCATACCACTAATGGCAGATCCGATCACTAATTCTGCTTCATTTCTAAAGTCTAAAAAGTTTTCTTCATTAACTCTCCATTGGTCGACAATTAATAATGGTTTGATCAAATATGGGTTAGCTCTGTAACGGAATTTATTGAAAGCTGCAGAAAGGATGCTTAAAATTTCTTTTGCGCAATGTGTATATCTAATAGATAATAATTCGACAAAATGTTCGGATAATTCCGCCAAAAGGTTGGATACAGTGTCATAAGTAACATCATCTACCAAAGGTTTTTCCAACAAAAGTTTATCATTTACAGCATTTGTTAAAATGGCAATCAAACATTGAGAAGCGCTGTAATAAATCTCTGGAACTTCGCTAGATAGGTAATTTGCCATTAGTTTGAAAATCTGTGGGATTGTAACAATTGCCTTCAAAGGTTGACTAATAGCATAAGAAGAGATACCTTTCACGATGACAGCAATCCATGGACCTGTCAAATGTGTGTCTTTATTTGATGGAGTCAATTCCAAAATAATATTTAAAACATTCAAGAACTTATTCTCAGCTAAACCTAACTGGGAAGATTCTGCAATAGAGTTAAATAAATTTTCGAAACACTCAAAGGATGATGAAACTATATATTGTTCGGATGATTTGGTGACTTCTAGCAAACAATCACAAAGTTGGTCAATATGAGCAGTTGGCCATTGGTTTGTAGAAACAATTCTACTGATCAACTTTAATATATGAATCAATTTGGAGTTCAACTCACCACCTTGTGTTTTTAACTTTTTATTTGACATTGTAGAAATTTCATTTAAAATTGAAGTTAATTCCTTTAAGCAGAAAGCTGCAATTAAAGCGGAACCCAAATGCTCAGCAGATGGAGCGGCAGGAGGGTTTAGCAGAATCTTTACGATTGCATCGACAGCTCTCTTTCTGACCTTTGGTCTTGGATCTATACTCAATTCTAATAAACCTTGCAAACCTCTTCTTGGGGTGACGTTCAAGTTATGTGTGTTATTCCATGCTTGAGCATCTTGTGCAACCAACAATGATTCTAAACAACCAATAGCAGATCTGTTTAAAGGAGCTTCAACACAAGTTAAACAAGGAGCGATTTTTGTTAGAATTTCTGGGAATTTTGATCTCAGTAATTTTTTTGGTGAATATTGAAAGATCAGGTCTAATAAATAAGTAGCGGAGGTAGATATAGTAACGTCTTTAATAGTACCTTTCTGAGAATCTATAGCTTGGTCTAATAATGATAAAAAGGAAAGCATATAATTTATAATATTTTTAGATGTTTCGTTAGCTAATTGTTGGGCATCCATATTCTCCTCGACGGCAGATAGAATGATAGCAACATGTTTTTGATTATCTAATTTTGAATTTATTTGTAATCTAATCTTAGCCAATCTATCTTCTAGCTCTAAAAAATGAGCTACTTGATCAGCTTCCATTGTTTATTCAAATTAATAAAAAGCTAATAATAAGGAGAAAGACACCGAGTAAAGCAATAAAGTGATATATTAGTAAGTCTCTAATAAACCAAAAATTAAAATTAAATTAATACTGTAGTGGATAGATAGATGAATCTTTACTTTCACTTTTCTTTCTTTCTTTCTTTCTGTCTTGTACAACTTGATCTTGCTCGATACAGATTCTCGAAACCCAAAAGAAAACAGAAACCGAACAAATAAATGTCCAAAATAACTATTAGAACTTAATTCAAGAACCAAAAAGTTTAAATACCCACCAAATACTTAAACTTTTCATTAATACTGATTATTAGATGCGATGAGATGAGATGAGATGAGATGAAAAATTTTGATGAAAAATTCGCTGAACATAATGAAAAATTAAAGGTATCACGTGATTTTGGTGATAATAATTATGTAATACAGCCTTTCTTCTTATGAAGTCACACACACTCTCTTTATCTAGCTAAGGGGATGGATGATGGTTCTATGGTTGGAAAATTGATTGAAGTAAGACACTGTTAATAACCAGTTATATTATACTCTTGATTTCTATATTACAATTGCATTGTATTTTGCTGAACATTACGATTTGAGCTGTCAATAATGGGTTAGGTATCTTCTATGGGCTTAACTTAATAGCTGAAAGTATAATATTCTTGTTTGTATGTGTTCGTATATCATGATCGATGAAACAGTGTAATTTCCAATTTGAAATCTTTCAGTAAGAGAAGCTCTTAAAAGAAATTTTAATATATAGCAGAAGGTTAAAAAGTTGATGCGATGAAGGCATTGGGATATTGTTGAAGGCCATTTGGAAGGACTTTGAGATATTATCAGGATGACTTGTGGGTTGGTAAGGATTCGTTTGGCTCGTTTTGGCAGAAAAAACACACCATTGTATAATGTAGTGGTTTCAAATGCTCATAAAGCTAGAGATAGCAAACCAATTGAAGTTCTAGGTACATATAATCCTGTTCCTAGGAAAGTTACTGACTTGGGGCCAAAACCAATGTTGGTTAAGGATGTAGAATTGGATTTTGACAGATCCAAGTATTGGATAGGTGTTGGAGCTCAACCAAGTGATACTGTAATTAGATTATTTAAAAAATGTGGTATACTAGATGAACATTGGGGCCAAAAATATGTTGAAAGAAAAGTAGTACTTCCAAGAAAAGAGGTTCAAGAATAGTTGATCATATAGTTGGGAAAGATTTCTCTCTTGCCTTTTATTTGGTATGTTTGAGAGGAGCATCGTGATAAATCATATTATTCTTCATTTTTTACTTAACACATGCACATAATTACATCAAGCACTTAATGGAAGGACGGTTAAAACAATCAATTACATGCGTCCTTCCAGAATGAATCTGATTTTCGATTGTGGTATCAGGATTCTGAAAAGAAATATTCAATACATGACCCTTTCTCTAGAATGGGGTACTCACCAAAATTACAAAATGTTTAATAAATAAATTTAGTATAAAAAAGTACAACTTGTAAATAGAACAAGATTAATACATATATTATTATTAGAAATTATAAGCGTCTATATGGATATATAAGTTTTAAATTAAACCTTATATATTACCTAAAGGTTACACACATGTACAAATTATCTTTAAATGCACGTTAGTTTATCACAGCATAAAACACAATATTTAGATTCTATAATTATCAGTTGTAGTGGGGATACTGAAAATAGAATCTAATATTAATTTTAATATTAATTTGATTTTAATATTAATATAATTTAATTTAATTAAATTTTGATTTTGATTTAATTTAATATGGTTGGGTATTAGTATGCTTCTATCACCTTGGCGGTGGTGGCCCATTAGAAGAAGCAGATCTGGAGAGTGACGGTTTTTGGAATAGTAATAAAGAAGAATTACTTCTTGTTCTATTTAGTTGTATGGCCGTTGAAGGTCTGGTAGGTACGGGAGAATAACCACCAGATAATAATTCTTGGGTATAAGGGGAAGGCTTTCCAAAATCTTGCATGAAAGCAGGTTGCAGTCCTGAAGTACTCAATGATAAGTTGTTTTGGCTTGGTATACCACTGGCGGAGGAAGAGGAATAGGCATTTAAAAAATTTGAATTATTATTGCTGCTAATGTTGTTGTTATTATTATTATTGAATTGGAATTGCAATAAATCTTGTGCAAATGGTAGTGGGGATAAAGAAGCATTTGAACTTGTTCTTGAGATGTTACAATCGTTTTTAATTTCTTTTGATAGTCTATATCTTATTAGAGTTAGCAACCAATTGTTTTTCTCTACACCGATATCGATATTGCGAATCTGGGATTCAGTAATTGATAGTTTAGCGACTTTGTTTAAAACACCAGAAGGTGGATTTGAATAATCAAAAGGGGTGGTTGAAGGTTCAGAGACATAATTTTGATAAACGTCCAATAATAGATTAACAAATGGTTGAGATAGATTATTTGACATGGTTGAAATATATTGTTGCTGTTTAACCGAAGGTTGGATATCTGTTATGGAACTTGCTAAAGATATGTTACTACCTTGGTTTGAATTTTTCATGTAGACGCTGTTATTACCAAATTGTTGCTGTTGGTTGATTAGAGACTGTAGACTTAAATTGTTGACAGGGGTTCTAAATCCTGAATTACCATTATTCTGATTTAATTGGTTGATATAAGATGCGTTTGGTGGGAATAAGATGTTATCCTCATTTTGATCTTCTTCTTCGATTATGTCCATATCGATGTCCAATCCTATATCATTATTGCTGTTATTCTTAAAAGTTATAGTTCCAGTACCAGTTCCAGTACCAGTTCCAGGAGCAGATGCGGGTGCAGGTGATACAGATGAGTGGGCATCGTTATTAAATAAAGTATTTATACTTAAATTTGCATTTGACTTGGACGGTGTTGGATGTTCCATCAAGTTTTTACTATTGTTAAAATGGTTATTAGTGTTTCTATTTCTATTTCCATTAATAGAAGATATTTGTATTTTATCGAAAAGCATTAGGGGAAGGAAATACCTCTATATCTGTGTATGCGTGCAGTCAGTGAATATATATTTATATATATATTGGTATCTATATTTTTTTTTGTATCTGGGGACTAGCAGAAGAAAAGATGATTCTTTGTGAGTTCTATATAACTTAAACTTAAACTTAAACGTTCTATTTACGTTTTCCTAATGGAATGGAATGGAACGAATGCATAGAAGACAATAGCATAAACAGAGGGTATATTCCCTTTTGAAAAGATGTAAATAGATATTATATTTATAAAAGTATAAATTTCAGTTTCTGGAATCTCTGAATCTGGGATAACAAGGAACCTAGTGATGGATGGGGGAATTAAGTGTATAATTACCTCATTGATGGATAGACAAGATAGAAAAGATAGCTACTAGTGATGGTGATGATGAAGATGGTGATGGTGATGGTGATGGTGATAACAAGCAGTTCCTTCGGTATTTTCCTTGTTGAAAATTGTATCTCGAACTGCTAAAAAAAGCAATTTCGTAAAAGAAAAAGAAAAACCGTTTCGTGTTTGCCAAGTGGTAGCGGTAGCGGGAACGAAAGCTGGGCAAAGAGAGGAAAAAAGGTATGCCTTCCCTGATCGAGACGAGACACATGAGGAAATAAGCTTCTATCTGTTTTAGGAAATTTAATTCAGAGCGCCAGCGAGCAAGAAGGGGGAGGGAAGGGAAGGGGCAGATGAAAAGGGGATATACACGGTATTACCAAATGAGGAATATGAACTGAGATGTGTTGGCTGCGGTTGTTACGTGAAGTGTGATATGGGTCATGAGAGGGAAGGGAAGAGAAACAGCATCGACAAGAACAACAACGTCTCGATTACCCGATCGGTGGAGTGTCTGCATTAGGAAATATAATTCAATAAGTCAGAGTGAAGAGGTGAGACACGGTCACCTGACCAGAGCAGACAGATCTCTGCAACAAGACATGGCAATGGACCAGCGGGAAATCGGGAAAGAAATAAAAATAAGAATAAAAAATGGGGGGATGGGGGTCTCAGTCCAGTAGATAGGTATGGGGTGCACTGTCGTCTTGGGTATGGGAGGACAGGGAACCTAAAAAGAAAAACCCAACAACAACAACAACAACAACTATGAACCATATCTCCAAGGGTGAGCACCCTAGAATTAATGTATATCAGATTAAACTCTGTCTACTATTATCTGATACTGCTCGTATACAACAGGATAAAAATTAAATAACTCTAATTTCAATTATAATGCTTAATTTTTATTCTGTTGCTGTTGCTGTTGCTGTTGCTGTTGCTGTTGCTTATTTCTTGATATACGCATATACAACTACACTTGCTCAGAAACTGTAAATTGATAACAACAGTACAATGACTTGACATTTCCATCCAGCATTGCCGTTTCTTTCATCTTTTTTTTCAATTTGTTGGGTTCCGGTTCTCCCCACCAACTCAGCTTGATTGATTACATTCTTCCCAGTGACACACTTCAATTGTTGGAAATTCCTATTATTTTGTATCTATCTATAACTTTATATCTTTTCTACCATAATCTTCGATTTATCCTCTCCACTTTACTATCCCTGTCCTAATGAGCATACTTACTCTTTCTGGTAACTGGCGTGATTTGACCTCACTTGACTTGGCTTGATACAATTTCATATAATGTGATTACTGTGACTGCCTCCAGGCAAGACCTCAATCTCGCAACATGTACTTTAAAAATGTAGTTAATTACCTGTACATATCCATTGCCTGTTGGTGTTTTGTATTGCTATTACCTCTTGTTGGGTTCCCCCTCACTATGTCTCTGTTCGTTTGGATGCCAGACTGACACCTATTTCGAAATTTTTGTCTGTGCGTCACATGATCAAAAAAGGGCCCAAACAAAAATATCAGATTTATATCCAGAGTCACGTGCTGCCATGATTTATCTCGGAATCGATTTTAAGGATGGCCCCAATCTCTCTCTCTCTCTCTCTCTCTTCACGCAATCTCATTCCAATATAGTTTAAATTAATATTAAAGCACGTAAAAACTACAGCTGCCTTACATTGCATTGGCACTTCAAAATATCATTACTGTGTCTTGTCTAAACTAGTAAGACCAATTCAACCACCTCCCTCCCTCTCTCGTGGTTCTTACCATTCTCCTACATGATATAATTATTATTTATTACTAAACTCTCGACTACTAATCAAGGAACTTTAAATTCACTTCAAATCGTGAAATTCTACATTCAAACTTCATTCGATGGAAAAATACGATAGACAATTAAGATTATGGGGGGACAATGGTCAATCATATATTGAATCAGCAAATATTTGTATAATTGGCCCACATAACCCTTTGCTACAAGAAACTTTAAAAAATTTAATATTACCTGGATTTAAAAAATTCAATTGGTTGAATACATCGGATTCATCAAATATACAAAGTAACAACAACAACGATTTGTTTTTTAACGATATTAACGATATCTTAAAACTAAATGAGGATAAGGTTGAATTATCCATAGAGCTTTGGAACAATTCCATTGACAAATCATTTTGGAAAAATTTTCAAATCTTAATCATCCTTTCTATCAATGATAAATCAATTATAAGTTATTTTGATAATTTATTATCGTTACCAAAAAATGATAACGATTCATTATACTTACCACCAATTATATTAGCACATAGCATCGGCCTGTTTGGTTACGTTCATTTGAAATTTTTCAACCCGCATTTTATTCTTGAAACTCATCCAGATTATCCAAGGTATGATTTAATATTGGATAAACCTTGGCCGCAATTGAAACAGTTTATGGATAAGTTGGATTTAACAAATTTAAATGATTCATTAATTTCACAACTGCCATACGTAGTCTTTTTATATAAGGCAATTGAAGCAATTCCAAATAATGAAATAAAATCTACAACCAGCATTAAAAATTGGTTAGGAAATATCGATCTGCCAATAAATAATGGTAATTTAAATTTTATCCAAGCAAAACGTTACTCATACTTGGCCTTTTATGACACAGAATCAGAAGCAAGAATTTTAAAAATATTAAAAGATGCTGTAAAATTTGAATCAGAATCAAATCTGTGGCGCGATAACTTTAACAATAATGTCATTAAACTAGTAAAATGCTTCAAGATCTACTTAGATGAGTTTAAGTTTATTCCAATAAACGGCGAGATTCCAGACATGGAGTCAAAATCAGAATATTTTATAGAGTTAGAAAAGGTATACAGGGCAAAATCAGAAAGTGACAAAGAGAAATTTAAAGGTATTACTAGACAAAACTGTCCCGAAATTCCTGATGACTTTATTAATCTATTTTGGAAAAATATAAGAAATATTGCCTTCGTGAAGCCATCAAAAAAACCCATTCATTACATATGGGATACTTCAGATCTCTTATTTCGAGACCTGTTGGAATTACAATTTGGGACTGAAAATAATGTCCAAATGGATGAAAAATTCCAACTGTCACTAGTGGTAAATTCTTATTCAACCTCTTCGATTATTGCAGGGATTGCTGCACAGGAGGTACTGAAAGTTATCACACATCAGTATGTTCCAGTCGATGACGCTCTCGTTTATAATGGATTAGATGATGAAATCAATACTTTTTCAATATGACGACAATTGATTAGTGTCTGTATAATGCTGAATTATGTAATAATATGTAATATTTTCTATAAATCATCGAAACTACCTTGCATTCCATTATTGGAATTTTTAGATTTCTTATTCTGAAGAATAACCTGTTTCCAATCACGATTTTGCTCATCATCGCCAGAACTATTTTCATCTGCTTCTTTTGAAAGTTCTTCTTCGATTCTCTTTCTTTTCAAAGCCATTTTTGTCCTTCTTTCAACTTTTTCTTCCTTTGACTGGGTATTATTGGACCAAGACATATTTTTCTTTTTTAATTCACTCTTTAGCTTCTTTTTGTCATGAATTGATTTTAAATTTTTTAAATCAGCCAGTCTACGATCTTCTTTCTTTTTGTCAAGGTACCCAAATTTATCCATATTAATTGGCGGATCGATTAACCAACCTTCACCGAACGTTCTAGCATTCTCCTTATCCTCTTTAAAATATTTTGTAATTTCAGGCATTTTTGGTAATCTAATTAAACCATAAAATTTTGCTAAACCTACATAATCAAAAGATTGCAATCTAAAAATTGAAGAAGCAGCATGTTTTGAATATGTTTTTATGTAAGCCACGTATGACTTTACTGCTTGGTCAAGTCTTGCCCTATCTTCCAATAGCCAATCTTTGAATATTTCATAAAAATTGTCCGGTAAGTTGACAATATCTAACGATATTTCTTCTAAATTTATGTTTTTGACTTCCATGAAAGGGATATAGTCTTCTTCTCTTCCAGGTGTCAAGAATGTTATAGCTTTACCCAATTTATTAGCCCTACCTGTTCTACCACATCTATGTAAGAACACTTCTGGATCTGTGGGTGGATCCAACTGCAAAACTAAATCTACATCAGGAATATCAATACCTCTTGCTGCAACATCGGTTGTTAACAGAACAGCATTACTTATTGTTTCAGTAAATGTCTCCAGTGTCTTAATTCTGGCACTCGTTTGAAGTTTACCGTGCAAAGAATAGATTTGGATTTCTTCCTTTATTATACCCTTTTTCAATAGATATTGCATAAAAGAGTAGAAATATGTCACAGAATGGCAAGTCGGGAAATATGCAATACATTTTTTAAATTTATAATTATTAATTATGCTGATTACCTGTTCTAATTTCTTATCAGTTTCAACAACAGCACAATCAATCTTAAGCGAGGATGGTGCTTGAGATTTAGAATTGACAGTAACTTTTACTGGATTACGTAAACCTGTTTTAAAGATATTGTCACCAGCACTAGTAATTGTAGCAGAAAATAAACCAGTTCTTCTTTGTTTTGGTAAAATATTCATTATATTTTCCATGTCTTTTAAGAAACTAACATCTAATAATCTATCGGCTTCATCCAATATTACCATACTACACATTGAAGTTTTCACACTTGGAATCTTTAAAAAATCAAGTATTCTACCAGGGGTACCTATCAATATCTGGGGTTTATTCTCCATAAAATCACTAACATCATCTCTAACAGTTTTGACATTAGTACCGACTAACAATTGAGATCTTATTGGATATAAATTCTCAGGATAATGCTCTAAAAATGATTCAAAAACAGAATGTATTTGTTTAGCTAATTCTTTTGTAGGAGAAACAATTAGTGAATGGAAATGACCCTTTTTCATCTTAGTAGTATTAGCCTCTTCTTGTACAATTTTCTCGAAAATTGGAATTACGAATGAGACAGTTTTACCTGAACCTGTAACAGAATCAACGACAACGTCTTTATTCCTGGCAAAAAGTGGAATAGTAGCAGCTTGTACAGGAGTCATATTTTCAAACCCCATTACATCAACTGCACTTCTAATCCATGGTTGAATTGGATATTCTAAATCATCCCATAACAAAGATTTTGACATTGTTTCTTTTCTTCACAACTTTATATCTGTTACCTCTATTATGTTTCTATTGGAGCAACCTGAATATACTAACCTTAATAGATTAAATACTATATTTTGATATAATTTCAGAAAAGGGTGGTATAGCAGTATCTATCTATGAATACAAAACTATCTTTTCCTTAAAGTTGTCAGTATATTAATTTCAACTAAATTTGAGATGAGATAAGATGAGATGAGATGAGTTGAGATGAAAAATTTTGATGCCGATTTCTTTGTTAAACAAAGCTCATCGCTAAAAAAATATAATAATAATGATGATGATAATAATGATAATAAGGTTAGCTTATTACATTTTAAATAGATTATGTTGTGTTATCGATATATGTATTGGAGGTATTTGATTGGAAATTCCGTGAGTTAAATAGATTCTGTTGTTGTGCATTTAGTTTATATGACATTCTTATTCAATTTTTTCAAGAAAGGTGGTGCAAAAGCTGCTGTAAATAATTCTACGGTGACATCACCAATTGAAAATTCTAAATATGCTAACTGGACCAAAGAACAATTGATTAGGAAATTAATTGAAAGAGATAGTTTAGAAGGAAATACAAATAAAGAGAAACAGAAACAATCTTATGTAGGTAAGAAGAGGAAGTCTGCAAATTCCGATATTGGTGTAGAGTCCAAAAAGCCTAAAGCTGCCAAAAAGTTTGATTTCTCTAAATACGATACAAGGTTTATTGCTTTAAAATTTGCATATCTAGGTTGGAATTACAATGGACTAGCTATACAAAAGGAACCAACACCATTGCCTACAGTTGAAGGTGTGATTCTGGAGGCGATGAACAAATGTAGATTAGTTCCCTCAATGAATCCGCAGGATTATAAATTTAGCAGATGTGGAAGAACTGACAAAGGTGTAAGTGCTATGAGTCAAGTTATTTCTTTGAAAGTTAGGTCGAACTTAACACCAGAAGAGCAGGCAAACTCGGATAATGATTCGAAAGAAATACAGTATGTTGATATTTTGAATCAATTATTACCAGATGATATTAGAGTATCAGCAGTTTGTCTAAGACCTCCAAAGGATTTTGATGCTAGATTTAGCTGCAAACATCGTCATTACAAATATTTATTTAACAAGGAAGGATTAGATTTAGAAAAAATGGAACAAGCTGCAAAATATTATGAAGGGGAAAATGATTTTAGAAATTTCTGTAAATTAGATGGTTCAAAGCAAATAACAAACTATAAGAGAACTATTATAAGTGCTAGTATTATGCATGTATCGGGGGATTTTTACTGTTTTGATTTAATTGGTTCTGCATTTTTATGGCATCAAGTTCGTTGTATGATGGCTAACCTATTTTTGGTTGGACAAGGTTTAGAAGATCACACATTGATCAAAGATATGCTCGACATAGAGAAGACTCCAAGAAAACCTATATATGACATGGCCAGTGATGTTCCATTAATACTGTACGACTGTAAATTTGAAGATATGGAATGGAAAGAAGAGAATCTAAATGATTACAAGGCAATCAAATACGGGAAATCAGTCAATACTTTAATGATGGGGTACCAATTAAAGGCAACAGTAGCAACTATCTTTAAAAATACATTACCAACAACAGATGTTGATTTTCAAAAAAGGACAAGAATTAACCTAGGTGATGGGAAAGGTAAAGTAGTTACAAACTATGTTAAAATGGATAAAAGACAAGTAATGGAATCATACGAAATTGTAAATAAGAAATTCAAGCAAAAAAAAAATCAAAAGAAATCCTTATAAGTCACATATAATTATTCTACTCGCAATACTATTTACTTATTATAGTTATGTTTATATATATATGTGTGTGTCTGTATGTGTAAGAATTGTTCAAATAACAACTAAAGAATTTAAAATCCAAAGCCTTATGGTAAAAAAAGAATAAAAATTTTGGTCTCAATTTACTATTATGAATTGGTCACTAAAACTATATCAATTAAATAGTTTTATGAAGGTAATGGTTCTGACAATTAAAATTTCACATATTTTACATAATCGATTATTTTTAACGTTTTGGCTTCTTTAGTTGGCAATCGCCAGAAAGGTTTCAGGTATTTCTGATCTGAAAATTCTAAGTTTCGGAATTAAAAACGTGATGCTAAGGAAAAAAACGCCAAATAATAAAATTTATGAAGTAATTGTTATTTTAATCATATAAGTAAAAATCGTTTCTAATATCAATCTCTTGAGGAAACATTTTCAAGTTCAGAAGATTATAACATATATCAGAGAAAAGATAACATAACCCAGAGATGTCAATTTCTGATTTTAAACCGGAACTATGGACAACTTCTTCTAATAATGCATTAAAGATTTCATTAGTTGGCGAAAATGCTGTTCAATTTTCACCTACCTTTACATATCCAATATTTGGTGATTCTGAACAAATATTCGGTTATCAAGATTTGGTTATACATTTAGTCTTTGATTCTGTTACATTTAAACCTTTTATGAATGTAAAATATTCTAAAAAAATTGATAACGAAGCTGATGATATTCAAGGGAAATTATTAAAGTTCTTACCGAAAGATGATATTATTGTTAAAGATGAAGAGAAATGGGTAGACGCCTTTGAAGAAGAACAAAAATCTTATAAGTTTTTAAATGATGAATTTAAAATTGGAGAGTATTCTATAGGAGACGATGAATTTGTTGTTTATAAAGCCGGTATCAAAGATAAATTTATTAATAAATTTCATCAACGTATTCAAATCTTTTCTTTATTATTAATCGAAGCAGCATCATATATCGATGACTCTGATCCAAATTGGGAATTAGTTTTATCTTTTAATAAGAAAACTAAACAGTGTGTTGGATTTGTAACTGTTTATAAATATTGGAAATATGAAGGCTTCAAAGAATTTGACAATGATGATAATTCACATTATAGAGGAAAAATATCCCAATTCCTAGTATTCCCACCTTATCAAGGTAAAGGCCATGGTTCTAATCTGTATCAATCAATTTATAACACTTGGAAAAATGATTCATCAATTACTGAACTTGTTGTTGAAGATCCAAATGAAGATTTTGATGACTTGAGAGATCGTACTGACTTAGAAATGTTACAAAAAGAATTATTTTTCAATTCTGTACCAAATTCTGGACTTGTTGAAGAAGCTTGGATAAAAAAACAAATGAAGAAATATAAAATTGAAGCAAGGCAATTCCATCGCTTAATTGAAATGATTATGCTCCATAAGAACTACAATAATTTTAACATTCAGGTGAAAAAGAGGCTTTTCTTAAAGAACTACGATGCTCTAATCGAAATGGAAGAATCTGAAAGAAACGATGCATTAGATAAATCAGTAGAGTCATTGGAAGAAGATTACAAGAGAATCCTATCTTTATGTAAATTTGGTAAGAGAGACCCTTCCTTTGATGATGAAAAACATAGAAACAAAAAAGTAAAACTCTAGTTAGTATATAAACTATGTAATTTAATATGTATAATGTGATAACACATAATCATATCTGTATTTTTCAAAGATAAATATCAAATAGACTGACTTATTAAAGTTATTTCTAAATTTTGTGTCCAAATAACTATTAAAACATGGAAACTTGAAAAATTATAAATTTCATCATATCATGTGATAGAAGATTCAAATTAAATATAAATCTTTTATATTTTCAATAAATATATCATCAAAACATATAATATCATAATTAAAGTTACACTATCCGAACAGAGAATATAGGGTCAGAAATAAGATATAATGCACGTGATTGGAGATGATTAAACAATTATGTTGACGTTAAATAATTCAATATCGTATATATTTTCATCAAGTTTATGGAAGAATAAATTTAATATACATGCATAGAATATTTAGTTTTGTATTATTATTACTTTTATAACAATTTTTTAGCATTCATTCAAAGATCCTAATTTAATGTCTTATTTTATTTGAATGAGAAATTACCGGTAAGAGAATTTTTTGAGATGAGATTTCTACTTTTATTCTTCGGTCTCGGCTAAAACTCAAATTAATTTTGGAAAAAGAAAGAGGTTATTGAAAAGTTTTTTAACCTCATCGAATTTTTTATTTAGATTGAATAATAATAGTCCTGAGTTATATTAGTATTAGTTAATAAAAAGATTTGATCTGAATTAAATTGGACAGAACTTCAGATAACCAGAGATAGTAAACTGTACAAGATGGCTGTTAAAAAATCTTCTAAAGGACAACAGACCAGACGTGAAGTGAGGCCTGAGGTGTTTCAAGATAAGCAAGCTAGGAATCAACTTGCAAATGTTCCTCAATTAACTGAAAAATCTGCACACAAAAAACCAAACAAACTTCAAGTTAGTAAGGGTCAATTCAAAGCTCGTTTATATGGTACAAAGAAGAAAGATCGTAAATATACTGAGAAAGAGTTAGATATTCCTACTCTTAATAAAGCAGTAATTCCTGGTGTGAAGATAAAGAGAGGTAAGAAGGGTAAGAAATTTATAGATGACCATGATACTTTAGCTTTAAACCGTTTAATCAAGACAATTGGGGATAAATATGATGATATTACAGAAAGTAAATTGGAAAAGGCAAGAAGATTAGAAGAAATAAGAGAAATCAAGAGAAAAGAAATCGAGATGAAAGAATCTTTGAAGAATGACAAATTAGAGGAAAAGAAAAACGAAATCAGAAGTAAAGCATCTTTAGCAAGATCTATGCGTAGAAAGAACAGACGTGATACTGTCAGAGCCGATGTTGAAGAGAAATCAACTAATGCGAACAAAAAGCCAAAAAAGAAGGTATCTTTTGCATGAGGATTTTGAGTATTATAAAAACAATTAATAAAAATTAAATCAACATATTTTATTAATAGGTATATATAACATTTAATAAGCATATTTTAAATATATTAATTTTTCCAATTTGTGTTCTATTTTAAAATCCAAGAAATTATTCTTTTGATCCAGTTTATATTTAAATTAAATTAGTTTTAGAAATCAGTTAGAAAAATAATTTAATTTTAATACACCCATCTTATAAGCAATGAATCGATATCAAGAGTTCTGGTATTTAAAGGAGAACATTGAGATATTATTAACTGATTAAAGTGTCAGTTAATCGTTTTATATAGTCAAACCATTTTAATGCCGGGTAATTATCCAGTCCATTATATTGATTTTATTCCGATTTTGATAGATTTATATTTTAATTAGAACGATGAGATATATAAAGTTTAGTTATTCAGGTTCGAAATATATTTAACGGAAGAATATTAATACCATAAAGACAGTTCATCGGATATCCTATTTACTATAATATTAGGAAAGTAGCGTTTCAGATTTATACTTTGATTGCATGACCGAACTGTATTGTTTTTAATCTTTCATCAGTTGTGTTAAGTTTTTTCAAACATAATTTTCAGTATGGATTCTGAATTTTCTTTACATTATTCTAATAAAGTTTTCAATGATCTAGTTGAAACTTCTAAAAATTTACCTAACGATAGTTCTGAGTTTGAATCCATTCAATTGAGCATTAATGAAATTAGGAAAAGAGCCTCTGAATTGAGAAAAGATAGAGAAGCAAAACAAGTTAATCATACTAAGGCTCATTATTTATTGGCTGGCAGTGGTATCTCCATTGAAGATGTAGATAATTCAATCAAGAACTTACAATCTAAACATATCATTGAACAGCATTTTCCAAATAAACAATTAGAAGGTGAATTAGATACCTATTTGAGACTTAAGAAAGATGAAAATATTTTATCATCTATAGAGAAGCTTCTATCAACAGCTTCAAAGGATTTTGATTCATTTGTTAGCCAAAACTTGAACTTAGATTGGGAACAACATAAAGATGAAGTTAGAGAAAACTTTGGTATTTTAGTTAAAAGAAAAAATATGGATTCTAATAAATCTGGATTCAGATCTGTAACACCCGCTGTTCCAAAATGGGGCGGAAACAATAACAGTATCTTAGATAGCTCTAGTGGATTTAGATTAAATGTGAATGAGAATTACCTATTGAGAGATAAATTTGAAAGATACGCTAAAATTATTCATGCATTCAACAATGCAAGACAAGTAAGAAGAGATTTCCCATTGGTAAATGAAATCATATCAATGTTGAACAGTTCTGGAGACTCAAAGAATAGACAGATTATGGAGTCATGGTATGTTCTAAGAGATATTTGTACCTCTAAAGTGGATGATGTTGTTATAAGAAGCAGACTATATTTAGAGAAACAATTTATGGAATACATAGAT